GCTGAAATGCCAGCTGGCACCAGCCCCCAGATCATTTGGCTGCCCAAATCTCCCCAATGCTCTAAAAATGAAATGCTCCCACTATTCTAAAATCCCTCTTTAAATGACATTTCATCCCAACTACTCTGGAAAAATGCATATAGCAGCACCACCTGTTTTTGGACACACTTCCATACCCCAAAAGCTACAGAAGTGGTCAGATTCAGGCACAAAGGAGCAGCATTTCCTCAGCAATTCAGCAGTCACAGGTGCAGGAGAACTTGTTACCTGTTTAACTACACAACGTGCAGCTATAGTGGCATTTTTAATGATGTTCTTACACCACATAGAATTTTATGTCATGTGCAGGGCGAGGAGTTGGACTTGGATGATGCTCCTGGGTCCCTTCCACCTCAGGATATTCGCTGATCGGATAATTTGATCATTTTAATATAATATAATATAAATTGTCTGGAAATTTGATTTCCAAACTCTCTCACTCCATTGCCAGGCTGGACTCGTACCTCCCTTCCTTCTGCAAGGTTTCTTAATCAAATTGTTTCTTTAAAACCCCTCAATTTTTTTTTCCTTTCTCTTAAAGGATCATTTCAGATTTCTCAGTCTGGCCTTGGCAGTAACACAAGTACTGTAACAAAAACAAATTAAGACAGGCTGTAGGGGAAGAAAATTCCCTTCTTTGTGGTTCTAAACTGCCCAGATGTGGCACCAAATCCCCTAAAACATCTGTCCCAGTGCTCTCCTTACCCTCCTTCACTCTCTCCATCATCTGTGTTGGGATTCCTTGAGCTGGTGGTGAAATAAATGGAGCTGGAGCCTGTGGAGTCACTTCTCTCCCTGGAGAAGGGGAACTTCCTCCGGCGAGCCACACGCTGGGTTTCTTCCAAGTGGGTCCTGGAGGGAAAGAAAAAGGAAGAGAAATAAATATTTGGTAATAAAATAGCTGCCATTCCCCTTCTCCTCTCCAGCAGACTCCACCCAATTCCCTTTCTAGGCAAAGAATTCATGAGGTGATTCACTCCTGTTTATACAAACTCAAATGGAGCTGATAGTGTATTCTGTATAATATACATAATATCCATTAATATATTATATATATATATTATATATTATACTACATTAAAACATATAGAACTATATATTATATATTATATTAAATATAGTATATATTATGCAATAAATTGTATCTAATATAACGCATTCTATAATATATATTATATAATATACAATTATACAATATATAATGTATGATATAAAATTAAAATTATATATATATCATATAATATAATGTATTATTGTATTATGTATTAAGGCATTATTATATAATAATATATATACATAATATATTATTTATATAATATATTATTTATATTATATATAATGCATAGATTATATATTTTCTATATTATAACATATAGTATCTACATAAAATATGTGAGGTATATTACATATATATATTATATACACTATATAGTATAGTGTATATAATGTATATATATGTAATATATATCACATATATATATTACATATATATACAATACAATATATAGTTATATAATATACAATATATATACAATTATACAATATATATATATTGTATATATACTATATATATATTATATAACTATACAATATATAATTATATAATATATATTATACATATAATGTATAATTGTATAACATACACTATATAACATAATGTATCCTATATAATATATCTGCAGATAAATCCTCCTCCACGGACAACCCATGGACAACCCTTACAGAATCCATAGATGGGATGTTCATCCAGCCCCTACAACAAGAACTGGAGTGACAGAACAGGTTCAGACTGGAAGAGGGGGAAATTTAGGTTGCATTTAGGGACTGGATCTTTCCCTGTGAGGGTGGTGCAGCACTGGAATGGATTTCCCAGGAAAGCTGTGGCTGTTCCTCCATGCTCTGAGGTCCCAGGCATTCCCAGCATTCCCAGCTCCAAGCATGCTGTGGCTGTTTCCCAGCAGAGAGGGGCAGTACCTGACTTCATCCACGATCTCCACCGCCAGGTCCTGCAGGCTGTTCCGCAGCTCCTCCACCTCCTTCCTCAGCTCGGCCACGTTCCTCACCACGAAGTCCAGGCGCTCCAGCAGCTCCAGCTGCTCGTCCTGCCTCAGCAGCAGGGGGCTGGGCACGGCTCCATCGGCTCCATCTCCCCCCACTGGGAGCAGCGCCCCGGGCACGGCCTCCCCTGCAGCACAGCACAACGAGGGTCAGATCCCAGGGGAAAGCATTCCAGGGGAGGGAAATGTGGCCACGGCTCTGCTGGCAGGGGATAGGAGGCTTGGTGTTGACAGGAACACCAAGGGGATCAGCAGCTCTGCTGCAGGGAAAGGCTGGGAGAGCTGGGACTGCTCAGCCTGGAAAAGTGAAGGCTCTGCACTGACCCAACGGCCCCTTGAAGGAGTCTGAAGGAAAAATGGAGAAGAGACTCTTTGCAAGGGCCTGGAGTGAAAGGACAAAGGGGAATAACTCCAAACTAGAAAAGAGGAGATTTAGATGGGATATTGGAAGGAATCTTTCCCTGTGAGGGTGCTGAGGCCCTGGCACAGCTTGCCCAGAGCAGCTGTGGCTGCCCCATCCCCGGCAGTGTCCAAGGCCAGGCTGGATGGGGCTTGGAGCAGCCTGAGATAGTGGAAGGTGTCCCTGCCCAAGGCCGGGGGTAGGACTGGATGAGCTCTAAGGTCCCTTCCCACCCACACCATTCCAGGATCCCATTATTCTATGATCACTGTAACAACATGGTTTCATTTTCTGTTCCCAAAGTTTTGCACAGAAATGGACGAAAGCCAGCAAGTTCAGGGTTCCAAACCAGCACTTGTAAAAGCCCAACACCCCAAACCTCACTTCCCCCTATCCCGGCCCCACGCCCCCCTATTCCAGCCCAGCTCCCCCATTCCCATCCCATCCCATTCCCCGCATTCAATCCCTATTCTCCCCTACTCCAGCCTCATTCTTCCTCTTCCAACCCCATTTCCTGCAGTCAACCCCACGCCACCCGTTTCAACCCCATTCTTCCAACTCTAATTGCATTTTCCACTCTTCCTATTCCAACCCCATTCAATTTCCTCCATTCCAGCTCCGTGCCCCCCATCCCATGTGCCCCATTCCAGCCCCATTTTTCTATTCCAACCCCATTGCATTTCCTCCATTCCAGCTCCGTGCCTCCCTATCCCATGTGCCCCATTCCAGCCCCATTCCCACCCCAGCTCTAGCCCCATTCCTCCCTATTCCAACCCCATTCCATTTCCTCCATTCCAGCTCCGTGCCCCCCTATCCCATGTGCCCCATTCCAGCCCCATTCCCACCCCACCTCTAGCCCCATTCCTCCCTATTCCAACCCCATTCCCCCATCCCGACCCGGCTTCCCCCGCCGCTCCATCCCGCTCGTACCGAGGCGCGGCTGCCCCGCCGCCTCCTTGGAGCGGCGGCGCATGACCCAGAGCACACCGAGGCAGAAGCCGGCGCCCGCCGCCAGCCCCAGCGCCATCCCCAGCCGGGGCCCGGCCCGGGCCGGCTCCGCCACCGGCACCGCCATGGCCGCTCCGGCCGCGCGGCACCGCCCGCGGCGCGCCGCGATGGCGTCACTGAGACGCGACGGCAGGGGAGGGAAGGGGCGGTGTATGTGCGCGTAACGTCATCGACGTGGCCACGCCCAGAGCGGCGCGCGCGTGCGGCGACAGCCGGAGATGGCGGGGACACGGACCCGGTCCCGGAGCCGGGCCGCCCTCCGCGGGGGTCACCGCCCGCCCACAGGGCCCCAGTCCGTGGAATGTCCCGGGAAAAACCCCCTAAGGCCGCCGGCTGTCACCTGCTGCCAGCGCGGCAGCTGTCCCGCCATGGTGACAGCACCTCGGCCTGGGGGTGCAGGGGACAGGGCGGGTGTCCCCGCACAGCCCCACGCTCTGTGGGTGCTCCCAGAAGTGGTAGGAAACCCCGCTGGGTTTGGGGTTCAGCTTGCAGCAGAGTGAGGGACGAAAATTGGAAATTCGGGGTGCCCAAATCTGGGGAGCTGAGCGGAACAGGGTTATTGTAGGGAGGGAGCTGGGCACGGGGCTGGCTGTGGGATTGTGGGCACAGAGCCAGCAGTTTTTGGGATGAGATAATGGATTTTAGGTGGAATAGGCCAAGGAGATGGGAATGGCCAAACAATCATCCCAAGCATTTGGGGTTGGAATTCTCCCTTCTACAGGAAATGTGGTGGGATCCCCCAGGAAGAACTTCTTAACCCCAGAATCACTGAAATTAGAAATACCTTTTTCTGGAAGAGCCAAAGGATTCCTTAGGGAAAGGTGCCAGCCAGGAGAGGGAAAATCCTCCATGTGTGTTCCCCACTCCTGGGGGTTTGGGTGACAGCAGGATTTGGGCAGAGCCAAAGGACCTTCTGCTTCCCTTTGAATTATTGGGAGCAATTCTGAGCCCAGGGCCAAGGAGAGCTGGGAGCAGCCAGCTGGGAGCCAGAGGGTGATAAGGTGCTTTGGGATGATGGATGAGATCTGGCTGCCTACCAGATTTCAGTATCTCCTCAATAAATTCAACATTAAAGTGTTATGTATAGCTCTGCTCTCATTTCCTATTTTTTCCTTCCTATCTTTTTCCCCCAGGAAAGAGCCACATAAGAGTCAGACCCAGAGCTGGGCAGGCTGCCAGAGCCCTGGCTAGTTTTCCTTTAATTTCTGGAAAGGTCTGGATTTTATATCCATATAATTCCCTGCATAACCACAAAGTACATGTGCCCAGCAGAGGTCATGGATTACGGGAATTCTGTCAAAATCCAACCCAGCTGGGTGAAATGTGCCCTTGGTTCATTGGGCAACAGGTTTGCACTGGGGCAGGAGAGCAATGAGCAAACATTCCAGCTGTTCCAGGACTTGGGGAAGAGGCTGTGCTGAGGATGGGAATGATGAAAACAAGCTGATGTTTAACCCGTGGAGGGGACGTATCCCACAGGGAATTCCTGATGGACATACTGGGATTTATGGGATGTGCTTTAGGAACAGGAGACCAACAGTCTCTGGAGTTTCTTGTATGTCACCACACCCAACCAACATGTCAATGACAATGTCGATAATAACAATTAACAACAACAACAACAATTAATAATTAATAACACAGCAATAGTAACGGATATGCAGCACCTCTGCCTGTCCTGATCTCAGGAAATGGAACTTCTCCAATTCTGAAGGAATTTAAATCCCCTGTGTTCTCAGATAATAACAGCAGAAAGAGAGATTTTTCCCAAAAAATGTTGGAAATGCTGAACATTCTCCTTCAGGGGAATGTTTGGTCAGACTGTGGGGTGGGAGTGGGAATGCTCTACAGGGCCCACCTGCCTGGCTCCTGCTCCACCATCTCCCAGTCCTCACCTCCCTGCTGTTATTTCCTGGTCCTTTATCTCCCTGCTATTAATTTCCGTTTTCTTCGTCTCCCTTATCCATCATCTCCTGGTTCATTGCCTCCCTCCTCATCATCTCCTGTCCTACATCTCCCTGTCCTCCACATCCCTGCATCTCATCTCCTGCTCCGTCCTCTCCCTGCTCATCATCTCCTGTCCTTTGTCTCTCAGTCCATCATCTCCTGCTCCATTCTCTCCCTGCTCATCATCTCCTGCTCATCACCTTCTGTCCCCTCCTGCTCCATCCCCTTCCAGCCCTTCACCTCCTGCCCGTCCCTTGTTGGGAAGGCAGCGCCGAGATCCCGAGGGATCCCTCGGAGCCCCCCAGATCCCTCCGGACCGGGAGCCTTTTCCCCCCCGCCGCCCGGGGGCGGTGGTGGCGGGGCGGGACCGGGGGCGGCCCCGGGCAGGTCCCCCTGGAGCGGCGGCGGGAGCGGCGGAGCGGAGATGCCGTACCTGCTCATTAGCACCCAAATCCGCCTGGTGAGTCCCAGCGGGACCCCCGGGGGTGGGGGATACCGGGGGGCGGGCAGGGAACCGACCGGGGCGAGCGGTGAGACCCGCTCAGCCCGCGGTGCCACCGGTGCGATCCCGGCATGGGCTGGCCCTGCTGCTGCTGGGGGGGTCGGGGGGTGATGCAGGGTTGGGGGACCTGTGAGAGCTCCCCGTGAGAGCCCCCGGTGCCCCCACCCCAAACCCTCCTGTCCCAAAGAGCGACTCACTTGGGAAACTTGCGGCAGGATCCCAGGAATGCCAAAGGGACGGCGCCCCTCTTGTCCTCGCAGTTGGTTTTCCCTCGTCCCCAAAGAGCCATTCCAGGGTGGAAAACGCGGCCATGGGAGTGGGCATGGCTGGGGCAGTGGCTGGGATCTCTGGCTGGGATCAGTGTCCAGGGGCACTGGTGGGATCGCTGCTGTCCCTGCCAAATAAAGCTGCAAAGCAAACGTTACTCCCCGGCACTGGCAGCACCCACATCCTGCAGGACTCTGTAGGAGCCCACAGCTCTGTGGTTATCTGGGGTTTCCCTTTTCCCGACATCCAGAAGCCTGGATCTGCTGGTGTGGTTTGGGGCAGGAAGCAGGGAGACAGTGAGACCAGTGGGACAGTGAAAACAGCAAATGAGCAAAGGGGGGGAGTTGTGATGGACACAGCAGTGGATTGGGAATGGGGACGTGTGGGGATGCTGCAGCACCAAAGCATCTGCTGGCAGTGGCATTTGGGATTGAACAAGTTGACTGAGTGATTATGGATGAGGTACACGAAGGGATACATGGATTATTGGCACTGGAGGGAACAGCCTGGAGCAGCAGGGCTCAGTCTGCCTTCAGAGACTTTGGAAGCTCTGCTCTTTACCAAAGGGGTAAAGCAAACATTTCCAGTGTGAAACCTGGCATTGAGCTGAGGCTGGAACCTTCCCCAGTGAGCAGCTGCACCTTCCTGGCAGTGGCCCGGACTGAGGGCCCTGCTGGGAACAGGGGGTGGCAGTGTCACCACGTGTCACTCACCGCTCTGTGCCTGTCCCACAGGAGGCTGGGCCCACCATGGTGGGCGACGAGCACTCGGATCCCCACCTGATGAGCATCCTGGGGGCCACAAAGAGGAGCACACTGGGGAACAACTTGTAAGTCTGTCTCTCCTTATTTTCCCAAGAAATGCAGAATGTTTTCACTCCTGGAATCCCCCACAGCACCTTCCAGCTGTACAGTTAATCCCAGGACTCCCATGTGTCCGGTTAATGAGGAAATGCTGCCTGCTATTTCACTTGGTTTTTTACTTTCCTTTGCTCTGACCCTGGTTTAGCACCTGACCCCCCTTTCCCTCTCTTGGTGCCATCCCTGCCTGGCTCTTACTGTGCCTTTCTTGGTGCTGAGACACCAGAATGCTCACCCAGTTCTGTCCATCCATCCCTCCCAGCTGCAGTTTGTCTGTCCATCCCACTCCACTCTCCAGTGCAGCTCAAGGCTTCACCTGAGCCAGCCCTTCCCAACAGCTCCCAAATCTTTTCCATGGGCAGCTGAGCCCTGGGGTTGGAGCTGTTTCCCATTGTGTCACCCTGACTCCCAACCCCTCCACAGGCATGTTCCCAAGCTGTGGATATTTGACACTTCTCCATGTCCCCACCCCTGACCATGCTGAGTTTGACCCCAGCCTTTGGCCAAGTGCCACTCAGAGATGTGACCAGCATCTTCCTAATGGTTTGGCTCACTTTTTTTTCTTTTTTTTTCCTCACTTGATAGCTCACTTCCTGGTTTTCCCTGGGGTGAGAAAAAAAAAACCAAAACAAACCAACGAAACCACAATGGCAAAACAAACCCCAAATGCAAAAGAATTTGACAGAGAGGAGCAGCTCAATTCCTGCTGTGTCCCATGTGCTGTGGTGTGGAGTAGGAGAAGGAGGAAAAGGAGGAGTAGGAGAAGGAGGAGGCATTAAAACAGAAGGTGCAACTCATCCCAAAAGTTGCCCAGCTTCTGTCCATCGAGCTGGGAAAACCCTCCTACGCAGCACCAACACCAAGGGCTGGATCCTTGGCTGCTGCAGCGTTAAAAATCTGAGTGGGGTGGGAAAAGTTGATAATAAGGAGATAAAATATAACTATTGAGGCCCCCCCCCCCCCCCCATCCCAGCTGCATTCCTGGGGGGTTTGCCGGGCTGATCCCTCTCCGTGCTGCTATTCCCAAGCCCGTGGGTGGGGCAGAGATTGGCAGCAGCGCCAGAGTCGTGCTGCCACCCGCCGTGCAGAGCCCGGAGTTACGCAACGGGATGGGAGACAGTGAAACACAACAGGCTCCAAAAAGGAACTGGATCCTGAGAGATTTGGACAAGGATCCCTGGGATTCAGGTGGAAAAGGAAGGCAAAGATAAATAAAAGCCTCTGTCGTGCCTGCCCCAGCAGCTGGGGGAGCTGGAGCACTGTAAGGAACAGAAGCACCACATTCTGCCTGTTCTGGAGAAGGGATGTGAGCTTCCTATGGGATCTCCCTGCTGGATTCACCACCTTTCTCTCCTCCCCATGGCCCGGAGCGTTTGGAGCTCCTCTTGTCCCACCTGCTCCTTGGCATGGCCTGTGTCACAGCTGGGAACTCCGCTGTGTCCCTGCGGCACATCCCTGCGGCACAGCACATCCCTCCCCACTGCTCAGGCACACGGGGGAAGTCCCCTGGCTGGAATGTGGCTGCTGGCACCCCCGGGAGCACAGCCACGTGCCAGCCCAGCCGCCTCCTCCAGAGTCCCAACCACAGCTGGGAGCTCCAGGATCTGCACTGTGGACGAGCAGGATTTTCCATCCCCAATTCCTTCATGAGCAGAACCTGACTATGGATGCTGCAAACTCCCCTCCTGCAGCACCTTGGGCCCCACAATTTAGCCATGACCTTGTAGGGGGCCTGAGGGAAAACCTCAAGCAGCACAGAGCTGCTGGGAAACTGGGATGTACAGGTGAAGCTGAGATCCCTGTAATGAGGGAGCACACGGATCCTGTTCCACAGCTCTGCACAGACACACGGCCCCTCATTAAGTCCCACAAGGTGTGGGGAGCAGGGATGTGGTCCCTGCCCTCTCTCTTGGGGTCAGAGCCCTTGGGGCAGCCAGGTGGGGCAAGGGGTGGGGTGGGATTTACCTGGAAGAAAAGGCTTTGCAGGTATCCCAGCCCCTCCATCCCGACTGGATGCACGTGGAGACAGCAGCAGATCTGATACCCACAGTGTGCAATCTTCATTTCCCTCAACACACAGCTGGGATAAAGCCCTGGGAACTCTTACCCCCTGCTTTTAGCTCAGATACTCAGTTTCTTAGCTTTCTACAAATCTCTGCCTCTGCTACTTCCTCTGAATAGTGGGAATAATATTTACTAGCTCCCACTGTGAATCTGAAGGGTATGTGGCAACCCTTCTGGAGAAAGAGCAGACTTCAAAGACACTTATAATAATGCACATTATCTTTACACCACATCTATAATTACAGCCAAGTACAGTCTGTCTTGAGAAACTGGAAAATCTCTCACATCTCAGGTTATTTCATGCTTTAAAGCACTCCCAGCTCCAGCACGGGTCTGAAATCCAAGCAGGAGAAGCTTTGGAAAGGCTTTTGGATCTTTTTTTATCATTATTAGTAGGAAAAGCAGGAGAAGCTTTGTTCAGGTGCCCAAACAGGATCCCCAGTGATCCTGCAGCCCATCATTATCTGCTTATCCGGCACTGTGAGTCAGCTACAGCTGAGCTGCTCTGGGCCTTATCCCAAAAGTCATGTCAGAGGAGAGGCTGGCACATCCAGTGCCAAAGGTCCCACTGGCCAGCTCAGCTCAGCTCAGCTGTCCCCAGCCAATTCAGCCCAGTCTGTGCCTGGTCCCTTCACTGGGGAGCAGTGTCACAGCCCTGGAGCTTCTGGGATCAAGGGGTAGGAACGTGGGAATGTGCTCCAAGCACACAGCCAGCAAAAACCAAGGGGGAATCAGAACTGGACAAGGATCTCAGTGTCAGCTCCCAGGCACTGCTGGAACAGAGGAGCCTGGGCTCCACCTTGCCTGGCACATCCATGCAGGATGGATGACTACCAGCTTTCCAAATGTTTCCCACCTGCCTGAAAGCATCACTTTGTTCCAGTCCCCAAATTCTAACAGTCTCTCAAACCCACCCATCTCACAGACATACTCTGACATGGGTAGAACATTGGGATTTCATTCCTTAGAAACACCTGAATCATTCCTCCTCTCCTCCTCCATGAATTCCCAGGTATGCTAAAAATGTGCTCACTGTGTTTACCTGTGAACCCCCTGCTGCAGTGTCAGCCCAGTTACTGAGCAGCATGTGGCTCTGGACACCAGCCCTTGAGCCACACTCCCATTCAACCTGATCCTTCCCTCCTGGACAGGATTCCTGTGGTTTGGCACCTCGGGCTGTGCCTTCCCCCGGGGTTAACCAAGGCCCTGTGTCACACACGCCTGTGCCAGGTGTGGCTGCTGGTCTTAGAGGGATCAGGAGCGAGGCAGGCTCACTTCCAGCAGGAAATTCCCATCTCTCCCTCCCCAGCTCACCTTATTCCCATCTCTCCTGGTGCAGCTGTGAGTACTATGTGAACGACGCTCCGCGCGTGGTCCTGGACAAGCTGGAGAGCCTCGGCTACCGCGTGGTCAGCATGACTGGCGTGGGCCAGACCCTGGTCTGGTGCCTCCACAGGGAATAGCCAGGGAGAATCCTGCCTTCCACCCGGACCACATCCTGCTGGACATCCTCTTATAGGACTGGCAGCAAACTTTTCCCCCTTAATTCCTTCCTGTCCCAGACTCCAGGCGCTCAGGCAGGGGGAGGAACGGCGCAGAGGCAGAGCTGGACCCAGTGGAATTTTGCCATCCCTGTTCTGTTTCCCAAGAGGAAGGGGAGGAAGGTATGCCCAGAATCTGGCAGAGGGAACAGATGGCTCCAGCTCTGCCTTCAGTGGGATGGCAGTCTGGCAAATTCCAGGTTTTTACATTTTAATAATGTATTCAGCATGCCCTAGAGGAAACTCAGTAACAGCCCTGTTTGCCTCCCTTCTCCTGGGCCAGGGGGTTAGGGAAGGACAGCAAGCATGGACACCATCCCATCTCATCTCACCCCTGAAATCCAAGAGGGAACCACTAAACCTACTCCCAGTGCTCTGAGAATCCCTTCCCTTGGCAGCAAGGCCTGTTTCCATCTCAGCAGCACCACCAAAATTCCAGATCCCAGACTGCCATCCAAGCCTAACATGGGATTCCCAAAATAACACAGAAAGTGGTGTTGTGTGACTATTCCAGGTGCAGGCTCTAATCCCAACACTGCTGGAATGTTTGGGACTGTGAACAGATCCTGCTATGGGGGTAACACCAATAAAACATTGCTCCAAAGAGACCAATGTCCTTCTGTGGGTTGTTTAAAACTGTTGCCAAATCCCTCTGGATGAAGCTTCTGAATGAGCTTTCAGGAATTAAAAGCCCCAAGGTTTGGTGATCTGATGGCACCTCTCACACCTTGTCCCATGGGATGGGGCAGCTGCTCTGGGCACACACACTGACAGGGTAACACCTGCACTCTGTGAACTTCAGCCAGCCATTCCTTCCCCAGACCTGGAATGGGATAAGGGCTGCAGTCCCTGGGAGTTTCTATTCCCACAATACATTTAGAAAAAAGGAGGTTTATTGACTTAAATAAAGAAACAGCTCTGAGGGGACGGAGGGGTGGGAAGAATCCATACTCTCATGCTAAGTGTGGGACTTTTCCTCCTCGTCTTCCCGCTGGAGCTGCTGGATGAGCTGCTGCCTCTCGGCCGCCTGGCGCATCCTCATCATCACCAGGCTCTCGTAGTCCCGCTCCGACACCACTGACGCCTGGGAAGGAGCAGGAAACACACACAGCCCATCAGGGGCAGCACAGGCTCCCAGACTTCCCCAAATCCCCCTCACAACACCAGCGTTCCGGGCAGAATTTCTGTGGGTTTGATCCCACAGAAATTGGGTGAGGTGGGTGAAAGCTGCCTGGCTACAGGAAATAACCAGGAATTGTTATTAAAATGATTATTAAAAATAACCAGCAATGAGTGTGGTTGGTGAGGAAAGCAGGACAGACACGGAGCCAGCATTCCATGAGGCTGAATGGGAAATTATTTTGGATGATAAGATCACTCTGCACCTACAACATTGGTGCCCGAAGTCCAGCATACACTTCACCTGTTACAAAGGCTAATGCCATAAAAAAATGAAACCTTTGTGTATGAGTCATGGAAGTGACTAACTTCCAACTGTCTGACAGCGCTGAGGCCTTGGCAAAGGTTGCCCAGAAAAGCCGTGCTGCCCCTGGATCCCTGGAAGTGTTCCAGGCCAGGTTGGACAGGACTTGGAACAACCTGGGATAGTGGAAGGTGTCCCTGCCCTGGGATGGACTTTAAGGTCCCTTCCCACCCAAACCATTCCATGATTCTAACAGCTGCAATCAATGACCTTGGAGGTCTTTTCCACCACAAACAATTCCCCGATTCTAAGCAGAAGCAGAAAGAAAACCACCAGGGATGTTCCCAAACCTGGCACAGGAATGGAACAGTTTCCCAAAGCTCCCAGAGCCTCCCTGCTGCGTGTGGCAGCAACTGTCACGTCAAGGCAGTTGATTGCAGACTCTGCCTAATGAACGTGGGCAGCAGATGACAGCTGCTCCAGTGCTTTGGCGCTGCTTCCAAAGCCATTCCACACTAGTAGGTGGCCGTGCTATTTTGGATATATGAAAGCACTGCAAGGCTTGGAAACATCCAGCTCATTCCTTGACAGTTCAGGTGGAAATAAGAGTTTCTTGACAGAAGGTGAATGGGAAAAAACCCTTCATATTCCTTTTTCTGGGAAGTGGGTTAAGTGGTGATCAGAGAGAATCACGGCATCCCAGAATGGTTTGGGAGGGAAGGGATTCCAAACATCATTTGGTTCATACCTTGTGCCATGGGCAGGGACATTTTCCACTAGCCCAGGCTGCTCCAGCCTGGTTTTGGACACTTTGAGGTGTGGGGCAGCCACAGCTTCTCCAGATGTTGAATGATTTCTTAGGAAGCAGAAGGGATACACAAAGGCAATAGAGTGCCTAAATAAGTCTCTGCATGGAAACATGGGAGAGTGCAATTCCTTATCCTGTGCCAACAAAGTGGTTCCTCCAGGCTGCGAGGACACAATGAAAGCCCACAACAGATAAGGAACATCAAGAGGGAAATTAAGAGTCTAATTGGTGTCTTAGGAGCCACATGAGCAAAATGACCTTTGGGTACTGGCAGCAGCAGTGTCTGAGAAAGCACTGATGGTATCAGCCCTCAGCCAGGATCTTTCCAAGTCCCATCCACCAACCCCAGGAATTTGCTGGGCTGGATGGAAGAGGCTGCCTGAGACTTATGCAGATGAATCACCCACACAAACCTGAAGCCCCACCTCACACTGGGATTATAATTTAAAACAGCCAGGAAATTATTTGCAGCCTGGCTTGGGAGCTCTGCTGACACAAGGAGCCCTCGGAGTGGCGGGAGGAAGAACAGCCTGATCCAGGTGGGCTCCCTGCACGTGCTCCCAGGTGCCTGAGCATGGGCTGAGGCTCCACCACTCCACACACCTACTTCCTGCAATCCTGGCAATTACCAATGGAGTGAAACCCAATTTCTGACGTGGCTGACTCAGCAAGGGCTTGGCTCAAAACAAACACATCCACGCAGGGAGCCGCAGCCCGGGAAGCAGTGACGGGTGGCACATGAAGGGACGGCGGCGGCAGCGCTGGGGAGTTTTGGCATTCTGGGTCCAACCTGGCTGAATTCCTGGACTCCTGGCTGAGCTCTCCCTGGACTTGATTCTTCATCCTGGTCTCTGAGTGCTCCAGCAGCTTCTCCTCTCCACTCCAGGACTCCGGGCTGCTCCAACAAGGTGTAAGTCTCTCCTGCACTCCGTTCTCCCAACGTTGTCTCCTGCACTGTTGCTTTCTGCATCCCCCTTCTCCCGTATTCCCTGGGTTCCTTCGGTGGGACTGAGTCACCGTCTCGTTCCCAGCCACCCACGGCGCTTTTCCGGCGGTGCCCCTCCGCAGAAGGTGCCTGGTTACCATGGCACCCGAGTGCCCTTCTGTTCTAGATGCCAGATTAGATCTGTTCTCATGGTGACTGTGCCTCTGCTGTTCCCCACCAGCCCGGAGCCGCAGCACACGTTTAACGAGCTCGCTCACACGCCGCCGCTCCTCTCCACTCCAGGGGGAGACTCCTTCAGATCCGAGACAAGCCAAGTGCTCCTTGCCACAGCGTGGAGTTTGCATTTCCTGCACTACCAGCCTCTCTGTGCTGCTTGCAGCTCCAGGAACGGGGCAGGAAGAGGTTGATCCTGTTGTGTGGCTCTCTGCTGATCCCTGGGCTTCTGCCTGCAAGGAGCCAGCATTCCTGCTCCTCGCTGCCTTTCCTCACCATGGATACTTGGCGCAGGGGGTCCCTCAAGTCCACCACCTTCTTCCGACGCTTCTCCCTCAGGAGGCACAAAAAGCTGGGCAACCAAGTCATCATCCTGAACCAGAACAGCCACACTCTGGACACGGACGGCCAGAAGAGGGAATGCTTGAGGGATCTGAAGGACAAGTCTGAGTACCTGTCCTGTCAGAGCGAGCAGAACCTGGCCAAGGCACAAGCCCCTCCCAAGCCTCCCCGGCTGTACCTGGACAGTTCCAGCTGCCCCAACATCATCGACCACACAGATTCCCACTCCGACCTCTCCTTTTCCGAGACTGCTCCGTACCACAAAGGCACTCCCACGCACAAGGACCAGGCTACGGACCACGGCACCTCAGAGGCAGGTCTCCCAAACAGCACTACTCTTCCTGAGCTGGCTGACCCCTTCCTGTCCTTCAAAGTGGATTTGGGGCTATCTCTCCTCGAGGATGTGCTGCAGACCCTCAGGAAACAGAACCCGAGGGATTACGCCATTTGAAGGTATTCACTGTCCATCACATCCCAGTTACTCACTGCTGCTGCCAGTTCCTCCCGTTCCAGCAGGAGGAAGGATACTGGAGCATGCCTGTCGTGTGTGGCCTGTTTTGTTGTCCTTGCCTCACCCACCACAGAGCATCCCTGTCCTTGCCAAGGAATCCTCTGGAGCAGAGCTCACGGGCTCTGTGCTCAGGTGAGAGCACCGTCTGCTGTCTCATGGCCAACTTTCCGCTCTCCACCCTGGGAATTTCCCACTCCGGACTGCGCATCCCATCCTCAGGGAAGACTGGCATTTTTTGGGAAAGACTTATTTTGGGGATGTGACACTGTGGGGCAGGGACACACAGGGATTTGGCATGGATCACTTGTGGAACAGCAGGCAGCCTGCAAGGAGGCAGCAGCACTGCGCCCCGAAGCCAAAGCTTTGAGGGCTGAGAGACGGGAACTGGGGCTTCTCCTCCCACCATGTTTGGATGTGAAAGCTCAAAGCTGTTCCTCCGTTTTTTCTCTTCCTCTTTGTGGGTTTCTTTTCCCTTAACTCCAGTGCAGGTGGCACTCCCAGCCTGGAAACAGGTAAGCATCCAAGTAGGCTCCTGATACAGCACCAGCAGTGGATTTATCCTCCTGGCAGGAGAAGAGATGTCTCTGACACTGCTGCCTCACGCATGCACTGAGCTCCCAGCTGTACAGACATAGAAGAATAAATGTATCTGTGACTGGAAGTGTCTGGTTGCCTCATTTCATTGGGAACAAGCCACAGAAATCCCAGGCACCAGGAGCACAGGGTATCTGGAGTGGCCCAGGTCCATTCTCCCTGGCACTGCAGGGTTTTATGATGGGGGGAGGGACACCTGTGTGGCTCTGAGGGAAGGACAAAGCAGCTGGGACTTGATTTTCTACTGAGGAGAGTTCACACAGCTTGGGGCAAGACAGGAACAGCTGCCCACCCTGAGCTGGACAGTGGGAAAGGCTCTGCCAGGCTGAGAACATTTTGGGCAGCACCAGAACAAACTGCTAAAAGAAACTACGAGTTCTTACCTTTTTGACTATTAGGGCTCTTTTAAAAAACAACAATAATAAAACCTCCATGCCCCCAGCTCACCAGGAGCTTTGGAAGTGGCCACAGCAAAGTGCAGAGACACTCCAGGGAAGGCACAGCTGCCTCTTACCCTGCGAGATTCACCTCCCAAAGTCAGATAATAGGAAATAAACCCTCTGAAACCTCTGAGGGAGCTTAGAACAGGTACAAGAACACCAGGCAGGAGGCTTTTCTCAGGGCTGAATGGCTAAGGAGCCCTGGCAGGGAGATTCCACTGCAGGAGCAGGGAAAATCTTCCCTAAACTGAGCATTGCATGCTGTTGGAATGGCAAAATAAGCTCTCTGCAGCCACTGTGTGCTTTGAACCATCACACAGCCACTGCTCTCAATAGCCTGGAGTAATACTGTCCAAGCCACAGCTTTTGAATTCCAAGGGGAACTGGAGCCTGCTTGGCTGCAGCAGCTCTCCAGGAACTGCTGCACAACGTGCACCTGTCACTGTAGGAGACAACAAGGCTGTGGAAGATGAGCAGCTTCCACCTGGGAACTACTCCCAAACCCCCTGGCTGGGGTCTGGCTGTCCTTTACCCGTGGATTTTGGCTCTCAGGTCCTGGCTGGCTCTCCCAGGCAGGGAGTACTGGCTGCCTGTCCCAGACAGGGAGCAGAGGATGAGTAGTGAGGGTGTTGCCATGAGAACACTGCAGGCTTGGGCTTTTTCCTGAAGCAGAGCAGCAGAGGAGCTGCTTTTGCACAGAGCAGGAACAAAACGGGGGTGGATTCAGACAAAAACAAGAGGGGGGAAGCGAATAGGAAGCAAGGGCAGGTTAAATCAGAATGAGGTAAGTGCAGCCTGGAAGCAAGAACGTGGAGCCTGGTGGCTGGGAAGCCAGGCTGGGTGTGAAGGGAAGAGGCAGAGGGAACAGGGATCTGGGAGTTCACTCAGCACACTCTTGAACTGCAGAGCACAAGCTAAGTCAGCTGGAAGCAGATCAGCCAAGAGGAGCTGTAAACACATTGCAGGTTTTAGAAGTGTCCCAGTGGATGCAGCAGGAGGATTTGGGGAGGGTCTGGAGTGGGAACAAGGGAAAACAGGAAAGGGAGCAGCTTGGAGATGGAAGGCTGCAGTGCAATCCCAGAAAGTGCAGCTTCTTACAGCTAAAAGCGGCAGAGAGCACAGCAAAGCACCAGCTGTGCAACTCCTGGGCAGGATGCAGGGCCTTTAGCATTCCCAGAGCCAGGTGGGATTGAGGAGCTGTGCTGGGCAGAGGTGAGTCACCAGCACTGTGTGCTGCTTTCCTGCTCTCCCTGCTGCCCCACCACACTAATCCTGCACCGCAGGCAGACGCTGCACTTCCACACTAACAAGCTCTGGGCATGGAACCAGGCCAAGACAAACTCAGGGATCTGAGCCCACAGAGACTGGAATCCACTACTGAAGCTCCAACTGCACCAGCAACCCCTCTGGTAGGAATGAGCCAGTTCTCACTCTCTGCTAGTGAGAAATTCTCAAATAACATGCTTTGGATTCTGCTTTTTGTGTTCTTCCCTAACATTCTGGTGACTCTCCTGTGGCTGCAGGACTCTCCCTGGTCCTACATGGACAGGATAACAATCAGGTGTTTTGATGCATAATTACAAATAATATAAATAAAATACTTAATGAAACATCAAGAGAGTGAATGCACTGAACAATCTCACAAGCTTAAAATATTTAGGGAGTGAAAACACAAAAGGGTATTTAGTTTGATATTGCTCCTGCAGTCCCTAAGAATAGAGGTTTGCTTCCAGCACTGAAACTTCCTCCTCCTGGGAATGCAGTGAGCAACCAAGGCTCTCTAAAGGAACCTTTCAGCAGCTCTCATTCAGAGGATTCCAAAAATCCCATCAGAATGGCACTGGAGGCTTTGGGCTGAGCAAGGAACATCCTTGCTCTTCACTTGGGAGAAAGGGAATGTGTGAAGATCCAAACAGCTCCCAGTGTGCTGCGGCCCAGGCAGGAGGTCCTTTAGAAAGCCACTGACCCAGCACAGAAAGGGCTGCTGGGAAAGCCAGGCCTGGCCCCAAGAGCTTCTATCTGACAGCACTCTGAGATTTAGGCTGTTCCAGCACAAGATTTCCATCTCCTTACCTGTGAGCTCCTGGGCTGGCTGGTGCTGTCAGGGAGGACGGTGCTGGGGCGGCTCTGGGGCTGGCCCTCCAGCCAGGAAATCTTCAGGGGGTTATTTAGCAGACCAACTTCATTCTTCACAGCCATCTCCTGGCAGGGAAACACCCTTCCATCACCACCTGAATTTCAGATCCCACTCTCTTCCCTCACAAGTCCCTAAGAATCCCGGAATGGCCTCAAGGCCAAGTAGGGCACAAACAAGATCGATCTCTGGAAGTGCCCAAGGCCAGGCTGGAAGGGGCTTGGAGGAACCTGGGATTGTGGATGGTGTCCCTGCCCACGGCTGGGGCCTTGAAATGGATGGTCTTTTAAGGTCCCTTCAAATGCAAACCATTCTATGGTTCCACTCTGTAAGATTTTAAGGATCTTTCCAACCCAAACCATTCCATAACTGTCAGATTTCACAGCTGCCCTACATGAGAAGCACCTCTATGGTCCATACCCCTGCCAGCACTTTTGATATACAGGTCACACACAGTTTTGGGGGGTTTTATCATTTGGACACGAGTGAAAGAAAAGCTAACAAGGAAACTCTCATACAGCCCAAGCTCATGGAACTACTACAATTTAGGGTAACTGATGACTTCTGCTCCCACAGCCACATGAATTATTATAACTCACAGTGAGTCAAGATATTTTGGGTTGTTTTTCACTGCAAATGCCTGATATCACCTCCAAAACACATAAGCCCAACTCCAAGGCATTTCACCTTCAGAGAGAGCTGAGTAAGTGCTCAGTGACTGATTTTTAAGGCAGTGCCTCTTCCCTCAGCCTGTTCCATGCACAACCTGTTTATGCGCCTGATCTCTGGGTTTGTGCCTCCAGCAGTGCCACTCCCTCTGTGCCTTTTGACTCTCATTACCCTTCTCCACTGCCTTAATGACAGGGCAGTGTCCTGGCTGTCACCTGTCCTGTGCCACCCCCAGCACAGCCAGCAGGGCCTCTGCACACTCACAGCTGCCTTCACCGTGGCAAATTCCACCACTGCGCTCCCAGTCTTCCTGCTGGAGATCAACAAATTGAGCACATCACCATACTGTGGGAAGAAAGAAAGGAAGGGAAGGTAATTACAGAGCCAGGAGAGATGTCAAGTTCAGTTATCAAATGAATACAAAGAGAAAACCTGTGTTTTCACAAACATGAGGCTTGAGCTGTCACCATTTCTGTCCTGCTTCCACTGATCCCACCATTTCTGTCCCTCCAGGAAATAATCTGGGAAGGCATGGAGCTACACACTTGGCTCTCCAGTGCAAGAGGGCTGCTGAGCTCAGAGGGAAAAGATGCCAGGGTGGGATTGATCAGATCAAAGGCTTGTCTGTGCCTGTCTCTGCACTTGCCACAGCAGGGATGTGGAGTGCTTCAAGTGAAGGACGAGTGCACCACAACCACACAGCCAGACTAAGTGGGCAGGCAGCATCCAGTGCGAAGAGTCTGCAGTTGTTCTGCTGGGAAACAGCTCCCAGCTCAGGGATCAAAGGATCCAACATGGTTCAAAGGTTGGATTTCATGATTTAAGATATATTTTCCAACCTTAATGACTCCATGATCATGCTGATGAGCTTTGAAAACTGCATAAGAAAGCTGAACAGGGAAGGAAATGAGCCACTCCAGCTTACAAGGGCATGGAGCGACAGGACACAGGGAATAGCTTCAAACCAGCTGTTTACACTAGATTACCTGTTTAGATTAGATAATTAGGATAAAATCCTTCCCTGTGAGGGTGCTGAGGCCCTGGCACAGGTTGCCCAGAGGAGCTGTGGTTCCATCCCTGGAAGTGTCCAAGGCCAGGTTGGACAGGGCTTGGAGCAACCCGGGATAGTGGAAGGTGTCCCTGCCTATGGCAAGGGGTGGAACTGAATCATTTTTAAGGTCCCTTCACACCCAAACCATTCCATGATTCTGTGATATGCAGCTTCCCATAATTCACTGTCCTTACAGCACTGAGATCAGGGGAAGACCCAGTAATACACAGGGAAGAGTGTCAGACAGGACCTTTTGCAGGATCTGCAGCAGCACATCTTTGGAGTATCCCCCTCCAGTCTCATCTTCCTTCCTACATTTCCACCTGAGCTGGGGAACAAACGGCAGGAGTTAATTTTTTCCCGTTTGGATGTGCTGCCTGCTCAAGCAGCTCCCACCCCCCTGCACATTCACCACGTCTGCTATTTCCAGCCACACTCCCAGGCCTGCCAAGACGGTGATCTCAGCATGGGAGTGAGCACAGGGAACAAACTGTTTGGGGAACAGGGAGAAACGCTGCTCACTGGAATAAAAAAAGATCGCACTTGAAAGGATGCTAATGGCTCTGCCAGGGTAATTAGCAGATGTTTCCCTGTGCTTAAAGCACAGACAACTCAATCCTAGGCTCAGAAATCTGGAGCAGACAAAGAAAAGGTAAGTGAGGAAAGAATTCTAACAGCAAGGACAGGAGCTGTTCACCTGATGATGCGCATTCCATGGAGGAATTTCATCTCCAGTATAAAAAAGGATGCGCCAGCTCAGGGGGTTGAAATGTCCCTTTTGTTTTCCACCATGTTCTATCAGTTTTCACCAAAACACAGCTTTTTAAGGATGTCTTACCTTGAGCTTAGGAGTTATTTTGCCTTCTGCTCCATTTCTTTCCTCCTTGCCTAAAGAAAGAAAAAATTAAAAAAAAAATGAAAGGACATGGGTGAAAATTCCTCAGCATTTTGCACATTTTTTTTCCCTGAGAACATACATATGATGAAACACTTTGGGATTTCCACTGGACCATTCCAGTCCCAAAAATCTCGTGCAACAGGAACTGCAGCACAGACTGAATACTCCATGGGAGCATTTTTCCCTTTTAGGAAGCACAGACTTGCCAGGATCAAGGCTACAAACAGGTTAGCAAAAACACAAGCAGGAGACATGTTCTGAGGCATTTTTCCCTGCAAGAAGGTGGGAAAAATTCAGGGTGGAGAGCTGCCAAAGAGCCCAAGGCCACCTGCAGGTGCTCCCCGTACTCACCTCGGCTGTGCCGCTCCCTTTCCAGGCGGATCTGCTCCCTGACCAGTCTCTGCTGCTCCTCCAGCTGCCGGGAGCCCTCCTCCCGCAGGCGGATTATCTGCGGCACAGGGAACACAGCACGGGCACCTGAGGCACAGAGCCAGGGCTGCAGTGTCACCTGGACACTTCCAAGGACAGCCTGGGCCTCACACACATCTCCTGGGACACCCCTCCTGCCAGATCCCCTGGGACAGCTCCAAAGGGAGCAGCCTGGTCTGGTGGAAGGGGTCCCTGAGCATGGCAGGGGCTGGAACTGGATTGGCTGTAAGGTCCCTTCCCACTCAAACCATTCCAGGATTCTCTGATTGACAGAGCCTTTTAATCCCAAAAGTTAAAGGACTGCTCTCCAGAGATTTTTTTTGCACCTTGAGAGGAATAGCAGATTTGTCTTTACAAACAAGCTGTGGTTCTGCTGGTAGATACAACTAGCACTGGGAGAGAAAAGAAACAATGGGAAGGATTCCACTGATTGATGAATGGAAAAAGATATTTGCTTCTACAAATAAACTTTAGGTTTGCTGAGAAATGAAATTAGACATTGAAAGATCAAAGAAACAATGGGGAAGAAAAACCTCTAAATTGTGTAAGAATTAAAAATTGAAAGGGAGGGTTATACATTAGAGGGACATCTTCAGTATCAGGTGTATTGGGAAGTCTGTACCTCTCAAGTACCTCAGCCAATGGGGAAAGAGAGAAGGGAAGTGGGGCCAGGAAATTAGGATAAAAAGGGAGGCTGTGTCCTCCAAAAATTTGAGAGATCCCAGGGCAATGCCCCATGGCCTCTCCCTTTATTCCAATAAAGTCAAAGGACTCCTCTGTCTCCTTTTTGGACATAAACCTCTGATGTTTGTGGATTAATTTTCCTGACAACCTCATCCCATGGATTTCATCATGAATGGAAATACTTCCAGTAACTCTTCTCAAAAATAGCAGAGAGAACTAAGAATTTATCCTTACTTCTTCTTCTAATGATCTGGTTATCCTGATCTCCTCCTCTTCGTTCTCCTGGGACTGGGCTTCCCGTTCCCTGGCTTCAAGATCTGCAGAGAAAGAAACAAAATTAAAACAATCCAAAGAGAACTTGAATCTTCCCTGCTGGCCAGAGGAAGATGGATAGATCACAAGCTTGGCTGCAGCTACACCAATATCCTGACAGCTCTGCTGCCTCTCCTCTGGCCCCACACACCAAAGGAGCCTTGACAGTCCTCAAGCCCCTAATTCCCAGAGCAGGACCACCCGAGCTATGGCTGTGGGAGGAGATTCCAGGTCTACTGGACTATACTAGGGATGAAGGAACCAGAGTCATCCTCCATGGATTGAACCCTGTGGAAGGAGAAATGCAAGCAGCCAGCTAGGGGAGACCTCAGGAGAATGTGAGAGTTTGATTTTCTTACCAAGCTTTACTTTCTTCCTCTTCTCATCGAGTTTCTGTGTCCTTGCTGCAGCCTCCTTCTTCGCCCTCCTCACCCTGTCATAGGCTGCCTGCCAAGGAACCAGCACAACAGTGGGAAACTACAGAAACCAGGAGAGAAACTGGAAAACAGGGAATACAATGACATCAGGGACTGAAACCCCTGTCAGCAGGGCTGAAGCATCTGCTGCTTCTTGGATTACAAGCTTTGCCAGTACCCGAAAAGAGGAGCTCATGTTTTTAGCTTCTATCACCTGGAATCAACACTTTTCCCTCTCCTGAGCTAATCTGGAGAGAGTTCCTTGCTCATTTTTTTGGTTTTATTCTTTCCAGGAACATTTCCAGGTTCTTTTATGCCTTGGGCAGTGGGTTCTCAGCCACCTGCTCACAGCCCCAGAAGGATCCAAGCTCTCCCGTGTCCCTCAGACAGCAAAGCTTGGAGCCTCAGGAATTGCATCCAGGTATTACTCATTTGTCAGCCCCTGACTCAACAAGAATGGCAGATGTTGCCATGGGAATTTGGTGTTCCTCAATCAGGGATGGTGTTATTAAATAGGATATGCCCCAGTCCAGCACATTATTAAAGGCAGAATCTCAGGGCAGAGCTGCTCCCAGCAGCAAATCCCAAACACCACATTTCTCCAAGCTTTTACCTGGCACCTGAAATTTGATCTCATGGAGAAGCAGGGGGAATAACAGAATAATAGCTGAGATTTGTATTCAATGAGCCCCTGTCAGAGCAGAAAGCAGGACAGGCAGGATTACAGTTCCCAGCACCACCCCAAAATCCCACCCTTGCCCAGGGAGCATCCTTACCCTGGCTGCTGCATCTGTGAGCACGGCCAAGGCCTGGGACAGCTGGTGGAAAATTTCCGCTGGGAATGAGAAGAAATAAGGGCAAGATGAGGGAAACCAGGTGAGGGGCCTGGGGAAGAACCAGGAAAGACAATTCCTGCAGGAAGGTCTCTCCAAGGAACAAAAATCACCTCTGCAAGAGATTTGTAAGCCAACCTCCAGCCTCAACTCAAAGGTATTACACAAACTTAAGAGTAAATAAAGAAGCAAAAAAAATTGGATTGTTTAAATTTAAGAGAAATCTTGGAACACACAAACTTAATTTTTCTTACTGATTCTTTTCATTTTGGGTTGCAATATCTCCTTCATACCACATTTAGCTGGAGCTCACAATTTCCTTCTCCTTCTCAGTCCTTTTCCTTCAACAAGAAGTCCTGCTTATGTTGTACTGGAAGTTGTTGCATTACAGCCATCTATCCTTTAAAAGTCTTTCCTCTTGTCCCATTACAAGCATTGGCAAATTGTATTTATTTTTTATAAAGATGCATTATCAGTCTTGACACACAAAATACAAAGTAACTGCTAATTCTACAACCTCCATTCACAGCAATCCCTCGCTGCAGGCAGCTGGAACTCCTCCTTGCCCTGCCCACAGATAAAAGGATTTATGGAGTGCTGGTGAAGTTTGGACTGTGAGAGATACAGATCAAAGCAGTGTCCAAACAGGCAAAGGTTGGGAAGCTTTGGAGGGCTGCAGCTGTAATTCCAGCACTGACTTACTGCTGGTGTTTCTAAACCCAGCAGGGATTGTTCAGCCTTAAAAAGCAAAGTTAACACCAACAGGAGCAACTCCCAGCCCTGTGTGTATCCCCAGGGACACCCACCCAGCCATCCCCTCAGCACTTAGGGAAGCAGGGGCACTTCCAGGAGCCTGGAGAAGGGAAAACTGCAGCAGGAAGAGCTGCCCCATCTCTCTCACCTGCCCGGGGGTTGTCGGGGTTCTTGTCCGGGTGGCAGGTGAGGGCTTTCTGCCGGAACGCTGTCTTCACCTGCAGGGGCCACACTGGGGGTCACTGGGGGGAAAACTGCTTGGGTTCTGCCAAAAAAAGCAGCTTGGAAACCCAAAATAACCCCTGTGTTCAAGGGAAACCTGCTGGGCCCGGGACATGGATGTGTCTGGAAGGAGTTGGAGCTTTTAAAAGCTGTTTTGGCTTCCAGGTGTCTTGTGTTGGAGCAGGTAAAACTCAGGTTAAAAAAAGAAATGGGAGAGGGGGAAAAAAAGGGGGAGAGGGAAAATAAAAATGAGAGAAGGAAAAAGGGGAGAAGAAAAAAGAAAGGAGGAGAGAGGGGGAAAAGGGGGAGAGGAAAAAAATATGGAGGAAGGAAACTGAAGAGGGGAAGGGGAAGGAAAGGGAAAGGAAAGGGAAAGGAAAGGGAAAGGAAAGGGGAAGGAAAGGGAAAGGAAAGGGAAAGGAAAGGGAAAGGAAAGGGAAAGGAAAGGGAAAGGAAAGGGAAAGGAATGGGAAAGGAAAGGGAAAGGAAGGAAAGAGAAAAGGGGTGGGGGGGCAGGAAGGGAGGAGATGATAAAAAAATGGAGGAAGGGAAAAAACCCAGAAAGAGAACCAAAAAGGGGGAAAGAGAACCAAAAAGGGGAAAGGAAAAAAAAGAGGGAAAGGAAAATAAACGGGGAAACGAAGAGAAGTGGAAAAGTAAAATAATTTTAAAAAGAGGTAAAGAGAATGAAAAATGGGGAAATGGAGGGGAAAAAAGTGGAAAGGGAAAAAAAAAAAAGGGGGCGGAAGGGGGAGAAGGAAAAAAGGAAGCCACTCTTTCCCACTCCCAACCAATTCCCTGCTATAACAAGTGGGAAAAGTTGTGTCCCGGCCCCACCTGGTGGACAAAGCTCCCGGGATTGGGAATGTGCAGGAAAAGCCCTGCAGATGAGCCCACCTCCTGCAAAAGAGTCCAGCTGAAGGAGAGGCGTCTCCTTGCCAGGCTCCAACCTCCAACTTCCCATTTCAGCCAAGAATTCCCCCGCCGTGTCCCACCCAACCCTGCTCTCTGGCAGTGGGCAGCCGTTCCCGTTTTATCCTGGTATTCCCGGCCCTTGGCCCGAGCCCCTCTGCAGCTCTCTCGGAGCTTCCTTCCCATGTTTAGCACTGACTAACAACTAAACTCAATTAAAACCCACAAACGTGTAATTGCAACCCCACGAAATTAACTACGTGACTTTTGGGCGCTCGGACAAACGTCTGACAACAGGATTTTTGGATCAACACGGGAATTTCCCTTCTGGAAGCACATAAACAAAGCGAGAACAACATGTCCCAGACCAACCCCGCAGTTCTCTCCTCCTCCAAAGGCGGGTTCCGTCCCGCAGGATTGAGGAGTGAACTGGGGGAACGAGGTCAATTCAAATAAAAGCGGGATATGACAACGCCAATATCAGCAAAACCGGGATTTTCCCTTTTGCCAGCCCCGGTCCCGCAGCAGCGCTTGGAGCAGCCCCTCAGCCCAGCGCTGGAGAGCAGCGCCGCGCGGGGAACCCGCCTCTCCCGAGAACACCGGGAAAGGGATGGAAGAGGGAGAAGGAGCCCATCCCGAGCCGTCCGCGCCCCTCACCTCCTTCTCGGACGCCTTCTCGCCGATCCCCAGCAGCCCATAGAGATCCCGCTCCAGCAGCTCCTTATCCACCGCCATCTTCGCGCTTCCCGGTTCCGCTCCTGGCGCCACGGTCGCTGGGAAATGTAGTCCCCGTGCGCCACCGTGCCACGGGCTGCCTGGGAAGATTGGACTACAAGCACCGTGATGCACCCGCTGCCCCCGAGGACGGGAACCGTCAGCGTGCGCAGCGCCCTGCTGGGCGTGCTGGGTGTTGTAGTTCTTTGGCGGGGGCTGAGAGCGGGGATAAACTAGAGGAAAACTACAAGTCCCGTGGGGCCGTGTGCGGGATTGAGTCATTAGGGGAAACCGCACGTGGGTCCCGCTGTCCCCCAAGGTCGCCACTGACCGTGTCCCCAAGTGCCGCAGACGGATGCACACCCATACGCCAAATCCCTCCAGGAATGGCACTCCACCACCTCCCGGGGAAGCCTTTGGCAGTAGGGGGTGGTGCGAGCCCAGCTACAGCCTGTTCCCAAAAACATACTTGTTTTTGTTGTCACCGGAAAACATCCATCTCAGCTCCTTGGGAAATTCTTGTCTTCTTATTGTTCTAAAATACCTCCCTTTCCCCCCACTGCTCTAAGAAGGAAGCACTGTAGAAGAAAGCCGATCCAATTATTCCCATACACAGGAGACAGAGTTTTTCAGCCCTTACTCCTTTATTCTTGTAGGATTTGTGTCCTCATGGCTGAAGGTTACTTAACTTACTTTATCAACAATAGCACCAAACCTGAGATCAACCTGAGATCATGAAGAAAACTGGACAGCCATGACTGGAGCAAAATGAATTGTTTCAGAGAGCTGTTCTTAGCCAGTAGTGCAATAAACTGGAAGGTTCCTGCTGTGTCTCCATGGGTCCTCACCCAAGCAGAGCCTCAGCTCTCAGGGTGCAGACCCAAGTCATTGTCAGTGTTGTTCCAAGCCCTGCTCCATTGCCACCTCCTTCTTCTTGATGAGAATGCTAGAGTGGTTTGTGCTCAAAGGGACCTTAAAGATCATCCAGTGCCACCCCGTGCCATGGGCAGGGACAGCTTCCACTAGCCCAGGTTGCTCCAAACCCTGTCCAGCCTGACCTGGAATGCTTCCAGGGATGGGACAGCCACAGCTGCTCTGGGGAACATGTGCCAGGGCCTCACCCCTGAACAGGGAAGGATTTCTTCCCAGTATTCCACCTAAATCTCCCCTATTCCATTTTGGAGCCATTCCCCTTGTCCTAACCCTGCAGTTCTTGATGAGTTGTAGCCCTGGCCATGCTGAGGCTACCTGTGGCCATCGTGGTGCCACTTTGGGCACCTCCTGTGGCCTCCCCCTGAGGATCCTACTCCTGTGACACCTTCTTGCCCTACGAGGCACCAAATTTACCCCCCAACACCTGTCCCTAGACCCAAGCACAGCACCTCAGCCCTTCGGGGCTGTCCCAGGCCTCAACAGTGGCCCTTTGTGACAGCACCATCAGTGACGTCACAGCAGCCACGGGACACGGGCCATGTCACAGAAGCAGCAGAGGGGGCCTAGAGCCACAATCCCATGGTGAGAGCTGTGGGATGCAAACACCGCTATTCCAGCCCCACCACGGCCCCGCTGTTGAGGTGTGGGACAGCCCCAGAGGGCCGAGGGGCCACGGGGTTTCAGGGAGAGCTACCTGCAAACAGACTTTGTGCCTCTTGCAGGGCGAGATGTCATCGAGGGAGGACACTCCGGAGCCCAGCACCAGCCAGGCTGCCAGCACCAGCCAGGCCGCCGGGGCCACGCCGCCAGACGACAGCCGGGAGGAGGAGGAGGCCGCGTGCCCGGAGTGCCAGCACATCGACACCACCTGCTCCAGCTCCTGCCGGCACTGCTTCTGCCAGCTGTGCTTGTGGGACTGGAGCCTGGGCGAGGCCACGTGCCCGCGGTGCCAGCGGCCCACGCGCCACCCCTACCCCCAGCACGTGGCCCTGTACCACGAGGTGCAGGACCGCGTGTACGACAGGAAGCGGAGACGGCGCGGCCAGTCCGCCCGGAGCTACTCCTTCGGGCCCTCGGAGAGGAGGCCCAGGAGATCCATGAGGTGGCCCCGCGATGGCCGCCGGCAGTCCCGGCGCCGCCGAGGCAGCGACTCCCCGAGGAGGAGGTGGTGGCAGCAGCAGAGGAGGGCTTGGGAGGACACACCTGAAGAGGGACAAACTCCGAGGTTGGAGTGGGCCATCCCGGTCTCCTCGCAGGGACGGCGATTCCGGCGTGTGTCCCGCAGGTCATGGAGCCAGCAGGAGCGGTCCTGGGGCCGCCGCAGGTGGAGCAGGGGCAGGGAGCGTTCCCATGGCTGGGACAGGTCCTCCAGGAGAGAGCAGGACACCCAGACAGGCTCCCCTGAGCACTCCGTGAGGCACAGGCGCTGGAGGAGCTGGGATGGTGATGACAGACACCCCCCAGGGCCCCATCACGATGTCCCCTCAGACAGGAGCATGACACGCCAGTCGGAAGACTCTGATTCCTCCGAACAACAGCACACAAGAGGGAGGCAAAGCCGGGGCAGATCCCACAGGAGAGGCCAGAACTCGCAGGCAGGCTCCCAGAGAACAGTGCCCCATGAGCGCTTCAGAATCCAGAGGCGCTGGAGGAGCTGGGATGCTGATGGCAGATACAGTCCAAGGCCCCACCATGACACCCCCTTGAGGAGGAGTGACAGACACCAGTGGGAAGACTGGGGTTCCTCCAGACAACAGTACGTGACAAGGAGCAGAACCCGGGGAAGATCCTACAGGAGAAGCCAGAACTCCCGGAGAGCCTCCCAGGGAAGGGTGCCCCGCAACCACTCCACAGGTCAGAGGCAGTGGAGGAGCTGGAATGATTACCAGGGACAAGCTCCAAGGTCCCAGTGGCACAACCCAGGCTCCTCAGGGAGGAGCTGGCGCCATGCCGGGCGCAGGGCCACATAGCCCACCCTCCCAAAAATGGGAATTCCCACACTCAGGCTCAGCCCAGGGTGTCCAGGCAGGCTTTGGTGACCTCTCAGGATGGAGCCACCAGATCCCCATCCTGGACATCCAGGGCTTGACTTGCTGCAAATAAACAAATGCCACTTGAGCCAGCACTCCCTTTCCTCTTTTTGTCTTTTTGCCACCTCAGATATATATCCACAGATATTTTGGAGCATCCCACGCCCTTGGGTTGCCCTCATGAGTTTCATCCTTTCCCTCTGTGAGCTCTCCCAGCATCATTAAGTGCCTCTGTGGATCAAGGAAGGAGCTGAGGGGCTCTTCCCCTCTCCATGCCCTCACAGCTTTTCCGTGGTTGAGCCTGACTTGGATTTTGCCTTTGCTTTCCCTTCAGTTTTATCCAAGGAAGCTTTGCTGGGAGAAGTTTGGTCCCCCTTAGCACTTTTTCAGCAGAGCCACAGCTCCATACAGGAATATTTTCCCCAAAAACCCACGGTGTGGCTGATACAAATGAGTGCTGGAGGTGCCCAAGCCCAGCTCCAGGACCAAAACTCGCCCTAAACTTCCCTCCCAGCTGTCATCCAGCCCCTGTCCCCAAATGCCAGCCTTTGGAATCACCCCACTAACCTGCAATGTCCCACTGATCTCCAATCTGGGTTGTCAGCATAGCTGATCATCCCCCTAGATGCATATTCAGCAATGTGGATTTTGCCTATGGATACATTCTCTGCTGCATGGAAGGAGCCTGGTCACACTGGATCCCTCTTGCACTGCAAGAAATAATTGGAAAAAAGCCATAAAATTCAACAAATGGTGAAAAGCAGGAGCCTGGGCACACAGGAGGTGGGCAAGGATCCTCGATATCCACATCATGCTCTGGTAGAGCCACTCCTCTGCTTGATCAAGTTTATTTTTCTTCCACAGAAACCTGCTTCAAGTACACCTGGAATTCACTCATTTTCCCAAATATACTCAGAAAATGGGCTTTTACTACCTGGAAACCACACACAGCCTCAGGTGGAGAAGCACTGCTCAGCACAGGAGGTGGCCACACACAGCACCAAAACCACCCTGGTAGTTTTCCCCTAGATTTAATTTTTTTCATTAAATACAAAACTTTTCCTCAGGTATAAGCTGCTGGTTGTTTGTCTCCTGGAAAATCCTCTCCCTGCCTCTCTGAGCATGGTGCCAGGGACCTGGAAATGCTGGACATTCCCACCTGAACATACACACACAAATATTTCACCAGGAAAACCCTGGAAAAAATGCAGCATTCAGTGTGGATGGATGTTGGTGGCAGAGCCACTACTTTAGGGTAACAACAAGTTAGAAAATTCAGACAAGTTCTGCTCAAGTAAAAAACAAAACAAAAAAAAGGATCTGGGAAAAGTGCAAAGAGGCTGGAGGTCTGAGGGGAGTGCTGCCCCTGGAGGTCTCTGTCCCAGAGCCTGGATTCAGGAGGTCTTTACAAACACTGGCACCTCGGCCAGGCTGGCAGAGTAATTCCTGAGCGTGGTGCCACCATCAAACACTCGGGCAGTGTTGGTGTCGAGCCACAGGTGCCCCTCTCCTGGCAGGTAGATGTCCCTCCACGTTTGTCCCTTTTCTGTTATTGGAGCCACCAGGACCTGCAGGGAGAAGGAAAAGAAAGAAAAAAGAACTTCAGCAGAGGGAGGATCAGCCAGGATGCGCTTGTTGGGATGAGATGGTCATCAGGGAATCCTGGAATGGTTTGGGTGGGAAGAGACCTTAAAAAACATCCAGTGCCACCCCCTGCCATGGGCAGGGACACCTTCCACTAGCCCAGGTTGCTCCAAGCCCTGTCCAGCCTGGCCTTGGACACTTCCAGGGATGGCGCAGCCACAGCTTCTGTGGACATCCTGTGCCAGGGCCTCAGCACCATCACTGGGAATTCCTTCCCAATCCCATCTATCCCTGCCTTCTGTCAGTTTAGAAGCATTAATGCAGTGCAGTGGCATTCCTTTGGCTGGGACTGGGATCATCCCTGCCTGCAGCTGCTCCAAGATTCCGTCCAGTTTATATTTTTGAAAACCAGAACAAAAAATCCCCAGTGATAGAGCCAATGTAATCCTACCTTCAGGGGGCAATTTTCCCCCTTGTTTCATGGGAAAAGCGTTCCCAAAAGTATTTCCTAACATTCTGAGACTCTATTCCTGCTAAATCATTTCACTTCCAAAGCTGAAAGGAGGTTTTGGGGCCCTAAATAAGAGTTTCATGAGGAAAGCCAAGCTTTTCCAAAGAGCAAAAACCCCAAAATCCACAAAACTCAGCTGCTTTGGCTTGGATTTAAATCTGCTCAAATCCAAGTCCTGATTTGTACTTGGGCAGAGCTGAATTTACAGGAATAATGCAGAATTCCCACCTCATCTCCAATGAGGAACTCATCCTCTATGGTGAATGCAACGGGATCCGTGGGGCTGAGCCACCAGGCAGGACGGAAGATGGGGTATCCCAAACTCTGCCACTCCTCACTGTATTTTAGGAGCAGGGGCACGACAAAGTCCCGGTGCCTCTGGATGCACTGGCGGGTCAGATTCAGGACCTGCAGGTGGGGGACAAATCCATGAGGAGCCCAATGTTCAGGAAACAGCAAAGCAGGGAAAGCAGGGAAAACTCCCAAAAATAAATAATTGAAAATTTAATTTAATAATTAAAAAGTAAAACGTGTGTTCCCTTGGGAAGAGAAATTACTGAATTGGAATGTCCTGATCAAGTTATGGTGCAAATGGGGTTGATATTGGATATTAATTGGATTAATTGGATATATTAGATATATTTGGATATTAATTGATTTGCATATAAATCAATTGGTAATACATTTAAATCCATTGATAATGGACTTAAAACAATTGGACTTACATGTATTTAAATCCATTGGTAATTGTTATAAGTCGGCTGGACTTAAATCTATTGATAGCAGATATGAACACATTGGATTTGAATAAATTTAAATCTGTTGTTAATGAATTGAAATCCATTTGATTTAAATTTATTTAAATGCATTGAAAATAGTTATGGATCCACTGGTTTTCAGTGGATTTAAATACATTGATAATAGATATGAATCTATTAGATTTAAATTGATTTCAGTTGATTTATGTTGAACATGAATCAATTTGATATAAATGGATTGAAGTCTATTGATAATGAATATAAACCCATTGGATTTAAATAGATTGAAACCAATTGATAATAAATTTCAGTCCATTGGATTTAAGCAAATTTAAATCCATTGACAGTGCATATAAACCCATGATTGAAATGCATGTATATCTCTTGATAATGGATAGTAATTAATTGTATTTAAATAGATTTACATCCATTAATAAAGGATCTTAATGAATTTGATTTAAATTCCACTGATAATGCATATGAATCTATTTAATTGAAATATAATTAAATCCATTGATAACGGACACAAATCCATTGGATTTAAACCCATTGGTGTTTGAATCTAAACCCACTGATAACGGATTTATTCCCACTGCAGTGGGAGGCTGGGGACAGCAGCTGGCAGGAGATCCCTGCCAGGCCTTCCATGGCTTTTGGGGGCATTGGCCATGTCAGAATCCCGGTGTGGGACACGTACCCAGGTGTCACAGCAGAGCCAGGGCGGGGTCCCAAAGGCCATCACGGGCAGGAATGTCACAACCTGCAGCCACCTCACAAACAGCTCCTGGTCCCCTGGCGTGGCTCCAGCCTCGCTCCCTCCTGCAGGAACATGGGGCTGGAGTGAGGGCCTCCCATGGCATGGAAAGGTTCTGGGGAAACCTCAGAGCTCCTCCCAGTGCCTACAGCGTCACCATCGCTCTGAAAACCTGGCACAGCTTCCCTGGAAATGGCACAAATCCCCCAGCACAGAGGGCTCACCCAGCCATCCACAAATTCCTGTTTCCTCCAGAGGCTTTTCCCAGCTCTTGCAGCTCCCAGGCTGTTGGGACACAACCTCCTGCCCAGCTCTCTCTGCGCAGGAGGATCTGTGCTCCCATCCACGCAAGCCAAGGGCTCCAGCACCTCTTTGGGAAGCAAACTCCCATGCTGGGATTGCTTGAGCCTCATTTTCTAAGGAAAACAAGCTAAAAATAGAGGCCAAATTGAAATATTGCTCTCAACTCCTGTTTCAGGGCTGTTGTTTAGCTCAGCTCTCCATGTTTGACACTTATGCACAGCCCCTGCACACTCAGGGCATGTTTTAACCACAACTAACTCCATCGGCTCCAAGAAAAAGGGAAATGGATCCACTTGTCCCTAATTAAAGGTTGTTTCTTGCCATTTTATAATGCTTTTATTTCAGGATTTCTGCAGCCATTTTGCTTTGGAGCAGAAATACAAACTTGGAGCCGAGCTGCCTGGGTATCTATTATCAATGTATTTAAATCCATTGAAATCCAATGGATCCATAACTATTTTCAATGCATTTAAATCAATTTAAATCAAATGGATTTAATCCATTCCCCAGCCAGGAGCCTGGGGATGCAGATCCTGCCTGTGCCAGGTGAGATTTAGCCCAAGCCAAGCCCCACAGGGGTGGGCTGTGGTGGAACTCTGGGAAGGGCATCCCCAGAGACCCAGCTGCTGCTGGAGCTGCCTGGCAATATTTACAGCATATTCTTTTGGTTTTAGTTCCTCACTTTTTTTTCCCTGGTAACATTCATCCCAATCAAGCCAGCACAACAGAAAATTGGGGAGAAAAATGCTCCAAGCCTTCCCATAGCACACCTAAGGTGCTAATGTACCTCCTGTGCCTGGAAAAAGTCTGCAAAATTCACTGCAGAGAAGCCAGAAATTGGAAAAAAAAAAAAGGAAAATCAATCCTTACCTACTGCATCAGGGATGAAGAAGTTGTAGCCCAGCAGGCTGTAGTGCAGCACAGAGGGGATGAGCCCCTTCAGCCCAGCGTGGCTCCAGTCAGAGCGCAGGGGGCTCATCTGGACAAACAGCGGGAGGTGACTGGATCTGGAGAAACAGCACAAACCTTTCAAGGTGAAATTCCACGATGCCCAGCTGGTTTAGGAGTCACTGGAGCCAGATTATAGTCCCAGAATGGTTTGGGTGGGTAGAGACATTAAAGCCATCCAGTCCCATCCCTGCCATGGACAGGGACACCTTCCATTATCCCAGGTTGCTCCAAGCCCCATCCAACCTGGCCTTGGACACTTCCAGGGATGGGGCAGCCACAGCTTCTCTGGGCACCTTGTGCCAGGGCTGTACCATCCTCACATCCCACAAGGATTGTTGACTCCAACATGCTGCCCTAGCCCACTTCCTCACCCCTTCACTTCCCTGGGTGCCAAGAAACATGTGGGAATACCAAGAACGAATTCCAAGCACCAGTTCCACCATCCCCCAGCAAGCTCTTGTGCCCATCAGCTCCAGCGAGGCCTCTCCCTGGTTCCCACCTGCTCCCGGCGCTGATGACGGTGCCATTGCCCAGTGTCACCAGCGCCGCCGCCAGCGCCTCGGTGTATCCATCACCCTCCAGCTCAGCAGGAGCAGGGACATCCTGCTCCAGGAAGGAATTGCCCTCCACTCCCTCGAAGGCCACGTAGGTGGCCCCCAGTGCCTGCCGCAGGTGCCGGGCACGAGCCAGGTACCAGCCCAGCGCTGCCTCGCTGGTGACGTTCAGGCGGGCACAGAGCTGCCCCTTCCAGGTGGTCAGCAGCGGGATCTGTGGAGAGGGAGGAAGGCAATCCCTGTCAGATCCATAGAATGTCCCACTGATTCCATGAGGGATGCCGTGCTGCTCCCATCCCACGCTGCACTGTCATGGTGCAGTGCATCAAGGTGAAACTCTCCCTGAACCCCCTCGAAAATCCCTGAGCTGGTGGCAAAGGGATTGTTAAAATGACCACAAAAAGTGGAGCTGGGGAATCTTCTCAACACTAGAAGTGGAAATTTTAAAGCTGCTTCCGTAGGAAGAGGAGGGACACTGCTTCCCCCAGCACTGCTGTCCCAGCACAGTGGGATCGGGCTGTGACCCTTGATAAAATAATAAACCTGAGGGGGTTTATTCAGCGTTAATTTTGTTTTGGGGGCTGAGGGGGTCCCGTACCGAGCTGGCCCCGGGTCGGGGCTGGCGGCTGAGCCAGTATCCCGCGGCCTCGCCGCCACGCAGGGAGCGCAGGAAGAGCGGGGAGGTGACGCCAGCGTACGGGGACAGCGTGATGGAGAGCTTCAGAGGTTCCACCAGCGCCGGGGCCTGCCTCTTCCTGCGCCCCGAGGGCACCAGGTCCTGCGGGCGGGAAGGGCGGCAATAAGGGGTTTGTGGGAGAGGAGCACCACGCTCCCCACGTGTCCTCAGAGGGTGGCAGGGTGGCTGTACCGTGGCGGCGAGGACGGCGGTGCCACGCTCCCCCAGGGCCACGACGCCCTCCTGAAGGCGATGCCGCTTCAGCCTCCTCACCAGTGACCTCAGGCCTCGCTTGATTTTGGCGGCAGAACCCTCCGGGCCATGGTAGCGCCAGATTGGAGACCTGCAGGGTGGGAAATCCCTCATGAGGTGCTTGGGAGAGCGAGCAGGACACTTGGAAGGGTTCCCACCGTGTGGAGAAGGAGTGCTCACCCCAGGAGCGCGGTGTCCGGCGGTGTCCGAGCCGCTCCCACCGGAGCGCTGGCCGTGTGCCGGCGGGCGGCCGCCACGTCGGCGCTGACACAGAGCTGGTAGTGCAGGGGCTCCGCTCGCCCCGCCGGCGTCTCCAGGCAGAACTGCCGGTGGCTCTCCAGAGACAGGAGCAGGGACACATCAGGAGCCACTGTCACCGTCACTCCTTTGGGGGAAAAGTGGGAAAACTGTCTCGGCAAGCGCACGGCTGCTCCCAGTCCTAGGAGCCACAGGGATGAGCAGAGCCTGACTGCTGCCAAGGCCTCCTGGGCTGATGCCACCACAGATCCCACCATGCCAACCATCCCCACCCTGCTCCCGCTATTCCCTTGTAGGGTCCAAAATGCCTTTCAAGGGCTGGATTTCTCCCTTTCCTGGCCATTTTGCTCGGCATTCAGCAGTGCAAGGCAGCTGCAGGTCAATTGGATTAATTTGGGATAATACCTGAATTTTGGTGTTCTGCAGAATATAATCCAAATATACCCCAAAATATGACACCAGTAGCTGAACTCCTGCCTGAATCCAGCATCCCACAGCGATCTCAGGGAGCCACGAAGCCGCTCGAGTGGAGCTGGGGATGCAGCAATGGGCACAGATCTGGGCTTAAAAAGAAACCAGGCACACCAAGAGCATGGAATGTCCCAGGAGTGACTTGGGCCGCCCCATCCTCAGGCACTCAGCTTTCCCAAGGGGATGAGGCAGTGTGGGATCCATCCCACATGCCCTGTTGCTGCTACATTTGCAGGATATTTTATCCCTAGACACATCTACACTACTCTTAAACCAGCTGCTTTAGAGGTGAGGAGAGGGGCAGAGAAGCACAGGGATGAAGCTGTTGGGCCGTGGCCAGGGAAGGAGGTGGTTACCTGTGGATCCCAGGAAGTACCTCTCCAGGAGGGGCCCGAAGCCGTCAGGATTTGTGCTGAGGTCGCCGCTCACCAAGGGCTGCGCGGGGCTCTCGGCTCCGTTGAGGGGCCAGCGCTGGGCACGGATGCTTGGCCCTCCATACCAGGAGACGTTGGCCATGGAAAAACAGTCCTGCAGCCAGAAAAGCATCATCAAAGAGTGAGGAATACTCGGGGGGAGCAGGAAAGGCAGACTTGGAGCAAACTGTGCTAGTGGCAGGTGTCCCTTTTACAGCATAAAATTATGGTTTCATTTAAAAAACAAAGGAAAAGCAAGACGTGCTTCCCGAAGCCTGCCAGTTTTTGCTGGAGGAGCACAAATAAAACCAAACTGCCACGACAATCACACTTCTGCACTCCACCACAGTTATCAAACACCTCTGAGTCACAGGTGAAAAGATGCTGCAAAGGTGTGAGTAAAGAGACTCTGCAGGGGTGAGTGCCTGTGGAGGAGGGGGAAATTCAAGGAAACGGCTTTAAAATGCACTGAGGGCACTTTCAGAATCCCAGTTGGAAAATCTATGTATTTTGGTTTTTTGGTTTGTTTGGGGTTTTTCTGGTTTGGTCAGGTTTTTTTGGTTTGGTCAGTTTTTTTATTTGTTTGGTATTTTTCGTTCAGTGGTTTTTTCCCTGTTTTTCTCTTTTTTTTTTTTTTTCCTCTGCTTTACTTAAAAACCACATTAAACTCTCCAGCTGCCTTCTCAGAGTTTCTGGAGTGAATCAGCAAGTGCAGCTGTCCCCAGCTAAGCTCTCACAGAAAGCTTTTAGCCCCATCTTGAGCCCTCACCTTGATGGCACCAGTGCCCTGAAGGTGACACATCCTCCCTCCCAAGGCACAGCTTCCCTCTTTCCGAAGGGCTGATGACAAGAATTTCCCTCAAGAGACTCAGTTTGGAGATTTGGGCACTTCTCATAGGCCTGACAGGGCCCTGGGATGGGGGACATCCCCATCCTTGACCCGCCTCCTGCCAGAAATCATCAGTTTTCACTTCAAAGCTCCTCAAACTTTCCCCTTTCTGCCAAATCGAGGGATCAGCAGGACTTAACGTCCTCGTGACTTCCCAGGCAGGATGGGCTTCCCCGAAAGCCCAGAGATCTGGGGCCATGAAGGGGGCCTGGGGTGGCAGAGGGGACCCAGAGACCCCCCACTCAACTCACCCCACCTTTATTCCCAACCCCAGGGCTTTGGAGCCTCCTGGAGTCCTGAGCTCGGGGGCGCAGAGAGGTTAAGTCTCTCCAAGGGGTGGGGAGAGGAGACGTAAATTATTAAAGTGGAAACCCTGGAGGCTCGGAATAGCTGTACCAGGTGTCAGCTGAACTCGTTACACCAGCTGGGAAAGAGGGAAAACAGTCTGTTCTGAACTCAGATTTCGCTAGATCATATTTTCCAATGGTTTGGGTTTTTTTTTAACAAGTGGGGGGAAGCCTGTTCTGTCTCACTCATCTTCTCAAATGCCTCACACGAATGACAGTGAAGGAGACCGAGGGTTTGTGCTCAGGCAACACCTTTCACCCACCCAGAATGCCAACAGGTGATTTGTAGCTAAAGGGGAATAATCCTCCATCCCAGAGAATCCCATCCCGCTTCCCTCCCTGTTCTGAGGGCTCCCCACAACTGGACACCCTGCTCTGACAGCGTGTCTCCTTCCCCTCCTAAGGCTCCTTCCCAGAGTCTGCTTTTATTTAACTGAGGGAGAAAGCAGGGAATGGGACCAAAAATGTTTGCAGCAGCGGACACGGATTATTCCCATCCCGCGGGAGCTGCCCATTGTGTCTGTGCTGGAAGAGACCTTCCCGAGGCTCTCGCCAGCATTGTCATCTCCACTGGGTATTTACTCTGTCTCCATATAAACACAGCTCTCCCACCCGGGGTCACCAGTATGGCACCGCCACAGGATTTTGGGGCTCAGCTTCAGAGCACGATTCTTCCTAAAGGTTTTCCCCACCCGGCACCTTCCGGATGTGGAAGACAGGGAACCACAGCCACGCTGCGACCCCATAACTGAGCTGGGGGATGAGGGGATGAAGCCAGAGCCGCCCTTGTTGGATCCCAAAGGGCTCGGAGCCGGCCGGAGAGGTCCCCGTTACCTTCAGGGTCACGTCGGGGCGCAGCGGGGTCCAGCGGACACTGTAGCACTCGGTTCCGGGGGCTGCCGGCGGCTCCAGGGACAGCCGGAGCTCGGCGTCCTCCTCCCAGGAGTAGCAGAACTGGCGGCCGTCGTGCCAGCAGCGGTCGCGGGGCGGCGGGGGCTCGGTGGCGGGCACGCTGCCCACGGCGATGGCCAGCACGGGCCGCCCGGCCGGCAGCGCCCGCAGCAGCAGCGCCCCGCGGCCGCGCTCCCACAGCATCCCCGCGTCCCGGCCCCGCAGCACCCACTCCTCCGGCGGCTGCTCCAGAGCCTGCCACGAGATGATGCCGATGGTCATGGCGAAGAAGACGGCCACGCCGAGGCAGCCCACGGCGCCTTTCCACGGCTCCGTCATCTCCCTGAAGCCCAGCGTCCAGGTGGACTCCGGGATTTGGCCGGTGTGGCGGGAGAGGGGCATGGTGAGATCGCAGGGATGCGGCGGCTCCGCTGCTGTCCCCTCCTGCAGCCGCACAGGAAAGAAAACCCTCTGGGATAGCTCCAAAAGATCCTCTGGGATAGCTCCAAAAGCATGCACAAAAAACCTAATTAATATAATGTATAAATAATGAATTTTTAAAAATAGTTTAAAAGAGGGAAAGCTGCCACTCTGTTTTCTCTGCACTGATCCCGAGGTAAGGGGAGTCCCTTCCACAGCCTCCCCCACAGCAAATCCCACTGCTGGGCTTGGTGACGGTGGCCTCAGCCCCCAAAGCCAGGGGCTCAGCCCCTTGGCACAGCCAGCAGCACCCAGTGACATCGAGGAGGAGGAGGAGGAGGTGTCACACGTGGCCCAGAGCCCGGGAGGAGATGGGGCCATGGACAATGGGAATCGGGGCCGTGCTCCAGCCTCCGCTGCTCCATGGGGTTTGGCATCGCTTCCCTGCTCGGTTTGGAAGCAGCAGCAAACAGCCAGGGGTGCAGGAAAACATCCCAGGGTGGGTCGAGAAAGGAGGGGATGCAACACCCTCCTTCCATCTCCTCTCTCTCTTCCCTGGAAAAGCGTTTGGATGATGTACAGAGCAAAACCCACCCGTGGGCAGCGTCGGGGCGCTGGCTGAGCCCAAGGGAATATGGGCACTGCTGTTCCTCCAGGTGAGGGGTCACTCTGGGGACAGCTTCATGGCGTGACACTGGCTTGTCCCTGCATCCCAGGCCCCATCCCACTGCCCAATGGCAGGCTGGGAATGGTGCCACCTCCCCTGGCACAGCACAGCCACCCCTACACCCCCATCACCCCCTCACCTAAAGGCAGGTTCAGAGATGCTGTCACAGCCCCGAAGTGTCCTTGATGTTTTTCCCAGCGGTTTTCCCACCACAGGCAGGTTTTCCTCCTCTTTCCCAGAGCAGTTTTCCCTCCTGGCCGCTTCTCAGACCCGTGGAGCTGAAGGAACTTGATCCAGACTAACCCGGGAGCGTTACTTAAGCCAAGCTCCCTCCCTCCCTCCCTCTGTCCCTCCCGCCCGCTCCCCTGCAGCCCGCACGTAGCCACAGGTGGCTGCATCCCCAGCAGGGGCAGGACACTAAAATGTTCCCTTTTCAAGACTTTTATCTATAGGGGAATAATTTTAAAGGGTTTTTTTTTTTGTTTGGTTGGTTTTTTGGTTTTTTTTTTTTTGCCAGCTTGCTAAAGTGGCTCTGGTTGAGTCTTTACTCCACACCTGTGAATCCACACGTGAAGTCCTGGGAGTGCTGAGCCTCCTTGTTCTCCTGCTTTGGCTTTTGTTGGTTTTACTACCCAATTTTGGGGGATTCTGTGCCTGTTCCTACTTCACGTGAGCCACTGGACCCTCCCTTAGATTAACTCCAGGGCTGCAGCTGAGGGTGGTACCTGCCTCCAGAACCACAGGGAAGCCACTTCCCAGGACACTTGAAATCCCCACCGGTGCAAAAACTCTGGAAATCTGAGATTTCCATTGACTTTTCCATGCTCCAGTCCCCATTCACAGTCATCTCACCATATCTACAGGTGATCAGGGAATACCTGGATTTTCCAAGTGATATTACAACCTGTTGGCTGCCAAGACATAAAAAACTTGGGATTTAAAAGTGTTTCCTCATCCTGCATCCAGGCAAAACCCCAGCAATCCCAAGGCCAAAGTTCTGCTCACCTCAGACTTCAGGAGAGTCCCAGGACAGCCAAATCCACCAGGAAAATTATCATCTGTGGCCCAAATAAGCCCCTGGATGGGGTCTTTCCTCTCCAGGATTAATTTTTCATTGCAGGTGGGGCAATATCCAGTGTTGGATGGAGGGGAAAATGGTGGATTGCATCAGGACAAGAAGGAGCTCCAGAGCAGGTGAGGAGGTGGATCCAGGATAAGGAGAAAGGATAAAAAAAGCTCAGATAAGAGCCAGGAGACCATGAGGTTCATCTCAAATGGGCTGGGCATCCCCTGGGAATAGCATCAGGAGAGGTTATGGCAAAGCTGTAGGTGATGGACTCATGGGACCCCAGAGCTACATAAAATAAAGGGAAAAATTGAAACAGAAATAAGGAATGAGGAGTGTTCCTTCCACCAGGGGTGTTAGAGGCACTTGAGGGGCCCAACACTCCCCATAACCCGGAAAGGGGGAACAAGGAGAAGTGAATAAACCCTGTGGTCACTCAGAGCTGCTCACCCACAGCATCACCGGAGCCCATGGAATTACTTGTGAGGCTTTATAGATCCATCCATGTGCCTCAGGGAGAGCTCAGTTTGGCTGCAAAACCTGCAGAAACAGGGCAGGGGAGGGGAAAAAAAGGATTTTTTGGGATGGTCTGGGATCCTGGTACACTGGGAAGGCTCAATGCTCTGCCCAAGGGAGAGAAAGGGACGTGTCAGGAGCACCCAAAAGCTGCCCAAGGATTGGCAATTCCCTCTTTCCCACCATGAAATGGGCTGGGAGGGGGGCAGCTGATGAGGTTGTTTGGCTGCAGCAGCTGAAGGCAAAGCTCTGTCACATGGCACAAGATTAAATCACATCCATGGAATGGCAGAGGGGCCCCCAAGGTGGGATTAGGGAAACCCGGAATGGCATGGGTGCAGTGGGATAAGCAGGGACAGGGGGCCATGCCCAGGAGGGACAGCAGGAAATGAGGGTGGTTTGTAAAACCTTTTCTTAAAAAGCAGCTCAAATCCCAGAGAAAAATCCTGCTGGAGCTTGTAGCAACTCAGTATTTGGCCAAGTCTGGGCCCCCCCACTCTGCATGTGGCCTGGGGTTTTGGGCCGAGCCCGCTCCCACCCTCTCAGAACTCCTGGGTTTTGGGAGGAGGAATGGATCTCTGAGTTTTCCTGCCCATCACAGATCTCAGCATGAACTGGCTCCCACGAGCAGAGTGAAACCTCCCTTCATCTTCCTCCCACAGCCAACAAAAACCACTTAGCCTTGACTGGCCACAGGGAAAAAAAAATATTTCAGGGTGGCTCCCTGGATTCCACAAGGGTGTCCTGCCCCTCTGCTTCCAGAGGGGTTTTTTTAAAACATTTTTAAATCTCCTCCTATGCAGAATGGAGCATCTTTTCCCTCTTCATGATTTTTCAGGGTTGAAAAGACCTTGAGGTCACTTTTTTCTATCCAATGGGGCTTTCCAGGCTCCAGGGTTGCTGAGGGACCTTGATGTGGTGGCAGGTGTCCCTTCCCATGGCAGGGAGTTGGAACTGGATGGGCTTTAAGCCCCTTCCAACCCAAACCATTCCAGGATTGAGGGGTTTGCCAAAGGCTCCAGGTTTGCTGGGCTGTGTGGGATGTGGACAATGGGTGGACAATTCCCAGGGAGGGATGGAGTGGAAGGCTGGGAACACATTTAACTCACCAGCATCCATAACCAGAGTTTGAGAACCTGAGCTTTTTGGTGAAGCACCCAGAAAACAGGGGCTAAGGGTTATTCCTACTGGGATTTAGGATCACTGTCCCCTAAGAGAGGCTTCCATCACTGCATACCCTGTGGATCACACTCCTTTCCAGAGTTCTGTCATCACCTTTTGGGCTGGCTGGAAAAAGGGAGAGCACAGAGAGCCACAGGGATTTTCCCCTTTTCTGGGGTTGCACTTGGGAAGGCACAGCCCTTTCCATCAATATTTTCCTACAGCCTTTAAGCACCAGCAATTACAGCCATAGCTTCCCAGCCAGACCCTCCTGAGTTTTCTGGTTTGGGATTTCTTAAATATTATTATTTAAAAAAAATACAGGAAAAGTGTGTGGGTTGGCCAAGAGCAAATGAAAACTGGTGGGAGCAGCGAAGTGCCTCCTCCATTCTGGCATTTCTCCTCCATTTCTCCCAGTGGGGAGCAGCCTCACCCCAAAACTCTCCCTGTGGGGTGGATCCCACAATCCCTCAAAAGTCTGCACCAAACTGTCATTTTTTATCAATTTATCCATGATATCTCTAAGCTGAGAGAAAAAAGTGATGAAGCAGAATGGATTCCCTGAAGCTGGCAGCATCGATGGATATGGATTTCCCACCTTCCTGCCCTCCCAGAGATTATCCAAAGGGAAAAGATAGCCTCAGAATCCATCCTGGGAATAAACCAGCTGATGTGCCATGGTGGGTGTTCTCCTGGGCTTTTCCTTCCCCTTGCAGTTCCCAGCCTTGCCTTTCAGGGCCAGCAAAAGCCTTTGGCTGTGCTGGAATCCTCTGTGCCTTAGAGAGCTTTGGGCTCCTTATTGGAGCTGGGCTCACTTTAAAAGGAAAAAAAAAAAAAAAAAAGCAAAAGGAGTGATTTGGTTCCTAAATTCCCAAAATCTCAGCCCAGATTTCCTCCTGGAAAGCAATCCCAGATTTCCATGAACTCCACAGCTGTTTATAAAGGAAAAAAGGAGCAGCAGGACTTGCACTGACAACGTGGCCTTATAAACAGCATCAGCCCTTGGAACCATTGTCCCTTCCCATCCCAACTGTGTGCCCTGAACCAGCAATGCCTGGATTTGGGAGCTCCTTGAGTCCGTCCACAGCCCATTTGGGTTTTCAGGAGGGTTTCACGTGAAGCAGCAGATTTTGGGCTGAGGAACAGCCTGGAGCACCTGAGATAATCCATGGATGGATAATTTTGCAGCTGGAAAGTCACCAGCTCCAGCTGCCAGTTTTGGGATGGAAACAGCCCTTGTGCGCCCTTTGCCCTCCTTGTCCCTTCAGGCAAAGTCTGATATTTTGGGGACACCAAACCCAAGTTCCTAATGCACAATATTCTGTAAAATTTTTAATCTGGGCAGAGAGGAGCTCCCTGTGCTGAGGAAAGCCCCCTTCATGGGGCACTCACCCCCCTGCACCTCCAAACCCAGCGCAGGTACCTTAAATCCAGGGAACTGAAGCACCCAGACAGCCTCAGTGTTCCTGCTTCAAGCTCAAATCCCTCAGAGGGGGGTGAGGCTGCTGGTTTGGGATCTCTGAAGGCAGCACCTGCTTGGAAAGGGCTGTTGGCAATTCCACTGTCCCCACCACTCCCAGGAGCAGGGCTGCGGTGAGGCCAGACCTGTGCGCTGCTCCTCCGAGAGAAGCCTTCAAAAAGCCCCAAACCTCTATTTTTTAAATTAAAACAAGGCATAACTGATGATAAAAGCCGAGGCTGTGAAGAGAGAGCAGCTGCACCCCACAACCTCAGCCCAGGATTTTGGTTTTCCAGGAAACCCCTTGGCAGGAGGGACAAAGGGGGGGCTTGGCGTGCCAGGGAGCTGCTGGGGGTGAGCACAGCGAGGGAGCTCTTGGAAAGGACCTTTCTGCTTCATCTGCCTCTCCCAAGCTTCCCAGAAATCTGGTAAGCAGATTTGCAGCCTGCCTGCTGCCAAATTCAATCCCGGCCCTGGAGATGCTGTTTGGATAATGATGAGACCAAAATTCTTCAGCTTCTCTCTGTGGAGCTGAGCCACCACAGGCTGGAAAGGTGCGGGACAGCCCTCAGGACACTCACCTGTCCCCAGAGAGGTGGCACTTCCAGCCACACACAGGAACATCCACCCAGGGGATCAGCACGGGATAGCCCAGATCCATCCATCCCTGTTCCCTGGGGGAGCTCTCAGCAGCAGCCCCCAGGCCTGGTGCTCCCCAAGGACAGCTGTGGTTTTGGGGATTTGGGGATTTGGGGAGGGCTCCAAGGCAAACCAAAGCCCAGTCCTCATTCCCAGCTTCCATTCCCAAACCCCCCTGAAGTGTTGTTTTAGGGGCACTGCCCTGCTGGGCAGGGAGGAGGCTACAGGTCCCACATCCCCATGGAAGCACAGGTGCCTCCAAGGGGCTCCAAGGAGGCTCTGGGCACCTCCTTTCCAGGGATCTGGCTTGGACTCACCTGCCCAGGGCTCTGAAACTCCAGGCTCTGCTCCAAGTAAGGCTTAGACCTTCCTCTTCTTCCTCATCTTCTTCCTCTTCTTTTTCTTGTTGTTTTTGTTCTTCCACCTCCTCCTTCTCCCCTGCCCAGCCCCTGCAGACCTCTCAGCACAGGAATTTAGGATTTATGCCCCTCAGAATCCCCCCCACAAAAACCTCTCCCCACCCCAATGAATGGTGCATCCTCAAGACCTTCCTTTATAAGGGAGAGGAAACTGCCCCTGGAGAGCCATTAGAGGCTTCCAGTAATTAGCAATTACCAGTCCTGAAGAGCTGCCCCTGCCTCTCCTAATGAGGTTTGGTGCTAATTATAGCAGGCAGAGCCAGGAGCCCTGGTGAGGGGCCGTGGCAGCGACCACACGGAGCCTTCTGGATTCCTTGGGATGTAAAAAAGGGCCGGGGTTACTCCAGGACAGCGATCCCCTCCACTGCCAGGAGCTCTGGGGATGCTGTTCCAGGGCTGGCCTGGCTTCCTGCTCATCAGCTGCTCCTGTCTCATCCATCACTTGCAATAATTCCTGCTGAATATTGCGGGATTCCGCCATGCCCGGCTGCAGCCAGCAGCTAAATCCATCCCCCTTGGACCAGCCTTGGGGATATTTGGGAACTGAGCAACATGGAATGAGAGCACCCAAACCCTTCATTTGTCAGGCTCAAGTGTGTGTTCAGTGTCCCAGTGGGATTTAATCCCTCCTGAGCTCTTCTCTGCCCATCCCAGCACTTCCCAAAGTGGCTCTTCTCCAGCCAGGGCAGCAACACCCACCCCAGCTGCTGGAAAACAAACTCCCAACCCAGCTCCCAGTGTTCAACTCCCTTGGGAATGCCATAAACCCCCTAAAAATAAACAACACCTCCCCCCCGACCTTGGCCAGCCCCCTGAGGCATTTTAGCCCCATTTAGTCTCTGCCCATGCAGAGAGCCCTGAGCAAATTTTAATTCACTAAATTCAATTTAATTCCATAAAATTGGGATTTTAATCAAGGTGCTGAGAAGGAGTAGCCCCAAATTGCTTTCCCAGCCCAGTTCTTTGATGGGGCTCATTTTCCCCCCAACAGGAGAATGTGGGTGTATGAAGAGAAATGGAATAAAATGAATCCTTGAAACCCCTTGGATAGACACAAGCAGCACCAGGAAACACCTCTGGGAGCTGTAGGAGGGCAAAGGGTGCCTGGCTGGGTTCTGGAGCAGCCTGGGGAGGTGGGATAAGTGGCTTCCCAGGCTGTGATCCTCCAGGGAATCCTTTTAGGGGTGGAGGGAGCCAGGAGGGCACATGGTGCCAGGGCTCAGGGGAAGGACCAGAGGGATGCCCAGCCCTAATTTAAGGGTGATCCCACACCATGCACTCCTTTCCTTAAGCTCCCTGAAATAACCTATCCTGGGAGTGCCACAGGCGGTTGGGAACTCGGCTTTTATTGTCACAGGACACGGCAGCAGACAATGGGGTCGGTCACAACAGAGGGGACAGGGGAGTCACACCACAGGGTCCCAGCACAGCCACCCCGAGCAGCCACACAGCCCCAACACCCAGAGGGAGGGAAGGAACACGAGCCACGAGCCTGGCTCCTTCCCACACCTTTCCTGCCCTATCCCTGTGCAAAACAATTCCTCAGGCCACAGTGGTTTTCCCTCTGGGAACAGGGCAGCTGATGAGCAGACAGAGGGGGACCTGCAAGCAGTTTCTGGAATCAGCTCCATGCTGATGGATGGATGGATCAGCACAGCCTGGATGGGCTGGAAGGGTTGGAGGAGCCAGGGGTTTCACTCAGCAGTCACGCTGGGGAAGCAGGCTCCATCCCCAGGGAATGGCTGCTGCCAGCCCGGGAGCCAGCACAGCCCTCGGGGTCACCCAGCATGGTGGGTGCTGGATTTGGCTGGGTGCAGATACACCCAGCCAGCTCAGGGTGGGGGGAAAGCCCCTCCAGACGTGCCTGTGCTGGATCTGAGCCCCACCAAAACACGGCTGAGCCTCCCTCCAAGGGCTGTCCCAACACCACTGAGTCACCTCAGTTATGCCAGAAGGGGAGGAGGGAACAAAGGGATCAGATGGATGAGGAAAACCTTCCCTGCTGGCACAAAGCCCCCTGTAGGAAGAACCTAGAGGCTTTTGTAGCCCGGTGCCACCCTCTGCACTCCTGCCCTTCCCCTCCAGAGAGCCGGCACAGCCCCAGCAGCCGCCCCCATCCCGGGCGTGAGCCGGGCGCTCACTCGGGAATGTAGTCCCTGAAGGAGTTAAAGCTGAGGCTCCTGCCCGCGGAGTTCAGGCTGGAGCTGGCCTGCATTTTGGGAATCTTCTCCATGAGCTTGGACACTGTCCTCCTCTTGAAGGAGCCCGGGGAGAAGTGGCCCTGCCTGAGCAGCTCCTGGTAGAGGCTGCTGAACACCGCCACCGGCTCCTCGTAGCTGTCCCGCGTGGAGATCTCGTAGAAGGGAATCTTGAGGGCTTTGGAGAGGTTCTCCCCGTCCTCGGTGGACACCATCCTGTCGAACTGCAGGTCCTTCTTGTTGCCCACGATGACCACGGGGGGCTGCTCGGCGCTGCCGCCGCTGCGCTTGGGGCTGGCGTGCAGGTGGTTGATGAGGAAGCAGAGCCGCATCACCTCGTCGAAGCTGCAGCGGTCGGTCACCGAGTACACCACGGCAAAGCCATCGCCCCACTTGATCTTCTCCTCGATCTGCAGGGAGTCCTCCTCCTGCCGGGGCACACACAGGCTCCCGTCAGCACCGCTGGAATGCTGGCGCTGCTGGATGCAACCCCGGCGAACACCCCCAGGGCGCCGTCCCCATGGAGGCTGAGAAAGGAGCAGCCCCAAATTGCTTTCCCGGCCCAGATCTCTGATGGGGCTCCTTCCCCCTCACCACAGGAGAATGTGGGTGTATGAAGAGAAATGGAATAAAATTCCCTCGAAGGGAAACCCCTTGAATAGACAAAAGCAGCACCAGGAAACACCTCTGGAGCTGTAGGAGGGGAAAGGGACAGCAGCACCGGCAGCCCAGGGCAGAGATGGGGTGGCTTAGGCAGTGTGGCAGGTGGGGACAGCCATCAGCCCTGTCCTGACATGGATATTGGGAGAATCAGTGCTCCCTTGAGCTGCCAGGATGCTCCACTGGCACAGGAAGCACAGCTATGCCCTGCATGGAAATGGGGGAATATTTACCTGAAGGGAATGGGAATGGAAGAATATATTACACTGTAACTGAGGTTAGACATAAATTCACCAAAACACCCTTTTCCTGAGGTGACCACCACGATGTTCCAGACATCAGGAATTAGCCCAGTGGAAGAGGAGGGGCTGCCTTCCCTGGCAGGCTGCTCTGCTCCGTGTTGTTTTCCCGGCTGAGCTCACCTGTCCGGCTGTGTCGAGGATCTCGAAGTGCACCATCTCCCCATCGATGACAGCCACGTGCCTGTAGATCATTTCTGGGCAGGACACACAGGGAAGGTGTGTGAGAGAGCCCCCAGGGAGCAGCCACAGCCCAGGTGGCTTCGGTCACCTGGGTGGGTGGCCGAGAGGGCAGCAGTGACCGAAGTGGGGGAGCAACAAGGGAGGGAGAGGGGCTCCACAGGAGAGAGGGAGGAGGGGATATTTCTGGGACATTCCAGCAGGGACATGGCTTCAGTGCTCAAAAAACAACCCAAATGCAAGAAAAAAAAAATAAAAAATCCTAGAATTCAGGAGAGCACAGGCTCCAGGAGCTTAGATGCCTCCTGTCCCTTAAAAGCCACCTTCCAGCAGATTGGGAAGGAAGGAATTCAAGGAGCTGAGGAGGACCCGCTGGTTTGATGGTTGGAGTCCCAGAGGTCTTTGCCAACCTAAATGATTCTGTGATCCTATGATGCTACATGATTCCACAACCCCATGGCTGAGCCTGCAGCACTTCTCTGTGCAATCCGAAGGCTCGTCCAAATAGATTTTGCCTAAATCAGACCAGAAAGGGGAAAAGGCATGCAGGACCCAGGGAGGTACCAGGATGTCCATGAGCTGCCTGTCTGGTTGAGGAGGAAGAAGAGGGAATATGGTGAATTTGGGGGCAGAGTTGGCTCTGCCATGGTGACAGCCCCAAGGAAAAGGAGTTTTCCTACCTAGGGTTGGGTCATAGTCTCCAATGAATCTCCTGGTGATGAATCGTACGGTCAGCGCTGGAAAAAAACACAACGAACCCTGCTGGAGTAGTCAGTCCTCTGGACTCATCTTCCCTCCTTGCAAGGGCAAAGGAGCAGCAGGAGCAGCCACAGCTCAAGCAATTAAACCCCCTCATCTGATTACACATCTCCCTGCACCAGAGCCCAGCAAGGCAAAGCCCAAATTGCTGGCAAAATCCTCCCTGGTGCCTTTGGCCCTAACATTTTTTCCTTTCCAAGGAAGCTGCTTTGGAAATGCAGTGCTGATGCCTGGAGAGGGAATTTCTGGACAAAGCCATGGTTGGGAGGGTGAAGAAAGTGCAGGATTGGAGAGAGAAGTGGTGCTTGAGCCCTTTGAGGTGTTAATGATGATAATGGAGATGGGAGTGAAAGGTGGTGGAGAGGCCGAGAGCTGGCTTGGAAAGGCAACAGAAGTGGAAAGTGAAATTAGTGGAACAGGGGAAAAAAACAGGGCGGGGGAAAACCCCAAAAGAGCTAGGCAGGAGCACAGAGCCAGGAGGGAGAGGAGGAAGGGAAAACAGACCAGGACTGTGACAGAAGGATAAACCTCACCAGAACCAGGATGTGGTGAAAACCCCTCCAGAAACAAAAGGGGGAATGAAAAGCCAACACCAAGCTGGAGCAACACTCGGAGCTCCCTTTCCTCTGCAACCCAGGGTCAGTTTGTCCCACCTGCCCACCAGCAGATGTTGCTGGTGTCCTGCCTGCCCTCACAGACCCACACCAAGCCCACCAGGATCTGTGTGTTTATCCCAAGAATGTGGCACCCCACATGGGCCAGACTTAAATAACCACAGAAAGGGAAAGGGATGCAGGAACTTCTCCTGCCTCTCACACCTGCTTGCCTCCTCTTCGGGGACATCGCCATCCTCTCACCCCCCCAGTCTGTCTCTGGGTTTGAAACCTGCACAGCAGGGAAGGGATTTGAAGAAAAAAGCAGGTAATTTAGCCAAACTGCTCTGAGGAGATAACCAGGCATCCTGCAGGAGGCACCTACAGGCACCTTCAAAGAGGACAGGGAGCTATCGTGGGGAGCGGGACGAGGCAGGCTCGGTCTCTAGAAAGCACCTGATTGTGTGTCATATGTCAGGCAGCCACCCAAAGCTGGAGCACATGGTGTGGGAAGAGGAGCCAATTAGATTGATTAAAAATTGGCTGGAGCGCAGGAACACGAGGGGAGCTGCCAGTGGGGGAAGCGGCCGCAGGCGGAGCAGCCGTGGCCACCCAGCCTTATAAGGAGCTTTTTCTCCCCATCCTGAACATCAGTCACCTCGGGAAGGGCTTTCCTTGGAGCTGAAAGGGTTAATTGTGCTTTAAATGTGGGGTGGGGGCTCAAGGGGTGATTCACCTGCCACAGAGTCAGGCTGGCACCTCAGGATAGCACCAGGCACGTGCCCACGTGCTGCCCTGTTTGTGCCGCTGCGGAACGGCCCCAGCACCGATCCATCTTCACTCCACGTGCTGCAGGCAGAGCTCTGCTCTGGATTATGGCAGAGTTTACGCTGGGCAGCAGCAGCAGAGGAGAGCACAAGCCCCAGCTGGCCTGGATTTCCAGCCCCCACTGCTGATTCACACAGCCCTGGTCCTTAAACCACACGGCTGCACCCAAACCCACCCCTGCTCGGAGGGTCTGGGACCTCGGCTCACCAGATCCTGAAGGTTTCCAAACTGCTCCAAAAAAGCCCAAACTCTTGCTGAGAATCAAGGGTTATCTTTCCCTTTTGCAGCTGCCCACATGGGATTTGCCCTTTGCTTGTTCCCACCCCTCAACTCTCCCAACCTGGCTCTGTATCCCATGGTTGTAGCAGCTCATCCTGGGAATGCTCTAGAGTGGGGCTCTGCCAGGATGGGAGCTTGACAGCTCAGGGATGAAATCCACCTTCAGCCTTCCCTGCTTCACACCCTGGCCAGGAGAGATGTCACCAGCACCTTGGGGACACAGCTGCTTCCCCTGTCCTCCCCACAGGAGCTGAAGCAATGATGCTGTTGCTCTTGGCTCCTTCCTCACCTCTCCCACACTCGATCCATCACCTCAGATGTCACCTGCCAGCTGGGCAGGGACAGCAGGACAGGTGGTGTCCACCCTAGCACAGGGGCTGGCAGGCAGCAGGACCCAGCAGCTGGGCTACAGCCCCCGGGGAAGGTGACATGGTGTCCCCTGGCAGGGGAGGACATGTGGAACAGTGCCCAGGGGACACAGATGGGTAGGGCCACACTCAGGGGGTTGCGTGCCTGCTGTTCCCGGGGGCTGCTCCCTGTTCCTGGCACGCTCCAGCTCTCCTCTGCACGAGCCACGGATGGATTACCCCCCTGTGGCCTGACTGCATGGCCTGTGTCACTGTCCCACTGTCACAGACCCCGCTGCTGCAAGGCACACGCGCTGACAGCCAAACCTACCTGGAGGAACTTTTAAAGACCCTCAGCACGATCCCACCCTAAGGAGGAGGCACAAAACCCCCACACCTGCCCACAGGAGGGGCCCAAAGCTGCCAGGAAGCTGCTGTGTGCTGGGTGGGATGGCCAGCAGCAGGGAGACACACGTGTTTGGGGTGGGGGTCAGCCAAGGGCTTTGTACATCCCATAAAACCATCTGCTCCATTGGGGCCAAACACCTCCAGGGACCCCCCCAGGGCTCTGGGTACCCAGGAGCTGAGCCCCATCCCGTGCTCCAGCCTTGCTCAGGGAGAGCTGGGAGCTGCTGCCTTCAGTTTAATCAGGGAATGAGGATTTTTCGTTAATGCCGGTTGCTGTCCATGGAAACACAATTCCTGCAGCTCCAACAGCCCGGCACAGGTGCCACAGCTGCAGTGCCTTCCCTTTTCCAGAGGAGCAGGACATTCCCTGTCCCCAAGGGCACGGCAGCATAGCTGTGTCCTACCAGGCTTTGCATGGATCATGGATCACTGCAATGTAGATCACTGCAATCACTGCAATCCACATCTTTCCCTGCCTGTGATCCCAGTCCTGGCACTCCAAGTGCTGCCGGGGACACCTTTGCTCCCTTTGAGTGCTCACAGCTCGGGATGGAGGAGTGGGAAGCAGGGAAGGAGATGGTCCCCAGGAAGGAAGGGGGTGAAGAAGGGAGCTCCCAGTACAATATCCCAAAGCCCCACCTCAGCAGGCACAGACGGAGGGCGCTGAACGAGGCACAGGGAAAGGGAGTTTTCCCGAGGGAAAACAGCCCGGTACTGCGGAGGAGGCTCCGCACAGCTGCTGTGGGCGCTGGGAACGAGCAGCAAGCTCCTCACACCCGGGAAAACCCAGTCCCGGCTTTTAGGAAAGTTCTCCCGGTCAGTGATGTCCACCCCGGGTCCCCGGGCAGACCGGGGACCCCTCGGGCAAGGGAAACGAGTCCCGGTGCAAAGTGTCCATGTGGGAAACTCGAGGGGAAGGAAACTCAGTGCCCTTAAACCCCACGGGCTGGGGGGGGGGCACCGGGAGAATGTCCCTCGTCCCGGCTTCCAAAGGGACATGGGAAGGTTGGTCCCTCTGGCCGGGAGGGACAATACCGGGGGGATGCCAGAGGGGTGCCAGGGCATAGCAGAGGGATGCAGGAAGATGCCACAGAGGTACTGGGGGATGGCAGGGGGATTCCAGAGGGATGCGGAGGACACCGAGGGACACCGGGGGGATTCCGGGGAGCCCCGTCCTACCTGTCTTGCCCACGGCGCTCTGTCCCAGCACGACGAGGCGCAGGGTGCGGGCCGGGCTGAGGCTCACGGAGCGGCGCAGGGGCCGCGGGAAGCTCATCCCGGAGCCGGGCCGGGGCTGCCCCGGGATCCGCCGCTCCCCGCTCCGCCGGGCGCTGCTCCGGCAGCTCCGCCCCGGGGGCCGGGCTGGGCTCAGCCCCGGGCGGGCCCGGTTGATGCCCTCCTCCTCCTCCTCCTCCTCCTCCTCCTCCTCCTCCTCCCTGGCCAGCAGAGGCGGTCGTCATCCCGTCCCGGAGGCGGTTCGGGAGCTGTGCCTCAGTTTCCCCGCAGGCAGCAGCGCCGGACAGCGCTTCCCGGAGAGGGAAAGGTGCTCCCCCCAAAGGGGCAAAGGCACGGTTGGACGGGGCTCGGAGCCACCTGCGCTGTGGAAGGTGTCCCTGTGCTTGGCAGGGGGTGGCACTGGATGGGCTGTGAGGTCCCTTCCATCCCAAACCTTCCTGGCTTTCCCTGGGTCTATAAGAGGGAAGTGGTGCAACACCTCCCCAGCCAGAGTGCTGCCTGCCCCAAACCACTGCCTGAAATCATAATTGTCCCCATGTTTGTGCACCAGACAAGATAGTAAAGACAAGAGGAGCTGACCTAGCCCCGGCCTTCCCCCCTGTCCCACAAGCAGGGTGAGGAATGAATCCTGGCTCAGCACAAACCAGCCACTAAATCCACATGGATATCCAAGAGCAAGGACTCCACACCAGGCCTGGAACCAAACTTTGTGTGTTCGGGGCAGCAGCACCACCAGGCTGTTAAGCAGCAGCGTGAGGGGGTACCCAGGTGTGCAGGGAACGTGTAACAGCTCAGAGCAGTACCTGGAGCTGGCATGGATGTGCCTTGGGCATTCTGGGAAGAAGGAACAAGCTTGGCAACACCTGGAGCAGCATCTTGACTCTTTCCATCAGACCCCAGAACGCTTCTGACCCGTGGGATGCAGATCCCAGGTGACACCAGTGCTGCAAAAAAAGAAGCTGGGAGAAGGGACCTGGCCAAGGGTGTGGAGGCTTCAAACACCCACATCAGGGACTCAGCCCCTTCTCCAAAGGCTGCAGCCATTTCTCTGGCACAGGGATGTCTCAGCCTGACCATCTGGGTGACTTGGCACAGCCCACTCGGTGCTTGAGGGAACATGAACCCACCTGGTATTTATAGCCCCTATCAGGTGTCCAAAGGGAACGTCCTGGTGCCTACAGGGACAGCAGCACTCAACCAGCCACAGGGTTATCGGGATCACAGCTGCTGCCAGCAGGATCAGGGCTGGAGGGAGGCCCCTGGATAGCACAGAGACTGTCATGGAGAGCCAGCAGACCTCTCCCAGAAAGCCATCTTGCCATCACGTGTGTCTTCCTTGTGCATCAGCCCCTGGAAACAGCCCTGCTCCGGATTCTCCAAAGGCAAAAATCAGGCTCATGGCTACATCTGGGCCCCAGAAAACAACAGCAAGGCAATAAACAGATTTTGGGACAAAAGCTGATTCCCAGCTGGGGAATGGGGGGGGGGGGGGGGGGGGGGGGGGGTTGGAGCATCAAGAAAAAGAAATCTCCTTTACATTCCTTCCCTATTTTTAGCCCCATTTCCTACGGAAATGAGATGTCTGCAATCAAGTCCTCTTCTTGCCTGATCTTCTCTAAGACCAGTTTTAATGCATTGCCTGATTCCAGGCAAACGGGGGAGAAGTCAGAGAGAAAACCCCTTTTCCTGTGAGTCGTGTGACAACAAATGGGTAAATTTCATGGAAAATCGACCCTTGCACTTTGGAAGGCAGGAGCTGGCTGGGAGAATGCAGAGTAACAATTCCTGCTGCTCCAGGTTGCTGGTGTGCTCGCCTCAGGTGCAGCACCTTGGCAGCACAGCCCTGGCAGCTGGGCAGTCACACTTACCTTCATTCCAAGGGTGTTAACAGCACATGGACTCTCGGGGATGAGGGAACAAAGGGTGGAGTTAAAATGGGAGCACAGCTGCACTCATGCCACAGACTTCCAATGTCACCTTTGGAAAATCAGCTCCCTTCCCACCACCGCCATGACCACTATGACCTTCCCATCCAAGACCAGATAATCCAGAAAAATCTATCCCTGGATTCTTTAGGAAAAGAATCAGTGGTCAGTGGTCAGTGAGAATCCCAGGACTGGGGAATTTGTGTCCCTGACAGCACAGCTGGGAGAAACTTCTGCACCTCAGGCAGAGCGTGGTGGAAACCACATGCGTGTTCCCACAGGAGCACTCAGCACCACGTCCCACGTTTGCCAGGGAATATTTGGCAGTGGGAACAGGATTTTATCACCGGTGATCGCTGCATGATCCACCTCCAGCACTCCGCAGCTCAGCGGGGTGGGAAAGGTGCAGGAGATATTAAGTCCTGGTGAAATATTTGTGGTCAGGCTCCTCCATACTTGCCGGTCCTTCAAGACACAAGGAGTCTGCTCTGGGAACCAAGCCAGAGGCTCCCATGAATCACAGCCCTGCAAACAGAAAATCAGCTGAAGTGAAAAGCTGGCCTAGAGCAAAGAGCCAAATCCCCTCAGGCCGGAGGGTCGGGTTGGGGGGATCCCGCTCCATGGTCCAAACCACTTCCCTACTGGATCATCAGCTGTTTTGAGAGCTGCCCAGAAACTGAGCTCTGAGGCTTTTGAAACTGGGCAATGGTGTCTTCTTACTTAGGAAAGGAAGATAAAGTAACACCAGTCCCATTTCTCTCCATGAGATGATCCAAAGGCATGGAATGCCAACAGATCCATGCAGGAGCCAACTCCAGTTCAAAAATGACTGAGGTATTGCAAACTTTGGTTCCCCAAGGCTTAGCTCCTCTCCCAAGCCTCCATTTGAAGGGCTCAAACCCTTTTCTAGCTCACCCACCACATTGACACTTGTTAATTACTGCACAGAAATTCCCGTGTGCAGCTCCATCAGGGAATGCCCTCCAAGGATATAACCAAAGTCACACTGCCCTGCCCATAAACACATTTTGGGTTGCTGCAGCAAACCCAGCACACCCAAGAGTCCTCCCAGCCTTCAGCCCCTCACCTTCCTTGATTCACTCTGTTCCTTCTGACCCCAATCCTGCTGTGAAACCTGTGCATTCACATCCAAGGCACAAGGACACAGATCCCGGCTGCTTCTCCATTTGCTATAAATAGGGAGAGGGAAAACAGATGGAAGGACCCATGTCCAGGCATGCCGGCCACTGCTGGACTCCTCCGTGTGGGATTTGCATCAACACGGACCCACTGGGAACACATTCCCTTTCTTTTTTTAACAAAAGGCTGGGTTTTAGGTCACAGGAGATAATAAAACCTCCAGTGCAAGAGAAATCCAACCAAGAGAGTGTCCTGATGTCCCGTTCCTGTCTGCCGCTGGAGCGGATTCCGACACGCGGCTGGATCACGCTGAGAAAACAAATCTGGCTCCACGTCAGAGCTCAAGGACTCCTTCCCAAAGCTGTGAGGGATAAAAAACACAGGGAAGGGGCAAATTAACAGCACCTCCCTCCTGCCCCAAGGCCTGAACAACATGTCCCCAGAGCTTTGCCACTGGATAAACACCGGCAGCCCGTGGCTGGCAGAGCGTGCGATCCAAATGTCCTGACAGAGCTGCTAAATCCCTGTGCTGCCCCGTGGCTTCCAAAGAGAGTGTCCTGCACTTTGTTTTCCCGCAGGAGCCGGCTGTTGGGAAGGAGGACACAGCCACAGACCCCTTCTGTCAGGCTCCATCACACTCCACAAGCAGCTCCCCACAGCGGGAAGCTTCCCGCTGCGGGAATGGCTTTGCTGGGGAAGCTGATTTTAGAACACAGCACACTGTGCTGAGGGAAGGAAGACAAATCCCATCGTGGAAGTAACTTAAACCTCCAGAAACGCTGCAAAAAGTGATCCTGTGGGATGGCCAGGATGGGGCTGTCTTACCTTCAACCACAAGAAGGATTTTATGTGAAGCACAAGTCCGAGCCCCTCGAAGCTGCAACATCCAGAGCACTGGAGGGGTTTGGAACAGCACCAGCCTTTGAAAAGATGGGAACCTCGCTCCAAAGAGCTCCTAAAAGCAGCTGGAGCTAAGGGGCAGGGAAAAACCTGGAGCCACAAAGGAATTCCGGTGCCATAGGCAACTCTTGAAAGGGCAGAGGAGGAGGGTCGGGCTCAGTGCATGGCACACAGAAATCAGGGATTCAGCCTCTCCAGGGGAGGGGAGGGCAAGGAGGGGTCTCGGGGGACACACACCTGGGATCCAGGGAGGAGCAGGGCCAGGGATGCACTTGGCATTCCTCCCCCAAACAAGGGACGCCGTGGGGAGCAGCAAGAGCACCTCCCGACTCCTTCCCGCCAGCCATTCCCGAGCAAACCTCGCAGCTGGCGAGAAAACAAGGCTTCCTTATGATGGGAAATGTCAGGGCTGCGGAGCCGGCTGTCCTGCTGCCGCCGAGCCCTGCCGGCATTCTTGGAAAGCACAGCGGGAGCAGCACAGGCAGCGGCTTTGTGGCCAGCGGGCAGGGATCAGCGCTGGAATTCACTCCCAGTTCCCAGCACATGCCCTCTGCTCGGCTCTCCAGCCTCCCTCCCTGCCTCCCGGGGGGGACAGACGCCACAGGGGTGGCCGGAGCCCGGGCCTGCTTCTTGTCTGACCCACGTGGATCTTCGGCTCTGGGCAAAGCATCTCAAATTCCACCCGGATCTGTTTGGTCCTGGCAGAGAAATTTCCACCGTGAATCAGTGCTTAAGGAAAAAATTAAAAAATCCTTGAGTTTTCTCAACTTATTTTGTTGAGAAGTTCCTGCTTTTAAACTATTTCAGTGCTATTTAGCACCAGGAAGGGTGACAAGGATCACCCCCCCTGACACATGAAGCCCCTGTGACTTCATCCCTGAGAGCTGGGCATTCCTGCTTCCACTTGGAATGACAAAAAGCTTTTGATTGAAATTCTCCTGAAGAAAGCATTAAAATAATCCCTTTTTACCTCAGTCTGAATAAATAATTCCAACAAAACCTGCCTACTTTGCATTATAAACTTTTTTTAAACCAAAAACTTCCTGATACTGGTTGGATTTTCCCTTCCTGATTTTTTGTCCCCCCAAAATGCTGTGAAACCACCCTAATTTTGTGTAGTATCTCACTTGGATCAGAACTACATTCCCAAGGGCTTTTTGGGGGATCAGACTCGCAGAACTTAAGCCCTTTGCTTTTCCTTTGACTCCACAGCAGCCTCTGCCCTCCGTATTGTTGAGCCCAGAATCCCGTGTTATTTCCAAGTGTTTCTTCCTATTTGGGAAGGACAGAACATTCCTGCTACATCCCCTGAAAGCCAAGACATGCTGTTTCTTAGCCCCAGCACTCAAACACAGAGGGACTGAGGGTTTCCAGTCCAATTCCTTGGGCTGGCAACGCCGCTTCCGCTGTGGACCGGGAACAGCCTGCATCCGGAGGCTGCGGTCCCTGTGCCAGCCCACGGCACACTCTGCCTGCTGCTGGGATCTGCTGGTCCCAGCATGGAACTGCAATCACCTGTGGGAGAAGGGGAACACGTGGGAGATGGTTTTTAGAGGGGCCTCCCCACCCTTTCAGTTTGGAAAAGTTGGGGAACGAGGATGAGACCATCCAGGCTGTGTCTGCCTCCACGTCCCATCAGCTGCTAAAAACTGTGTGCGTTTAACTGAGCAGCAGGGAAAGAGCAGCATTCCCAAGGGCTGTTTGTGCCAGAGGATCTGCAATGGGGAGGGCTGAGGCCACCCCTGCAGATCCAGCTGTCTCCAGTGGCTGAAGAACCAGCTCAGCCCTCGCACACCTGGATCCTTGTCCAGCAGCCACCACAGCCTGAAGTGATCTCCCAAAGGAATTGTGAGACTGGACAGCCAGACCAGCACCAGATGGAACAAAACTCCCATTTCCCTCAGCACAGGGCTCTGGCAACCTTTGGAGCCATGGTGGGAGTGCAAAGGACACCCAAATGTGGTTTTATTCCCCATGTGAAGCAAGGTACTCCCTAGGGAAGTGACAGGGTGAGCAGGGCCCATTGTCCCTTCCCATGGCGGCCATTAGGAACCCCATAGTCCAGGAAACTTCAGGAAACTCTCCTCTTGGTGGATATCCAGCCCAGAAACACCAGCAGACCTCAGCTGGATCCACCTGGCCTTGTAAATGCTGCTCAGGAAAGGACAGTGCTCAATGTGCAGCCACAGAAGAGGGAAAAGACCAGGATCTATACATGGAATACACTCAACAGGTCAAAACTCAGCTCTGAAACAGGCACAAAATCCCTCCAGAGCCACCAGTGTCTTATTTTGATGGTGTTACACACTCACACACACAATTTATTGCTGCTCACCTTCAAGAGGGGAATTTTTCAGCTCCACTTCCCAGTGCTAATGGTTAAGAAGGATTTGCATCCCTTGGCACGATCTGGGAGTAGATTTGAGACCCTGCAGTCACCTGGTTTCACTGCCCTCTTCAGTCCCATGGGCTGTGCCCCAGGATATTCCCTGGAGACACACAATGCCAGCAATTACATGACCAGAATTCCTAAAATTCAGGAGGTGTGGAGGCAAAAAAACCCATTAGGCATGAAAAGGCTGGACAGCCAGAAATGGATCCTGGGTAGTTTAAAACTCCTGGCAAATAAACACCAGCAAGGCTGAAGCAACAGTTTAAAAAATATTTCATTATTTTAAAAAGAAAGCCATAGAGATTTCCATTTCCCACCACGCAGAGATTTCCATTTCCCACCACAACAAGAAGTCCAGAACTTCCCAGTGCTGAGGCAGTTTTATTTCCCCAATTTCCTGGAGCAGCAGTGATTCCCAGAACACCTCCCCAGTCAGGACAAGCAGGGGTAGATCTCAATGGTGTTGATCCTGAGGACAGTCTGGGGGTTTGAAATGACTGAAAAAGAAGGAAAAGGGGGGAAAAAAGGATCAGGTAACACATAAACCTGGTGCCTACCTTGTGCCAGGGCTCCTGCTGGCAGACAGCAGCATTCCATGGGGATGCCAAGGACAGCAGGTCCCAGAGGGCAGCCTGGCCAGGGCTTTACCATCCATCCCATATAAAAATAGCCATAATTCCTCCCTCTCTCAGAGAAGGAAGAGACATTTGGTGACCAAAACCTGGGCAGGACCCTGTTTGGGCTTGCTGGGAGCTGTGATGACACATACACTGTGCAAGGCTTTGGGGAGAGACTGGGATTGCTCTCCTGCCCAGGAAGTTCAGGGAACACTGCGGGAATATTAAATCCTCTGTGGGTGCACCTGGGAGAGGGGCTGGCCCCGAGGGGCTCTGGGGACAGAGAACGAGCCCCTTCCTCAGGTCCTGGTGCTGGGATTCCTCCCCTCCCACATCCAGCAGAGAAGGAGAGGTGTCCTTTCCCCCTTACTTTTCTTCCTCTGGAAGTTGTGTCTCCTCCAGAAGCGCATGTTGACCTTGGGCCACGACTCCGTCTTCTCAATCACCGTGGCCTCCACACGGACCAGGTCCTTCCTTAAAAAGGAGCGGTAGAAGCACCAGGTTTTAGTTATTTACATCCTATCATTGTCACTGCTAGAAAGGAAGGGACTCTTTTCAGGCTAGCAATGATTTATTGCTCAGATCAACGCCAATCTCAGAGGCTGTGACATTTTAGAGATATATTCAGCCACAGCTCAAGAGCAGTCACAAATTTCATTGCTACAAGGTAATATATTAACTTCCTAACTCAACAGACAGTTGCCATAGGGTTTATTTTACTTTTCTAACTTATCACCTTTATTTACTTCTGCTGCACTGCAGATACTTTTATCCGATGGGTTTCTAACTCACAGGCACACATGGGTTTTTTTGTTAGGGGAAAACCATGAGTTTTTATTTTAACTTTGTACAACTACACCCTTATATTACAAACTCTTCACTATCTTATCAGTACAGTTTCTCATTTAAGGTATACTCTCACCTACAACTATAGAAATACAAGTTCATGATTTTTTGGTTTAATATCTGTGTACTGTATTTTCACATCAATCTAAGATTCCTTTAAGGCTGTAGATCAAATTTTTTAGTGTCTGTGGAAGTTTCTGCTTTCCTGATTCTCACAACGTCCTACTCTTGGGCAGCAGGTTTCTGGGAGAAGAGACAAAGGGATAACAATCCTGGGAATTCCAGATCCTCCCTCGTAGGAGGGCCACCTGCCCAGGCACAGCCAAAAGCCTCCAGGTGCTGTACCTGGCCCAGGTGTGACAGGTCACAACTTTCCTGTCATGTGAGGGATGAGCTCTTCCATCAGAGCAGGCAGCAGACACAGGGACCTGCAGGAACTTGTAAGATTGAGGCAAGATAAATTCCCCTGGCACCTCCAGGTGATCTCATGTGCCCTGCTTTGGTTTTGGCACAGGATGAGCCCATCCCTGCTCCTGGTCAACAAGAAATCCTTCCTCCCCCTCTAAAAGCATCACAGACAGCTGGAAGAAAATCTCACCTTGTTGGAAATGCTATAATTTTCCCAGTAATTTTTAAATTAATTGTTTTAATGAACCATAAGCAATTTTCCACTGTAGCCAGCGTTTAGCAAGGCTTGCCATAAAGCTGCTGCTGCTGCTGGAACACAGTTTTGGGGAAAATTACATTAAATTACTAAAGTTTTGCTAAAACAACTGTAATCAACCTTGATATGCTTCAAGGGTCTCAGAAGGTGAGAACCCCCAGGCAGGATCCAGACAGGAGCTTTGCAAAGGGGGTTTTTAGTCAGCAGCCACAGGGAAGGAGGAGGAGCTGCTCTTCCATGCACAGCACTCCAGAATTCCATTAAAAGCTCGTTAAGTTTGCCACAGGAAGACATTTAAAGACCATTTTGCTGACAAACGGCTCTGTCTGCACTTGAGGGGGGCAGAGGGGGAAACCCATCCAGCTGAAATTGTTCCAGCAAGGTCACTGGGAGGCCAAAGGCTTCAGACAGCCACCATCTCTTAAAATTCACCCTGGGGGTGTGATTAAATCAGAGATTGGATCCCGGAGGAAACTGATTTATCTGCAGTTAGTGACCAGCCCAGGAGAAAAGAGACATAAAATGATACAGATTTTAAGAAACCACTGTGTGACCCCAACATCCCAGCTCCAGGATATGCTCCAGATCCAGCACCACTGAATCACACACAAACCCTGCAACCCTGAGGGAGGAGAAACCAGAAAGCAAACTGCACTCCAGCCCTGGTTTACCACTAATCTGGGACTAAACTTCCTGGATTCAAGGCCCTGAAGGGCTCTCTGTGGGACTCAGCTCTAGGAACTGCTGGCAGGAGGCTGAAGCACAACAGAAACCAACTTTGCTGGAGAAGAGCTCGTGGGCAGGACAAGTTCTCAGCAAAACAGAGCCCAAGGAAAAAAAAAATAAAAATCTCTATCAAACGTTTTAGGTATGACTGGAATGTCCATAAAAATAAGAAGGGGGTCACACATTTCCCAGAGCCTGACACAGCTGGGCCTGCTGCCTTCAGCAGCAAAATGTTCCACGGATTGGATTTTTGCAGGAGGTGAGAAAAACTCAGGCTGGAACCTCATGAGCTGGGCTGAAGGGTGCTGTCAAGAGGCAGAAAAAAAAAAGGATCCAGGCAAGCTCCAAGCCCAGAGGATGCTAACTCTTGGGTCACAGCTGCAGCTGCCAGGCTCGCTCCCTGCAGGGCTGAATCCCAGCCCAGCTGGCTGGGACAAACACAGCTCCAAAGCCTTTGGCACTTCCACTGCATAAAGGGGCAGGTAGCAGGAGAAACAGAGAGCTTTCCTAGAGGGAAAGTTCTCATCAGCTCTGTTTTGTCTAGAAATAAGCCAAACTTTCCCTGCACTCGTGCCTAGCACAGGCTCCAGCCCTTGTGCCAGCCGGGGCTGGCAGCGACTTGGACAAACACGGAGCCCAAGAGATTCCAGAGCAGGAGCCAGCCAGAAGCTCCCAGAATAGCCTCCAGCATGCAGATGGGGTGTGCTAGGATTTAAAGAAGTGTCATGCTGTGGGGTATCAGAGGAACAAAGCCTGTGCAGCTGTCCCAAACAGGACACTTTGGGAGCCCACAGGAAGCGGCTCCGGTGAAGTCTGAGGCTGTGAGCGCTCACTGGGTGTTTATTTATACAACAACAGAACACAGAACTGCCTCTCTTCTCATCCAGCCTCTCCTCTCCTCCCCAGAATGTCTGTGGGCTAGGGGATTGTATGATAGAACTGCAGTGTACACTGCTGGTGACACCCTTTTCCCTTCCCCCTTCTCCTTTTCCTCATCCCTATGGGAGAGCTGGGATTTGGGTGGTTCCCTCAGCTCAGAGGGTGATGGCATCTCCCCCTCAGCCTTCACTCTTCCTGGCCAGCCTCCTCCTCCTCCCACTGACTCCCTTCAGCCACAGGCCCTGGAGGCTAGGCCAGATGTGCCAGGCCAGATGTGCAGCCTGGTCTGCCTCAAGCAGCTGCCAACACTTCCCACACCCTCACAGCACCTGCAGGAGCCAACAGCTGGTTTTCTTCCTGTCCTGGACCTCCTGGCTATGCCCTGCCAAATGCAGCACAAAGAGCTGCCAACAACCAGCCCAGGGACCCTGGATCAGCTGGGGAAGGAAGCTGCTCCTCACCTGCTTGACAGGGCACATCCCAAAACTAAAAGCCCCTTTCTAATCCTAAAAATGAGATTCTCCTTCCTAAAGCCTTCCCCACACAGTATCTGGCAGTAACTCAGAGAATCCTGATGATCTGCTATTCCAGATCCACTTCCAGTGCTGCCACAAGGACTGGCAGCTCCCAAAATCCTGTCCAACACAGGGGCCTGAGGCAGGTGCCACCAGTGCCACTTGAGCCACGTTATCACTGCACAAATAACTCCTAAATACCACCAGCAGTAACACCTGGCCCACAGCCCCCTTTCTTTTGGGAAGGAAAAGTCCTGTACAGCAAGTCCTACAGCAGTGAGATGGAGGCAGTGCCAAGGGATCGACTTCTCCCAAGTTCTGTGACTGCTGGATTATGTGATTAATAGGAAGGGAAAAATTAGGAACACTGAAATTAGGGTTAAGGCTTGCTGGAGTAAGTCAGTGCCAAAGGGAAAAGGGTTAAAACCCAACTCAAGGGATTAAGGAAAAGGATTTCTGGCTTATTTCAAGATGACCACCACCAAAATCAGGGTAGAGATGATGAAGAGCAACATGTCCTGCTAGTTTGTGCAAGGAGGAAAAGATCCCACTGAGGTGAGTGCCCAGGAGCTACCTCAGAACTGAGACCTGCTGCCCTCCCAGCACTGGGGTGGGGGACACTCACCAGAGGCTGATGAGCTGTTTTACTGGTGCTCCTTTCAAAAGCCACGAGGCTGGGATCAAAGTTAGTGCTGATAAATCCCAGTTTCAGGGACTGCAGAGCCTTGAAGGCACAATTAAGTACAAAAATGTCATATAATTCCTTTATGAAGCATCTTACCCCAGCAGCGGCCTTCCAATGAGCGTGAAGTCATCAGCACCAACCAGCAAAACCTGGGGGAAATAAATCAGGCACAAATCACTGCTCATTGTCCTGGCAGAAATGCAAACAAGACCTTTCAAATTCTACAGCCATAAAGGAGTCAAAGTGCTTCAAACCAGGCCTTCCCACATTTCAAACCTGACACTAACTGGAGGGGTAGTGAGGAAAGCTGCTAACAGGCTGCAGACAGAGCCATTACTCCTCCAGAGAGCTCATCCCACTCAAACAGGCTGCACAAGTATCTTTCTCCATGATCAGAACACACTGAACCTCTCTGTCCTGGCTTACCATCAGCCATAAAAAATTATGAAAAGCAATCAGGGAAGAAGAATAACCTGCCTCATGTGGGATCTGGACAAATGGCAGCTCCCAAACCGTTGCATTTTTACAGGAATTGCTACAAATCCCAGTGGAGAAACAATTCCCTCATTCTCCTCTGTAAGGCCTGCAGATGGGGAATAAAGAAATGAACATCTGGGGGTTCATTTCAGCCACATCTGAAGGAACAGGCAGGATAAGAGAGGATGCAGTAGGAAGAGGCTGCATTCCACTGAAATCATTGAGTTTGGAAGGAACCTTCAAGGTCATGGAGTCCAACCATCAAACCCAGCACTACCCCAATCTTCCCTAAACCACGTCCCCCAAGTGCCACATCCAGAGCCACTTCTCCCAGGGCTGCCTCACAAATCCTCTGGCAGCACTTAAAAACCACACAGAAATGGTCATGAGAAGTCCTGGCTTTTGTTTTAGACAGAAAAAAACCCCCAACAAATTAAAGGGCTCTGGTGTTCAGGCAAATTTTCTCCTTCACTCCCATCTAGATCTTTGCATTCTGTGCTGGCTACAGCACAGAAATCCCTCCTCTCTGCTGCACACAGGGATGTGGGACACAGCTGAGGACATCCCTAAAAAGCTGCTTCAAAACTGGGCTTCAAAGCAATGGACAAGCACAAAAACTCCACAGCTCTCCTTAATTATTACTTGCTTAGCTCTAACAAACAACAGGAAGGTGAAGCCAACAGAATCCCACTCCATAATATTTCCCTTCAGCCTGGATTAATGAGCCTCTGCAAGTCCCTGCTGGCTGTCCAAGGCTGAGGATAAAGATATTAATTGGATCTTGGCAATTCTCCCCTCTGTGCCCCATCCCTCTGCCTCCACCCGGCCCAGCACGATAAGGATCTTGCAGAGCCCTGAGGAGTTTACAATCCCTCTGGGAGACCTGCAAGGATTTAAGAGGTTGGACTCGATGATCTTAGAGGTCTTTTCCAGCCTAAATGACTCTGTGATCCAGGGTGCTGGACTCTCAAGGCAAACACAGGCTTTTGCTGCAGGCTCTGGAAACAACAACTGTCATTTTCTTTTTTTGGAAGGAGTTAGGACAACAAAAATCTGTCTCCCCACAGAGTCTGGCAAGACTCACTCCAGCCCTGTTGAACAGAAATCACAATAATATCTGAAACTGGAACGAAACCAAGGGAATTGGAACAAAACAAAGGGCTGGAACGAAGGTGGGAGACCCCCAGGAGCACTTTGGGACGTGGCGTTAAAACCAGCAATGGGTTTTGCCTCCAGGAACGTTCGCAGGGAACCTGCTCTGGTTTTTTTTCACCTTTTCCATGCGGATCCGGTCTCCACACTCGGCCTCCAGGACGTTGTCCATCATGATGAGGTCCTCACTGGTGATTTTCCACTGCTTGCTGGCGAAGTGCACGACGGCGAAGAGGCGCCCGTAGTGCCCCGCCGCGATCAGCCCGTTCACCTTCTGCACCACCTCTGCTGGCAAACAGGGCCAGGATCAGGGCAGCACACCCAGGGAGCTGGGAAGGGCTGGGAAAACTCACCCAGCCACCCTGCTCTCCCCCCCAGCACTCTTATCTGCTGGGAATCTTTAGGCAAGGATCAACAGCAGCGCTGCTTCCCAGATGTGTGAGCCTCCCTTTCTTAAAATTAATGATTTATTTGTATTTTAGGTGCTGGCAAAGCCACACATAAGTAAACATCTTGTATACACTGTGCAGCTTCTCTACACTGCTGACTCTCAGCCCATTCCTCAGGCATCCCAAAATACACTGTAGTTGGATATAAAGCATTCCAGAAAAGAGCTCTTGTCCATGCACCCTGTGTTTGGAGGAAATTCCCTCCATTTCCAAGTCATATGCAGACAGCCCAGGGCTTTGAGCAGTGCCTAAGGCACAGAGGAACATTGGGAAGAGCTTGGCAGAGTACCAGGGAAAGCCTGGCCCCAAAAGTTGTACCTGCAGCAAGGACAAGAGACCAGTCCCTTGCTCTTTCCCAGAAAAACGTCTTCCCACGTGCCTGTAGAGTGGTGCTAGGAGCAGGACAGAGCCCAGAGACCAGCTCCTGCACGTGGACAAACTCCATTCCCTGTGATCAGCTTCCTGGGCAGTGAATCCAACCCCAGTTTTTATGGGAACACCAAAAGGTGTTGCTGCCTGACACCATCCCACTGCCAAACAGCAGCTTCCCACCCTCCTCAGCTGCTCAGAAAAACACATTAAAAAGTGGCTGAATCATTTTTGGGTTTTTTTCTTGGAATGCAAACAGAACATCCCTTTGGGACAGACAGGAATCCAGCAGCCAGGCAAACCCAACCCAATCCTTACAGGAATGCTCAGAAAAGGTCCAAGCTTCAAGCCCTAGGATTCAAACTTAAAGGTACAGGCAGGAACACAAATTATTTGCAGGGCAGGAGCTGCTGCAATTCCCACCAGGATAAAGAGTTGTTGATAACTCTCCCAACACCTCCAGTGCCAGGAAACATCAAGTGATTGCTGGCTTGGATCTCAGCACCATGTGGAGAGACCCATCCTAAAATATCCTGGGCTGTTTCCATGGGCAGCAGGAGGCAGAACTGGAAAGCTCCTGCTGCTGTTCCCTTTGGATGAGCACAGCCAGGAGATAAGGATGCAATGCTCAGCAGCAGCAGGAGGCAATGGCACGGGAGCAGGATGGCAGCAATCCCTGAGGATGGGACCCTGCTCCCCACAGGGCTGGCAGGGAGCAGTTTGTGGTTCACTGCTGGGTTATTTCTCACACAGGGACAGCACCCATCTGTCACCTGAGTGATTATTGACACTTGGCTTCTCACCACAGAGCAGAGAAAAAGCAGGATCAGAACAGGCCAGCAGGAGATGTGGAGCAGGAGGCTCTCTGCAAAGCACACCCCTCAGTCAGGGACACACTCCAGCCAGTGATGGGGGACATCTGCAGGAAGGTGGGCTCAGCTCTTGTCAACCTTGTCACCCAGCTCAGAGCCTGAGTGCCACATCCAGTCATTCCCTGGACACCCTCAGGGGTGGGGACTCCAAACCTCCCTGGGCAGCTCCTCCCAGTGCCTGACACCCCTTTCCAGGAAGAAATTCCTCCTGATGTCCAACTTGCCTCTTCCCTGGCACAGCTTGAGGCTGTTTCCTCTCACCCAGCAATCCTGACAAGCTGAGGGGACAGGGACACGACCCCAGTGTTCTGTCACGCTGTGTCCCACCTCTGCAGGTCTGTCCCTGTGCCCACCATCCAACTGCTCCTGCTGGCTTTGATTTAGCCAGTGAATGGAAAACAACTCGTTTCTCCTGCCCAAAATGCTTCTCTCAAGCTTTAATTTTTTTTTTTAATATAGTGTTCCATGCCACACATCACATCAGGTAAGGTTCCTCTGGGAAAAGCTGCCCTAAACTAAGGAGAAATCACATTGTACCCAAATCTCCCAAACCTGGAGAGCAGCTGGAGCACAATTCCAGTGACACTAAAACACGTGAGAAATGAAATTAAAAAAAAAAAAAAAGAAGTGAAGAACTCAAACTTCCAAATGAAGACATTTATGCTCAATCAGGCCTCGAGGCAGTGCTGGAAGACCAGATTTGAGACTTTTACCTGCATGATACTTGGCTTCTTCCACTGGATCTGGAAGTTTCACTTCAGGCCATGGGGGCGAAGTCAGGGAAGTTTTGGCAACAAGTCTGTGAAGGACAAGGCAAAATTCACTGCAGCAAGCAGAAACTGCCAAGAGATGGAAAACAGGGAGAGGAAAGAAGGAAAAAGGAGATGGAGTAGAACTGCATATTACTCACAAACACCACAACTCACAAGGCGTCAGATTACAGATTACAGTTAACTATTAGGCAAGAATCTACAATAGCACAAAAGCAATCTTGGATATAAAGAGGAGGGAGCTTTGCCTCGGAAAACTCCATGAGATGAACATGAATGGTCGTAGTTTCTGAAATCTGAAAATTTAGCAGATTTTGTAAACACCATCCCAAAACAAAAAGCAAATACCATCCCCCTCAGCAGTGGGCAGTTCAGGTTTTCCTGCATGCAGAAATCCACACTTGGCCTAAACAACACAGGATGCACCAAATGCATAAAATATTCGGGAATAAACATGAGACGTAGTGAAAAAAAAGCAAAATGGACTCAAAATCCTTTGCAATGATTGGTTTACTCTGTAACCCCGAGCCAAACATCCCAAAGGGCTTTAATCCAACAGGAACTGAAAGCACCTGTGAGTACACAACCACAGGCACCGAGGCCTCACAGGGTTTAGTGAGAGTTTGGGTGCTCCATCACCCAGGCAGGGATCCAAGATCTCTGATCCTTGAGGATGAGCAGGAAGAGGGAACAGTACATCCTGCCATCCTCCCTGGCAGGAACTCTCTGCTCCTGCAGTGTCCCCTCCTGGTCACAGCCAGCAGCAGCTCCTCAGTCCTGCAGGAGATCCCAGCACAGGGAAAGGAATAAAGGCACAACAAAAGGTCCCAAAGGGCTGGAAAAAGCGAAGCCTGAAGGTGTCATTGGAAGAGGTGTCACAGGATTCCTGAATGGTTTGCCTTGGAAGGGATGTTAAAGCTCATCCAGTCACAACCCAAGGCAGGGACAATTTCCACCAGACCAGGTTTCTCCAAGCCCTGTTCAACCAGGCCTTGAATATTTCCAGGGATGGGACAAAAAAAAAAAAAAACCAAAAAAAAACCCCCAAAAAAGAAAGGAAGCATCCTTCTGGGAAAGGTGACTGAAGGTAGGCAGAGCCCAAAACACTGGGGAGTGACCAAGGGGCAGCCAAGTCTCCTTCCCAGAGGAAAGCCAGCTGCCCTCCCAGGCTGGAAGCAGGGCAGCATTCCAGGAGGAAGAGGCAGAGTGATGGATGTGTGACATTACCCTGCCTGTGGGGATGAGCTCTGGGAACTCCGGTGCCGGACCGCAGCCGAAAGCAGCGAGGCTGAAAGGGAGGAAAAGAAAATTAAACACAGGCAGCAGCTGCTGGGCTTTTGCAAAATTCCAGAATCATTCAGGCTGGAAAAGTCCTCCCAGACCACTGAGTCCAACCTGTGACTGGCCAACCACATTGTCACCCAGCCCAGAGCACGGAGTGGAACGTCCAGGCATTCCTGGGACACCTCGAGGGATGGGAACTCCAGTACCTCCCCAGCCTGGGAAGGAGATTGATAAAGTCCTTACTCCCTCCCATCCATTGGATCTTGCTGAAGGGTTTATGCCAAGGTGCAAAGAACTGTGTAAAGCTGATTCTCCTTTTTGTTAACACTCCCTGACTTTTGGACTCCGAGCTGATGCTGGGAAAGACCCGGATCCCTTCCACCTCTGGGAAGAGCTCCAGGGCTCATCCTGCAGGAGCAGGGCAGGGACACAGAGGGGCCAGGAGGCAGCAGTGGGGACCCTGACTACTGCCAGCCTCCTTCCATCCCAGCAGCAGGCAGAGCACAGCCCTCCCATCCTTCCTTTCCTCCCACCGCCTGGCAGAGCATCTTCCTCCATTCCTTCTTCCCTTCCTTCCTTCCTTCCTTCCTTCCTTCCTTCCTTTCCAGCAGCAGTAGGCAGAGCTCCTTCCTCTCCTTCCTTGCCTCCATCCCAGCAGCAGAAAGAGCATTTTCCTTTTCTTCCTCCCTTCCTTTCCCCCCAGCCGCAGCAATAGCCCAGTCCGTCCGTCCATCCATTCCTCCTTTCCAGCAGCAATCAGAGCACCTTCCTTTCCCTTCTCCCCCCCTTCCCAGCAGCAGGCAGGTAGGCAGGCAGAACTCCTTCCTTCCTCCTTGCCCTCCCTTCCAGCGGCAGGGGCAGAGATTGTCCCTCCCTGTCCCTGTCCCCCGTTCCCGCTCCCCGCTCACCTCCCGCCCGCCGCGCTCGCGCCGCCGCCATCGCGGTGACCTCGCGCCGGACGCGGAACCGCGGGGGCGGGGCCTGGCGCGCTCAGGGGGCGGGGCCCGCCCGGCCGAGGGGGTGGGCCTGCGCGGGCCGAGGGGGCCATGGCGGCCGAGGCGGCGGAGCGGCACCTGGGGCTGCTGCGGGACGAGCGGGAGGCAGAGCTGGCCCAGAGCAGGTGCGGCACACACGGCACCGGCCGCCGGGGACACGGAACAGACCGCCGGGGGATTACGGGGCGGTCACAGCCGGGGACACGTGCGGCTGCGGGGGCACGGGAGCGCTGTCACCCCTGGGGAACACTGAGGGACCTTCAGCTGGGACCCGCTATCACCTCTGGGGAACACTGAGGGACCCTCAGCTGGGACCTGCCTGTCACCTATGGAAACCCCGAGGGATCCTCCCCTGGGACCCCCTGTCACCTCTAGGAAACCCTCCTGTCACCGGTGGGAATGCTGCTGGAGTCCCACCGCTCTAACCAGCCCAGCTCTATAGGAACGCCAGCCCACAGGGCTCTGATCCATGGGGAATCCTGCTGGGCTCGCCCCCACAGGACCAAGTCACCCTCTTAGATGGCCTTGCTGGGGGTACAGACACTTACCCAGCCAGGAGGACGGAGGTGCCAGGCTAAGGTCATTCCACTCTGTCCCCTGGAGCTGTGACCCTCATCCTCACCCTGTGGTGTTCCCACCTGTGTGTGGTTCCCAGGGCATGGCAGGAGAGCGTCTCCCTGAAGGAATTGCAGCGGAGAGGTGTCTGCTTGCTCAAGCTCCAGGTCAGCAGCCAGAGAACCGGCCTCTACGGGCGTCTCCTGGTGACATTCCAGCCCAGGAAGCGGGACTCGGACACCGAGCTGCCCTCCAACAGCTTTGGGCCTGGTCAGTGACACTCCTGTCTTTCCAAGGAAAGAGATCATACAGCCTAGAAGGGTTTGGGTTGGAAAGGACCTTAAACCCCTTCCCGTCCCACCCTCTGCCATGGGCAGGGACGCCTTCCCCTAGCCCAGGCTGCTCCAAGCCCCATCCAGCCTGGCCTTGGACACTTCCAGGGATGGGGCAGCTGCAGCTTCCCGGACAGTGACACATTTGCCCCACCTCACTCTCCCTTCCAACCTCTGCAGGGGACATCGTGGGGCTCTATGAGTCGGCTGGGCAGGGGGACCCGCTGTGCACGGGCGTGCTGACACGTGTCACCCCCAAGGCAGTGACAGTGGCCCTGGAGGAGGCCCGGGATGGGGAGCTGGCCCTGGACCACGAGCGCTCCTTCCGCCTGCTCAAGCTGGCCAACGATGTCACCTACAACAGGCTCAAAAGGTGAGGGCTCACCCCGGCTCACTCTGCCCAGCGGGATGGGGAGTTCCAAGTTCAGTTTGGAAAAGCCTTCCCAGTCCCTTCCCACCTTGGATTTGTCATTCTAGAGCCTCACAACAGCCTCAGTTTACCCACCTGCTGGCTGGTCCTGGTCTTCCCTTTCCCTCTTCAGGCTGTGTTTTGGTCCTATTGCATCACCTCTGGAACGCTCTGCGTTCTGTGTAGGGCCTTTTCCATCCTGGCAGAAGGAGTGAACAGCTCCTTGCTGGATAAACATCCCAAAAAAGCACATTTGGCTGTACCAAACAGGGACAATGGGAAGTGGAAGCCTGACCAGCACAGGGATGTGTGTGCAAGGGCTGAGAGATGCAGGAATTGTGTGGGATTAGTCTTGTGGGGTAGCATTGTTCAGCTGTGGAATAGCGTGGTCCTTACTCACAGCTTGTCTCTGGGCACTTGGGAGTCTCCAAAGAATTCCTGCTGTGTCTGTAACCTGGATTTCCCCTTCTTTGGCAGAGCTCTAACTGCACTCAAGCAGTACCGTGGTGGCCCAGCCTCTGACCTGATCGACGTCCTCTTCTTTGCCTCTGCTCCCAGGGCGTTCCCTGGAACAAGTAAGGATCCTTTTTTTATCAGGCTTGATGGGCATCCTTGGGAATTGCCCACGAGAGCACAAATAGCTCTGATCCCTGTTTTTATCCACACATGCTCCAGAAAAGACCCCAGTGTTCAATGTGAGTCATCAGTGGGGCTGCCACTGGTAGCACTGTGTTCATACTGGTCTGTACTGGGCACACTTTCCTCATGGAAAGGACCTTGATAAAAACTTGGATATAAGTAGTATCCACTCTGTTGTGCTTCTTAGGAAGAAACAAAGATTAAATTACACAGCTCCACCTTTTGGGGAGAGCAAAGCCTCTGATCAGCAGCTGAGTCAGATATCACCACCTGCTAATGGATATTATCCCTTGGCAGAAGGGAAGGGTGCCAAAATCAGGGAGTGAGGGCTGAGGGTGGGCTGTGTCTACGCCATGTACGGAGCTCAGGGCTGCTCTCCCCCCTCATGCCATCCATCCCTGCCAGGGTTCTGCCCCTTTTCCTCCCCTCCACAGCTCCCTGCACTGTTTGTCTTCCTTGGAGTCCTGGATTTGGCTGCCCACTATGGTTTGCCTCTCTCCCATCTCCTCCAGCCAGTTTTGACTTCTGATAGGATGTGCCAGGGACAAAAAATGGGTGCTAATGAGTCCTATCCCCATTTCTCTAAGCATTGATCCCAGACTGAGTCAAACCTTTTAGCCCTTTGGCTGCCCGGGGACCTTGGTGCACTCAAAGTTTTAATATTAAATAAAAGAATTAAATTTTTATCAATCAACTTTCCTCAACAGTGCTTTTACCCCTGAGGGAGCAGAAGTGCCTCTAATGAAGGAAGGCTCCTTCTCACCACATCACTCAGCTGTGCCAGGCTGGGCAGAGATGAATTTTCCATCTGCTCAGCGCTGGGAATATTGATGGGTAGATGGAGGCACGTTAGACAGACAGAGGAGGTGCAATATGAACTCCCAAGGCCTTGCAGTTACCTCCTCCCTTCAGAGCTGCTTTCTCCCCACCTGGAGAGATGTTGTACCAGCCAGGAATTAAGGGATAATAACTTGGAATAAGCCTGCCCTGAGCTGAAGGGCTCTGCCAGGCAAACTTCACAGCACTCAGGCAGCTTTTCCATGTCACAGCCTCTCCTTCCATGACCAAGCACCCATTAGCCTGGTTTCTTTGGGGATGTGTCTCATCCCATCCATTACCTGGTTTCAAACAAGCCCATCAGCAGCAGGCTGAGTCAATAAGCCCTGGACAGCTCCTGAAATTGGCTGTCTAGACACACATCTGTGTCAACACTGCTCAGGGATGCCAGATGAGCTCACTTCCCTCAGAAACCAGGGAGCCACAGCTGGGAGACAGGGCAAAACCCACTCCAGCAGGTGCAATGTGCAGCAGCAGAAGCCTGAATCTGATTTTTTTTTTGTGGGGGACACGATGAGAATCCTAATTTTTCAATCAGGAAATCTTGTAGGTGGGTTCTGACACCGCTGTGCATTTCAGTAATTAATTATCAGCAGCAGCCTAACACAGCACATCAAAGCCCAAGGCCTTTCAAAACACTTAAATATGCAACAATAAATGCTTCTGGCATGAGACAAAAACATGGGACAGGCTGTGGGAAGAATAACCTAAGGAATAGCCAAAAGGAAAGGAAGGGATTTCCAGTGGGTAGCTGGGACCTGCAGCAAAGATTGGGACTGGCACAAAGCACTTCCATACCTCACCTTGCTGCCTCCAGGAAGGCTCCAAGGGGGAGAACCATTTTTCCAGAAAGGGCAGACTCTGAACTGAGCAGGAATTTTGCCCTTATCAGACTCCCTGGGAAGCAGAATCCAGGTGCTCACCCATCAAAAATGGCCTCCTTGTCTCCCTTCCACTTTGATCTGCACCCGTGGCCCTGCTGGAGCTTCCACATCTGAAATCACCTCCAAACAATCCTCCCCTGCTCCCAGCTTCCATGTGGGATCCCTGCACCCCTACATTTAGGGAATGGGGGGGAGTGGAGAGGCTTTTCTAGCCAGCAGAGGCCAGCATTGCTCTGGTTGCTGTGCTCCTCCTGGCCATCCAAGAGGGACATGTCCCTTTTCCCTTTGGAAAGCAGGTTCTGCTGTACCTGTGCAGGTTGGTGATAGGTGCCAGCTCTCTCCTGGGCTGGAGAAAGGAATGCTCATTTTTGTTCCTGACTCCAGAAGGCCTGGCTTGTGTCCAACTCTGCCCATGGCTGTCAAAACATTTGTAAAGGGAAAGAAGCAATCCTGGTGAAAAGGCAGGAATGTCCCCAGAAAAAGCCAACCTGGCAGCAGAACACTGGGGAAGCACCAGGGATTTCCAGCAAGAATTTAATGGCTTTTTGACACAAGTCACTTGCAAAAAAGAACCTGAAATGCTCCTCATCCCTCTGCCCTGTGACACCTCCTGTCATCACAGGGGCCATGGAGAGGCCTCTGAGATTTTTGGGGAAGACAAACAGTCCAGACAACTCAGCTGCCACATATTTCCCCTGGAGAACAGGGGAAGTTCTGATCCAGGCTGAAGTACCCAGCTGGATTTTGTCCAGCAGTGTTGGCTGCAGTGAGGAGGGGCTGCTGGGGATGGGGGTCTGAATTGCTCTTGGTCAGAAATATACCCTGGAAAGGGCTTCCAGCTCTGGAAAACCTGGGCTCTTCCTCCCAGGAAGGGCTGTTTCTATCCATTTTTGGTGCAAAGACCCCATTCCTGAGCCTGGATATCACCCCCCAACCCACTGCCTCAGCAGAGCTGCTGGAACTGTGCAGAAAAGCATCTCAGTCCCTGGGAATGTTGGGGCACCAACATGGCACCTGCATGGCCAAGGAAATTTGGTTTTCAGCACTAATAAATGAAGTTGTGCATCAGGGCACAATTACCTGGCCGCCAGCAAGACACATCCCAGGGATTTCTTCAGGTGAGGATACCTGGAGCCCAGCTGCTGCAGGGAGAAGAGTTTGGAGGAGCCACAGCATCCCCTAAGAGGCTCTTCCCTCCTGCCCACCAATGTGGCCAGCCCAGGAGAGGCACCCTGCCAGCCTTCCCACACAGCAGCTCCTGGCAGCCCGTGGATGGGAGGGATGAGGGTGGGCACAGGCCTGGAGAAGCTCCTTGGCTCATCCTTGAGAAAGGAAGCATCAATGACTCCCACATCCCAGCTGTTCCTCACTGTGGGAAAAGCCTCTCAGGTTTGAAGCTATTCCTGCTTTTCCCCCAGCCCATGGGATGCTTCCTGGTCCTGTCTTAGTCATTAACACACTCACCCAAAATTTACGTATGAACCAAGAGGCAGGGTGACAGCAAAAAGCACCTTCAGCCCCATTTCTCTCCTCATCATCACCTTCTCAATGAGTATCTTTTGTTTTACCTCATTTGGTGGTGCTGCTTGAAGAGCCACAGGTTCACCTGCCTAAAACCAGAAGAAACTGCCATGTTTTTAATCCAGCCCTTAATGCAAAGGGAGGGATGAAGCACATGATGCCCAGCAGGGAAGGATGCCCAGAGATGTGTCTTATATAAGCTTTTGTGGGAACGTTATTTTCGGGAAACCTCGGTGTAATGAGTCATCATCCCTGCTGTAATTAACTCCCATAATGAACAGGGAGATTAGCATTAGGATTGGGGGGGGGATGAGAATAAATTTGGGCTTAAATTAGATCAATCTGGGAGGTTAAAAAGCAGCTTTTGAGAATTCAGTCTCTGCAGTGAAACCAATTCTCTTCTAATGCGATTTGCATATTCTTTTCTCTTTTTTCCTCCCTTATTAAAGCAGAAATGAGTTTTAATTTTATCATTTAAATTGCTCTTTGTACCTTTTCCTGCCTTCATTCCCAGTCTTGGCTGGCCACCACAGGGCTGCTCTGTTCTGCTCACAGACTCTGTAGGTTTTTCTGCTTTTTCACTGGTGCTGCATTAGGTTTGTTCACTGGCAGGGATTTGTTTGCCAAATCTGCTACTTCCTCCCCAATTTTCATTGAAGATTTCACTAAAGGTGTTGGTTCTCCTGCAAAACAAACCGAGAGCTCCCTCCAGAGCCAGGAAAACCTACCTGTTTGATGCTGGAGCAGCTTAATGCTTCTTAAATTCTGGGAATTCCAGCACTGACTGGCTGAAGGCCAAGTGTCAGGGCTGGGGAGGGGATGGGGAAGCATGGATGCAGGATGGGGAGGGAGCCTGTTTAAAATGCTTATTTTTACCTTCTGGGGTCTTCCAGCCTCCTCAGTGCTTTCCTCCCAAGGTTCTCCTCATTACCAAGTGGATTTGGGCCCGCTGCAGAGAATACCATGTATTTCTAGATTTGTGCTTCTCAGCCTCTTCCCAGCCGGGGATGAGGTCCCAGTGACTCTCCTGCTGTCTCCCCAGAGCCTCTGGAGTTCTTCAATGGCTCCCTGGATGAGTCTCAGAGGGAAGCTGTGTCCTTCTCCCTGGCTCAGAGGGAGCTGGCCATCATCCACGGGCCTCCAGGCACAGGGAAAACCACGACCCTGGTGGAGATCATCCTGCAGGCTGTGCAGCAGGGCCTGAAGGTGAGGCTCACTGCCAGGGTTCTGCTGACAGGGACCACCTCAGGTGGCCACCAGTGACCATCTCTGGTTGTGTGAAGGCCTCAGAGCAGCCTTCTTGTCAAGGGAAGATTTACAGGGATTCTTCATCAGGAACTGGGGTGGTACCACAAGGGGAAATGGCTTCAAATGGGGGGAGGGGAAATTTAGGTTGGATATTGGGAAGAAATCCTTCCCTGTGAGGGTGGTGGGGCCCTGGCACAGGTTGCCCAGAGAAGCTGTGGATGCCCCTGGATCCCTGGCAGTGTCCAAGGCCAGGTTGATGGGGCTTGGAGCAACCTGGGATAGTGGAAGGTGTCCCTGCCCATGGCCAGGGGGCTACTGGATGGGCTTTAAGGTCCCACCCAAACCATTCCAGGTTTCTGTGATTATTTTGCATACTCCTGGGCTTTGTGGCAGCTGGAGCAGCCCCTGTTGGATCTGTGCTAATCCAGAGCCTGGCTTGGCTTGCAGGGACCAGGGACTTCCCCACCAGCTCCAAGGAGGTGCTGATGAGCTCAGGTTTGGGGTTCGCTGGGGCCCCTACAGAAGTGCTGCAAAGCAAGGAGGGAATTACCTGTGGTGATGCCAGTGCTGTGTTCCCAACAGAAGCTCGCTGGTCTCCCTCTCTCTGCTCGGCCACCCCCTGCTCCAGCCCGTGGGTGCCCTCAGAGGTGCCAGGGCCGTGCTTGTCCCCGCAGGTGCTGTGCTGTGCCCCGTCCAACGTGGCCGTGGATAACCTGGTGGAGCGGCTGGCGGGCTGCAGGGCGCGGCTGCTGCGGCTGGGCCACCCCGCCCGCCTGCTCCAGCCCATCCAGCAGCACTCCCTGGACGCCGTGCTGGCCCGAGGGGACAACGCCCACATCGTGGCTGACATCAGGAGGGACATCGACCACGCCTGGGTGCGTGCCCCTGCGGGGGGAGTGTGTGTGCAGCCCGGAGTGATCCCGTGAGAAGGGCAGATGCCAGGGGGACGTTCTTCCCTGGGAGGCTGGGGGGCCTCTGCAGTGGATGGTTCAGAGAAGCTGTGGCTGCCCCTGGATCCCTGGAAGTGTCCAGGGCTTGGAGCAGCCTGGGCTAGTGGAAGGTGTTCCTGCCCTTATGAGATGATCAATTTTGGGATATTTTTGGGGGGGACTTTTCTAAACCATTGTGGGATTCTCTGATCTTCATGTGCTGGAGGACAGAACTCCTCCTGCCTGAATCCCTCATGGAAGTGGGAAAATTCCAGTCCCTGCTGCTGCCCCTCACATCACCCGACTGCCCTGATCCATGCCCTCTTCTTTACCAGGGAAACATTCCCATCATTAATTCACTTCCTAACAAGCTGTCTGCCTGTCCTGATACTCTCTCCCACTCTCAGCCACCTCAAGTAGAAAGCAGAGCACATTTTAAAATGCATCCTTAATTTCTTCTTTCTCACCCTAATTTTCCTAACATTCCCTTACAACATAGCTCTGGTACTTGGGCTGAGGATTTGATGCTAACTAGGTTATTTTCCTTCCCTTTTCTAGTGGCAGCACTGTCCAAAAGCCTTTTTTTTTTTTTTTGCTTCCTAATTTATTTTTCCATCTTTCTGACTGGTGATTAATTTTCACTTTCATCTCCTTGGGAGGAGTATGTCACAGAAGCTGCCCTTGGCTGCAGAGAGCTCATCTCCAAGGTCCTGACCCATCTTCATTCCCTACTTTTCCCTGGAACAATTTCTCCCTTTGCAGCTCCATGTTTTGACTCTTCTCTCTCCTTCCCTTCTCCCCAGCCCACAGAAGCAGCAGTAAGAGAAATAAAAACCTGTCCCCTCCTGAGGCATTTCCTACGCCTCTGTGCTTCCTTCCCTCACCTGGCTTTGAGATTCCCAGGACCTCAGCTTCTGGATACTCCTTACTCCAGCAGGGTTTCAGCCCCACAGTACCTGAGAATGAAATGCAGCACAGATCCAGGGCCAGTCCAGCTCCAGGGATGCTGAGCAGGATCAGGGGCGCAGTCCAGGAGGATGAGGCAGGGAACCCAGGGAAGAAAGCAGGCTCACTCCATGAGCTGGCCTTACATAGACTCCCAGACCAATGAGGACATGAGAGAGCTCACATGAGGCAGGTGGGGATGATTAGAGCTGATATTCCTAATCCCTAACTAGGAATGGCTCCAGACTGACCTCATCCTCAGGGCCCTGTGATCCCACACCTGGAATTCCTGAGCCCATTTTGATGACACCTGTCAGATACATGGAGGTTTCACAGTTTTAAATACCCATGGATTCAGCCAAAGCAGGGGGCTGAGGTGATCCATGTTAGACCCTAGAAAATCCATCCATCCATCCATCCATCCATCCATCCATCCATCCATCCATCCATCCATCCATCCATCCATCCATCCATCCATCCATCCAATCCACCCATGGCATGACTATAGGAACCAGCCTGTCCTACTCTTTTGGCTGCCTATAAGAGCTTCTGCCTGCAGCCTTTGCATCCTTTCCAGCCTTACCTCCAGGGAAATGATCCCAGTTTCCATCTGGGATCACTCAGTGAGCCATAGCTGAGCTGTGCTCCCATGGCTGCTGCTCTGGCAGTGCTGGTGTCCAGTGCTGGTGGGTTGGGGTGGTAGATACATTTAATACCTGCTAAAAAAAGCCCTGGGCCTGTCTGGATTTTTTCCAGCAGCTCAGAGAGGCCAGTTGGAGGTGGCAGAGCTGCTGCTGGGGCTTGGGGAGCCCTCCTGCTTCCAGAAGGGCTCTGCTTCCTCAGAATAAGCTAGGAAATCCCAGTCCCCAAGACCCCTTTTCCTAAACATTCCTCCCTCCCAGATGCTTTGGCAGATCAGAGACACGGCCAGAACTGAATGGCAGCAGTTGGCTCTATCCAAATTTTTCTGTTTTCTAGGCAAAAACCAAAAAGGCCCAAGACAAAGGAGAGCGAAGCCATTTCCTGGGTGAGATCAAGACCCTGAGGAAGGAGCTGAAGGAGAGAGAAGAGGCTGCTATGACTGCAGCCCTCAGCCAGGCCAGCATTGTCCTTGCCACCAACACAGGTGTGACATCCTCCTGCTGGTGTTTTCCCTCCCTTTGCCAGCTAAACCAGGTGCTCTGCAAGGCAGCTGTCCTGGGATGGCTGGCACACTTGCTCCCAGCTCCTGTGAGCTCAGCAAAGCCCCCCAATCCCAGTGGGATTCTCCCAGCTCCCACTGTGGCACAGGATGTTGTTGAGCACAGAAGATGGATCTGGAAGGGCCCCTGTTAGCTCTGAGTAGGAGCAGGGAGTGCAGTGAGTAAACAAGTGCTGCTGGAGGTGTGCAATCTGCTCCCTATGGCATAAATCACATGGGATTGCTTCCCTGCTTGGACCCTTGCCAGGGCTGATGAAACCCAACACGTGTTTCCAGAGCCTGCTCCCAGGCTGCCTGTGGCTGCTTCTGCACTCACCCAAATGCTGTCGCACAGGATTTTAGGGAGCAGGTCCAGGTGTCCATCAGGCAGCTGCAGCTGGGAAGGTTTGGCACGTGTGGAAGAGCTTTACTGGCTCAGGTTTTTCATACTCACTTAAAATCTTCAGATCTGGTTGCTCAAGGGTCATTTGTTGAAAGGAAACATCAATAGTTTTAGGTCATAAAACAGCAAGTTACTGGAGTGAAGGTTAGTGGACAGATAAATCTTTCCATGTCTTAGTCCCTGGGAGTTGGCCTCTCATTTCTTTATACTTGCCTGAAAGAGAGGGGGAGATTTCCTTCTCCCAGTAAAACTGGTGTTTTTGTTGATCAGCTGTGATTCTCCCTGGAACTGGAGCTTCCCAGCCAGCTGGAGAAGTGGCAAAAATCGAGTTATGACTGTACAACTCACCAGAGCAGATTCATACAGGCTGGAAACCGGTTTTGGAAGGAGAACAGTGTCTGTGGTGGCAAACTGGAATGCCTGAGGTGATGCAGAGCTGCAGAAGCAGCAGGATTTACAGTGGCAAAGCCAAATCCCCACTCTCAGAGCTGCAATAGCACAGGAGCTTTGGAAAAAACATTTCTGTAAATAAAAATCTGGGAGACTGGCTTCCTTGCCCTGCCCTCCTCCTTTTGCATCCTTCTTCTTTGTGAACCGCAGGCAGATTTGGATGCCCCTGGAATTCAGATTTCTGATCAATGTATGGATCAGTATCAGTAGGTCATGGTTAGAGCAGGATGTCTGTAAGGAGACAAATGTTACAAATGGACTTCTGATGTTAAAAATTAGCCCTTGATGTGGCTGTGTGGTTCCAGTCTCCTTTCCCTCTTCCCAGTGCCACGAGGAGGAGCAGAGTCAGCCCATCTCCTCCTCTCAGGGTGTCCCTCAGTTACCAGACAGGTGAACCCCCAGTTCCTCACCCCCTGAGTGCTGGGCATGAGGAGTTTTGTTGGCACTGGGGGGGTAGCAGGAAGGTGGGTGTTCCTTGCTCTGCTCCAGATGAAGCACTGGAGCATATTGTTGTCTTTGGCATCTGGGCTTCACTGATGTTCCCAAAGATACTTGGAAGCTTCTGGGCCCAGATGCCAGGGGAAAAAAGGACAAAGAGGAGCTGGCAAAAACAATCCTGACTTACACATATCAGCGGATACGTGTTTGGCAGGGCTGAATTCCTACATCTCTGCAAAGAAACATTATTTCACTTGCCTCAGTCACTATTACAGCTTGTGAGGTTTGTTTCCAGAGCAGGTTCCTCACTCTTCCTTGCTCCCCTGCTCACTTGGGAACCTTCTCCTTCCACCAGGTGCTTCCTCAGACGGCCCCCTGAAGCTGCTGCCTGAAACCCACTTTGACCTGGTGGTGATTGATGAGTGTGCCCAGGCTCTGGAAGCCAGCTGCTGGATCCCTCTGCTGAAGGCTCCCAAGTGCATCCTGGCTGGGGATCACAAGCAGCTGCCCCCCACCATCATCTCCCACAGGTAAAAATCCTGGATCCTCCCGTTCTTTGTGCAGCCTCTGAATCCTGGTGATTGGAGACATTTCACAGTGGAGAGCTGTGCTGCCTGCAGGCTCTGTGGAATGCATTTGGGCTCATCCTCAGGCTAATCCTAGTATTTCCTTTAATTCTGCTTCTGTGGTTTCCACATTTATTTATTTAATGTATTAATATGTGAATTGGCCCAGTGAGATGCTGCATTATCACACACCTCAGGGATTATAAAACCTCCCAGTCCCTACAATGTGGATAATAAGAGCAGTTAGTTTGTGGAAAAGATCTGTGGATAGTGCAAATTGCCTGTGCTTCCAGGGGGATGCTGCAAAGAGTACTGAGGAATCTTTGAGTTATTTAAAACATAAATGTGCTCATGTTTATCTGGTTTAGGCAGCTCCAGATCTGGAATTACTGAACCACTGAAGCAGAGAAATAGGCCTGACTTCATAAACAGCCTGTCCTACTTGCAGAAAGTAATGAACAAGACACATATCTGCCACCTCACTTGGATTTTGAACACAGGAAATGAAAAATCCAAGGCAGGCAGCAGCTCCCAGCTCATGGCCAAGAGATAGTGAGAGCAACATTCAGGGGCTGCAGCATCCTCTCATTTTACCTCTCTCAGCTGCCTGAATGCTTGCTGTTCTGCAGATCTTGGCAGGTGATAAACTCATGCTCAACTGCCTGGAAGTGTCCAGGCTGGTGAGCTCCAAAAGCCTCTCCAGAGCCCTCCACTCTTGTGTCCTGCTGTTTATTCCCTGGGAATTTGCAGGCTGGCTCTCCATGCCTGGATTTTCCAAGCAAGGCACTTTTTGGAGTAGTGTCTTGTTGGCAGCAAGAAGAAATTGGCCATTTGGTCCTTCTAATTTCAGAGTTGTTATTATTTTCTGTGAGTGGTGCATAAAGTTCCTCCTTTCCCCCAGAAAAACTTCATGATAGCTCCATAATGCTCCATAGTGCCCATCCAGCTGGATCCACCTCAGCAGCCTCAGCCTGGCTTCTCCCCAGACTGTCAGATTAAGGGCAAAACACAGTAAAAATCCCAGCTCTGTTATCTGGAACGGGGCTGACACTCAGCTGGTGTCACTTTTGGCTCCCTCTTTTGAGACAAAAGCAGTTTTTCTTCACTCCAGAAACATTGTAGCAGCTGCTTTGTTTCTGCTCTGTCACGGTGGCTGCTGCCAGGAGCCTTGGCTGGAGCTGGAGGCTAAAAGCTCCTCCTGGATCTCCTCCTGCTCCTGCTTGAGCAGTTGTGCTTTTCTCTCCATCAGCTTTGACTTGGTGGCCTTGGCAGGGCAGGGGGAACACCAGACTCCATCATCTTAAAGATCTTTTCCAGCCTGAACAACTGTGATGGAAATAAACGGGATGCTGGAGAGCCCCGTTCTGGGCTTTCCACATTCCCTGCAGGCCCAGGAAGCATCACAGAGGCAGATCCCTTCCACCTCCTTCCGTGGGTATTTCCAGAGCTCCCACAAAGGCCCCAAATCACCTGCCAGCTCCTCTGTGGTTCAGGGGAAGCAAGGAGCTATTTCCAGGGATGATTCATGCAGAGGACTCCAACCCTTCCGCCTACCTTCCCCTTCTCCATTGATGACAGTGGGCCTGGAGTGGGTGGGCTCCTATTTTTGGGGCCACAGGGAAGGGTCTGAAGTTATCTGGGATGAATCCAGGCTGGCAGGAGGCTCAGCTGTTACTACAGCAGGGGAAGTCAGCCCCAGAGGAAGCCTCTGTCCAGCAGGAATGCTGTGGGACTCTCTCCACCTTCCTGTTACCTGCTTTTTCTTCCATGGAATCAGCATTTACCTGTTCCTACCAGCAGTGACCCCCTGAGGCCTGGGGAATGTTTGACAGAGGGTCTGAAGGCTCCTCTTCCCTGCTTTCTGACACACCTGGAGGTGTCCCAGGATCCAGAGGCCATCCCCACACACACCTTCCAGTCCATGCTAGCAAATTCCAGCCCCCTCCAATTCCCTCTAGGCAGCTCCAGCCCAGGCTCATAGGCAGCAGCTTCCATCTTGGAGATCCTCCTCCTGCAATTTGTCCTTGTCCCTGTGGGCATCTCCATGCCAGGGCAGTCTGTCAGGAACATTTGTTTGCCTTGTTGGAGCCCTCATTCCATCCTTTTCCCGATGACTTTGTCTCCACATCAGGGCTCTGATGTATTAATTTGGTTTTACTCCCCTCAGATACTGGCAGGTGCTTATCAAACCTCTTGTTCTCTACAAACACAGGGATATTTTGCCATCTTGTTTGTCCATGGTCAGTCTGGATGTCTGCACCATCCCAAATCCATGTGCTGCTTCCCATGGCAGGTCTGAATGGGCTTCCTTTCACTTTGTCACTGAAGTGCCAGGCCTTGGGTTTCTCTGGTAGCTTCCACAGCTGGAATGTCCTGGGACACATACATGAATTTTTACTTGCCTGAAAGAAAGGGGGAGATTTCCTTCTCCCAGTAAAACTGGTGTCTAACTTCTCTCTGGAGTTCCTGAGGTGGGAAAACGCAGTGACCTCCTTCTCCAGACTTTTCCAGCCAAATCCAATGTGTAGTCCAGACTTTTCCAGCCAAATCCAATGCAGGGATCAGTCACACCAGCATCTCCTGTCACAGGGATGAATAAGAAAAAATAAGCCATGGCTGAAGACACAGCTCCAGCCTTCCACGGGAAACAATTCCTGGTTTTCTCCTAGTACTGATCATTCTGGACACGTACAGAGCAGGCTGGCCAAGCACAGCATTTCCTGCAGGCAAAACAAGGTGAAACCATGTTAGCAACAAATCCTGCTTGCTGTGGGCTGGGTTTGGGAATCTGCCTTTCCCAGCTGTACTTTAGGTACTTTAAAGTAGATATTCCCAAGCATCCCATGCATGGTTCTGTCTGTCCAACTTATCCCAATTTTATTTCTCTAAAGCAATCAACAGGCAAAAAACATCTGCTTAGGGCACTCAGGATTTCCTTGGCAGAGAAATCAACCACCATAGGAATTAATTGAGTGGTGAAATAACAGAAAATTATTAACAGGTGAAACATTCCTGAGCAGATTAATTCCTCATTATTAATTCAGCATATAACCTCCTGTGGATCCCTGTGGTGGGAATGCTGCTGGAAGGGTAGGGAACAGCATTATTCCTGAGGTTTGCTCTGAGGTTTAGTGGCTGTTTCAGGCATGTGTTTGCACCTGAGTGCCAACAGCTCTCCCTGCTTAATTTCCTTCCTGTCCAGGAGGATCCAGGCTCCATGGGCAGAACAGAGCTGGGAGAATCAAGTTAATTCCTGATGTCTGGAATGCATGCCCCAACCCCACATCTTGCTGTGTCCCCTCATCCCACCTACCCCATGCCCCCTCTGGCAAACTGCTGCCTCCCACCTCCTGCTGCCCTGTCCATCCAGAGGTTATTCCCCTTTTTTTTGCCTGCGTGCTGCATCCTCTGATTCAGCGAGGAGGAGAGCTAATGAGGCCCAGCTTCTTGGAAAGACTTGTCCTTAATTGTCCCTTCTGCAGGTTTAATGGCTTGGCAGTCTCCTGTCACGTTTCCCAAGCGCCTGTGGTGAGCGTGGCAGGGCTGGCTGGTGCCACAGCAGCGCGCTTGCTGTGGGGCCGTGTAGCGCTGGGATTCCCCCGGCAGGGATTGGATGCGTGCTGTGCCCCAGAGCCTGATGGAAAGCGTTTTCCTGAGCTGTTCCCTGCCGTCATTCCATCATCTTCATGCTGCTTCCTTGTGTCTGGCAGCCACCAGCACGCTCAGTGTCAGCCTTGGTATGAAAAATCTCTGTACGCTCACAGAATCCAAGGGCAACGACTTCCATCCTTCTTCCTCAGATGGTGCCTCCCAACAAACCCTCTGTGAGGCCAGGAGGAAGCAAACAGGCTCCTGAAAGGCTGAATTCTGTAGGAATTTGATTCATTTGTGCTACATATATGAGCAAGGGGCGCTGCTGGATGTGATGGGGATTTAGTGAGTGAAGAAGCAAGGAGTGCAGTGCATCTGTGCCTTAGTCCAGGGTGAGTGGCCAGGGAAGGATGCAAATGCTGGAGCAGCAGGGATCTTGGTGAAAGCAGCAGGGGTTGGCTGTGTGAGCACCAGGCATTCCAAAATTTGGGGTGGAGCTCTGATCCTATTGCAGTGGGTGATGCTGATGCTTTGGCTGAGCTTGCAGTAACACCAGTGTAGCCTTACACGGATGACACTGATGGATCACGGAATCACTGAGGTTGAGAATGACCTCCAGGACCACCAAGCCCACCCTGTGATCGATCCTCACCTTGTCAACCAGACCAGAGCACTGAATTCCACATCCACTTGTTCCTTGAACACCTCCCAGGGTGGCGGTGACTCCAGAGGCCAGGGGCAGGATCCGTGTCCAAGCTTCTCTGGTCTCTGAGTCTGTCCCTGAGGGTCCGACAGACCTGGTGGAACAGGGGTGACAGTGCCACCCCAGGGGAGCCACACGACGGTGCTGAGCAGGGCTGGAGCGCGGCTGCTCCCACAGCATTCCCACTGACACCTTCTGCACCGCGTGTGTCGGGAGCGGCTGGCTGAGCCCCATCCCGTCCCGGGGGATGGACACTCCCACTCCGAGGTGCTTCTCCGTGCAGGGCCGCGGCCGAGGGGCTGTCCCTGAGCCTGATGGAGCGGCTGGCGGGGCACTACGGGGAGCGGGCGGTGCGGATGCTGACCGTGCAGTACCGCATGCACCGGCTCATCATGGAATGGGCGTCCTCGGAGCTCTACGGCGGCCAGCTCAGCGCACACCCCTCCGTGGCACAGCACCTGCTCAGGTGGGTTCCTGTTCTCCGCTGCTGCAGGAGCTGAAATGTCCTTTTTGTTCCTTCCCTGCGGAGTTTTCTGCTCCTCCTGAGGTTGGGGCAGTGTTTTTGTTTCAGACATTGTTTCATCGAGGAGACACTACCGGGGGGGTTTGCCCTTTTTGCTCTGTAACCAGAAGTGATGCAGACTTGTCTTCTGTGTCCTCCTTTGCTATGATAATCCTGGAATCCCAGAATGGTTTGGGTTGGAAGGTTGGAAGCCCACTCAGTCCCATGCCACAGGCAGGGACGCCTTCCACTAGACCAGACTGCTCCATGTCCCATCCAGCCTGGCTCCTCCAGGGATGGGGCAGCCACAGCTTGGGTGGATATTGCTGTAAGAGCAGCATTGGTAACTGGCCCTTTCACACATACCTCGTGCAGGGACCTGCCAGGTGTCTGTGACACAGAAGAGACCAGCATTCCCCTGTTGCTCATAGACACCGCTGGCTGTGGCCTGTTTGAGCTGGAAGTGGAGGATGAACAGTCCAAGGGGAATCCAGGTACCAGAATGGATGGACTGAGGTGCTCAGCCCACCACAGGCTTGGCCACGTCCCAGAGATGTCTCCATGGGGTCCCAGAGAGCCTTGCTTAGCTGAGAGATCTTCCCTCCATAAATCCTCAACCTCCAGGGACTCTGAGCTGTGTTGGAGCTCTAGGGACAGTGTCCAGCTTGTGGGTGGCCTCTCTGGCTGCCATGTCCCCTTGCAAGGACATTTCTCTGTGCTGAGGGCTGGGACAGGGTGGAGAATCCCTGTGGAGGTGCTTTACACCAAGGAAGGGCAAATAGCAGCAGGCAGAGCACAGACCTGTTTTGGGAAGGCCATGGATAAAGCTCAGAATTACCTCCCAGTCTTCTGCTCATTCCATGAAATCCTGTCTGGTTCTTCTGCATGGATTTTCCTAGGACACCTGAGTTCTGTTGCTTTTCAGCTGAAAAAGTGGGTTTCATTACAGAGCTTGAGTGCAAAGTCAGGCTGGAAAACACAAGGGCAGTTTTTACCAGTTTAAATATCTTTTACCTTCTCTTTGACCCCCACCATCATTTGAGTGCCTCATTTTTCCATGCACCATTCCTAGAGCCCTGCTGAACACAACAGGCTCTTGTTCCCTCATGGAGAGCCAAAAAGCCTGGTCTGAGAGAACTCAGGGATTTGGAGCAGAGGATTAGAGGCACATCTCCCCAAATTTGGGAGGCAGCCTTTTGGCACAGCTCACTGCAGAGTCTTGATGTTTATTGCTGTGTTTTGCTGCAAAGCAGAAGCCCAGCCAATGAACCATGAAATAATTCATACAGGATTTAATTTTTCCCCTTAGATCCCTCTGAACCAGGCACCATTTTGGATAACCATTTCATGGCAGCCTTTCCTGCTGTTTTGGGGGAGGTGGGCACATTGCTCTGGCCTCTGTCCTCTGTCACATTCTGTCCCTGTCCCAGGGGAGGTCCAGCTGGTGGGGATGCACGTCCAGGCCTTGGTGGACGCTGGTGTGAAGGCCAAGGACATCGCTGTGGTGGCCCCCTACAACCTCCAGGTGAGCTGTCCCTGTCCCTGCACACAGAGCACCACAAGACCCCAGAGAGCTGCAGAGCCAAATGTAACCAGCATTTGGGACCAGCTCCTGCACCTTTGAGCAGCTTGGGGCCATGGAGGGAAGAGCTGTTAGTGAGGTGTTCCACTCCCAGCCCTCAGGAGGTTTGGGAGGGAGGGATTCCCCCAAAACCCTGCCACTTGAATCCTTTTCACCCATGTATTTCCTTTAAAAGCTGCCCTTGGCCTGTTTCTCAGGTGGATATGCTCAGACAGCACCTTTGCCACAGCCATCCCGAGCTGGAAATTAAATCAGTGGATGGTTTCCAGGGCAGGGAGAAGGAGGCAGTGATCCTGTCCTTTGTCAGATCCAACAAGAAAGGTAAGACTAAGACCTGCCTGCTGGAGCATTGCTCCCCTGGGAATGGGAAGGAAGTCATGTAGCCAAGTGCTGTGGTTTAATTGTAGTGCTCTAACACTTGGCTCTGGATGGATTTACTGGCAAACCCTCCCTTTTCAGGCTTTTTTGTTTAATTAATGAATATATGTGCTGTCAGGGCTGCAGAGGAGGCTTCTGTGCTACAGCAGGCCCAGGACTGCTCAGTTTGAAGGTTCCCTGACCCCTGAGGCCTCAGAAATGATTTAAACCAGGGCCCTAAGAATGTCACATCCCATTAGCCCTACATTTAGGGGAGCTGGGGGGGAATTTCTTGAGTTTTGAATTCCATTTTGGGTGAGTTCCCTGCAGAAAGTGAGCAGGAGCTGGCATCCCAAGCTGTGCATGGAAAATGCTGCTTTTGGGAGCAAAATCTAGAGCAGAAAATCAAGTTCTCTGCTATCAGCAGCTGCAGTGGAAGTTAATAGCTGGAAAAAAGCTGCTGCCCTGGGGGCACAAGGCTCCTGTTCAGGGAGCTGAAAGGTTTGATGGAGCTCAGTAGGATTGTTCTGTGATCACCTCTGTTCCATGCTGGGATCAATTCCCTTTCCAAACCCACAGTCCTGTGCTGCTGGAGGTCAAATGCTGAGGGCTGGAAGGGGAAAAAAAGGGGGGAAATATGCATGGAAGGAGGAGGTGCCTCTTTTTCCAAGCCTAGAGGAGGAAAAGCAGCCTTGTGGGGAGAATGGAGGTGGGGACAGCACTAAGAATAGTCCTGATCCAGGAGTGACTCACCCCTGTGCCGGTGGGAGCTGGTGGCCCTGGGAGGGTGAGTGTCCCACAGCCCCTTCTCCTGCACAGGGAGAGGCCAAAGCTCAGGTGTGGGGCAGGAATTGCTTTCCTGGGGGCACAGGGAGGCTTCTTCTTGACCTGTCCCTCTGCAGCCATTCCTGATCCAGCAGGAAACCTTCAGTTAAGAGGAAACTTTTCCCTGTGAGGGAGCTGAGGCCCTGGCACAAGTTGCCCTGAGAAGCTGTGGTTGCCCCATCCCTGGAAATGTCCAAGGCCAGGTTGGACAGGGCTTGGGAGTCTGGGATAATGGAAGGTATCCCTGGCAGGGGGTGGAGTCTCCCTGGATGGGCCTTAAGGTCCTTCCCAACCCAAACCATTCCAGGATTGAAAGGAGTTGGATTTCCCCCTGCAGCTGGGTTAAACCTCATCAGAGAAACTGGGAATTGTTCCCCGAGGTGCAGAGCAGGCAGAGGGGCTCCCCCTCAGCCTGTCCCTGAAAGGCAGCACAGAGGAGGCTGCTGAGGCAGAGCCAGGCTGGGCACTGCTCTGGCAGAGGCATTAATCTCTTCCTGCCTGGCCTGCTCGCTGTTCCCTGGAGCTGGGAGCTCGCAGCCACCCACGCTCCGCTCTCGCTGCCTGATCCTGCCTGAGTCATCCCGGCACCGCCGGCTCTCGTGCTGTCTGTGAGCAGAGCAAAACCTCCCAAGTGGCTGTTCCTACAGACCCCAGGGAATTTGGGAGCAGGGGGGAGCTCTGTAGGACAGGGGGGAGCTCTTTACCTGCAGTCTCTCCTCTGTCGCAAGGTGAGCCTTTTCCACACTGCTCCATCTTGTGTTTGCTCCCAGCTGCGAGCTGAGCTTGTGTCATGGGCCAGGCAGGGAGATGTTCCCCCTTTCCATGTGCCTTCCATCCTCTTCCCTGCCCCAGGAAGCAGGGAACCTGCAGGGAGCCTGTGCAACACAGGTAGCAAGAGGAACAGCTGTGAGCAGAGCTCCATAAATGCCAAATCTCACCCTCCAGCCAATAAATCCTTGGATCCCTTGGACCAAACCCCTGCTTGGAGGGCATAGGTCCCCCTCTACCTGTCCCCCCCTACCTGTCCCCTCTGGCATCCCTTCCCTCCTGTTTTCCCAGGTGAGGTGGGCTTCCTGGCCGAGGAGCGGCGGATCAACGTGGCGGTGACGCGGGCGCGGCGCCAGGTGGCCGTGGTGTGTGACAGCCACACCGTGGGCAGCCGCCCCTTCCTGCGGCGCCTGCTGGACCACCTGGCCCAGCACGGCCTCGTGCGCTCCGCCTTCGAGTACCTGGATGACCTCGTGCCCCAAAACTACCCCGGGGAGGGCCAGGCCCAGCGCCAGCAGGGCCCCAAAGCACCGGGCCCCAAAGCGCGGCCGGCTCCGGCTGGGAAGATCAAGGCGGCAGCAGGCGGAACAGGGAGCCAGAAACAGGGAGCACGGAGCTCCCCAAGCACTGCCACAGCTGGAAGGGACAGCTCAGGGTCAAAGGAGGGTGGGGACAGGTTCAGGGCCATGCTGGTGGCCTTCCTGGCGAGCAGCGAGGCACAGCTGGATTTCCCAACATCCCTGAATTCCCACGAGCGGATGCTGGTCCATGTGCTGGCAGAGGAGTACGGGCTGCAGCACCTGAGCTCCGGGGAGGGCTGGGACAGGTACATCAGTGTCCGCAAGAGACTCCCCAAGCAGCCCCTGCTGCCCTCTGAGCCCCTTCCCGAGCCACCACTGCCCTCTGAGCCCCTTCCCGAGCCCCCGCTGCCCTCCAAGCCCCTTCCTGAGCCCCCGCTGCCCTCTGAGCCCCTTCCCGAGCCACCACTGCCCTCTGAGCCCCCGTTGCCCTCCAAGCCCCTTCCTGAGCCCCCGCTGCCCCCCGAGCCCCTTCCTGAGCCCCAGCATCCCCACGGGAACACCCCTGACCCTGCAGAGCCAGGGGAAAGCAGCAAGAGCTCAGGGAAAGTGGATCTGAAATCTCTGCACCTGGAGAGAGTCCAGAGGGAGAAAGCCAGGCGGGAGGAGGCGGCCAGGAAAGTGCAGGAGCCCAGGAGTGGCAGAAGGAAAAAGGACAAGAGTGAAGCCAAAGGTGGGTGAAGCTTTTTGTAACCAGCACAATTAATGCTCTTTGAATGGATCTTAATCCCGGTGGGTTTGCTCCAGAGTCTGAGATTTGGGCATGGAGCATGTGGCTCTTGGAATGCTGCAGGGAGGTGGGAGCTGACTGCAGCCTCCAGGTTTGGATACCTGGAAACACATTCTGTAAGTGAGAGGAAAAACACTGGAGACCCTTTCCCAGGAGAGTCTCAGGAATCACAGGCTCCCAAGAGTGGGGAGAGGAGCTGAGTGTGGGAGTACCTGCCCACACTGAAGGATGTAAAGGCAGAGGCTGCCCTGTGGCTGCAGGAGGGAGGGTTTGTTCCCAGGCCCCAATGCAGGTGTGTGCTCACCTTTCCCAGGAAAGCCGGCGATCGGGAGCGTGGCCGGGGAGGATTTTGACGCTCTGATCTCCGCTGCCATGGAAGCTGACAGGACCTGTGGCTTCCCCCGCTGCAAGGCCTCTGTCACCACCCTGGGCCAGCTCTGCCACCACTGCCAGCGGCTCTTCTGCCTCAGCCACCACATCCCTGAGGTAAGGAGGGGGCAGGACGGGCTCAGCCTGGGAATTTTCCCTGTGGAGCTCCCTGGGCAGGAAGGGTTTCCTTGCAGGGAGTTTGAGCAGAGCCCTCCCTGTGAGAGCCTGGGCTGAGCTCAGGTACACAGGGCTGGCAGGTGCTGACACCTGGGCTCTGCTCACCTCTTCCTGAGGGATTTTCTGTTTTCCTCTCATTTTGTGCCCTTCTTTACCATTTTCTGGCACTTCTACTCTGTGTGGATAAAGTGAGGCAGAGAGCAGAAATGGAGAAGCACAAATTTCAGGCTGAAATGAGCCTGGACTCAATTCCCAGGTCCTTGCACATTCCCTCTGCATTCTGAGGGTGATCCCAGCCCTTTGCAGATTGTCTCTGCATCCTGAGGACAGGACAGGCACGGTGCAGTGCTGCCTGGCCAGCAATTGAGAATTCTCTGTGTCCTTGTTCCTTACCCTGTGGAGCCCCCAGGAGCTCAGCAGCCCTATAAATCCTTGGCAAGCTTTTCCTTCTGTCAAGAGCTATCTGTTTCCATGGCAAGGAATAGTTGTATTTATGGTCACTCACATCCAGGGGGATTGAGATTTATTCCCTGCAGAATGGCCTCTCCCTGCTGAATTGTGACAAGGCTCCAACAATTGCAGGGATTCAAATCCATGTCAGCCCTGGGAAGGGCTGTCACAGCTCTGAGGGAACAGGCTGGGACCTCACTCCATGGAAACATAAATGACTTTGGGATGGGCCAAGAAAAGGGATCAGAATTTAGGATCTCACCTGCAAGAGATAATTCCAGTGTTGGACTTGGCTCATTTAAGCAGCAGATTCATGGCTAAAAAAGGTCTCCCATTCCCCAAAACTCCTTTCCCAGTTCACTGGAAAGGAGATGGAAGGAGCCACTTGAACCATCCCAAAGGATGATTTACCTGCTGTTCAGAGCCCAGGGCCTGGATCTTTATATTTCATTCTGTGTGAGAGGAGCTATAAAAGATGATTTTATAAAACACAGAATAATAAACATTAATTATTAATTATAAACAATAAGTATAAGAATAAATCTATAAAATAAATCTATAAAATAAAGAATAAATCTATAAAAATATAGACTCTAAATATAAAATGAAACCAAGTAAAATTAAAATACATAGAAATAAAATAAATAGTAAACAATTATAATAAATAGTAAGCTATGATAATAATAAACAATAGTAGTACAATGATAATTAAAGAAAAATTATGTAAAACAATATAAGTAAATATATAAATAAAATAAAAACAATAGTAAACAATGATAATAAAATAATGAACTGAAATTATAAAAATATGTAAGCATACAAAGCAATATAACAGCACAATAATATAATAATATATAACGTAATGATAATAATGGCTGCAAATGGTGGGAGATGATTTCAGGGGGATGCAAAGCAGGCCCACAGGGAATTCCAGGCTGGAGGAGGAGTGGCAGCCCCTGGCTCCCAGGTGGGTGATCCGTGCCCGTTGTCTCCGCAGGTGCACGGCTGTGGGGACAAGGCCAAGGCGCAGGCCCGGCAGCGGATCAGCCGGGAGGGGATCCTGTACCCCGGCAGCGGCTCCAAGGACAAATCCCTGGATCCCGCCAGGCGAGCCCACCTCCAGCGCCGCCTGGACCAGAAGCTCAGTGAGCTGACGAGCCAGAGGAAGGGCAAAAAGAAAGACAAGGAGAAATGAGGGACTGAATCCTGCTTTTTTAACCTCAAAGCCACAGCTCGGCCCCCCCAGGGCAAAGCTGCTGTGCTGGGCCTGGGGAGAATAGGGGGCTCCATTTTGGGGGAAAGCCTGGAGCTGGGAGCTTTCTCAAGGTGCAGGGCTGAGGCAGGGGAGGGAGAGCTGCTGCATTGTCCTGGTTATGGACACGGTGATGGATGCACTCAGGGGCCAGAGCACGCTGGTAAAACGGGCATTAAACACCCAAAGCTGTCACTGTCACATCGGTCCCTGCGGCAGCACATGATGGATGCCTGGGAACAGGAACGTGGGAGGCATGGAAAACCCTGGGTAACCCTGTGCTCCAGGGAGGATGGCTGAGGAAATGGATGTGTCCCAGCCCAGCAATCCTCTGGCTCTGCTCAGAGCTGGAGGGAGCCAGCCTGTCCACACTGCAGCCATTCCCTCCCCACCTGGGCCAGGGGCTCAGGAGGGAGCTCAGCCCTGCTCCAGGGATGGGAATAGGGATGGGTTTGGGCCTCGAACCCAAACCACGCTGGCACCACGAGGAGCTGCTCCAGCACATGCAAGCATTTCCCTGGGAGAGCTTTCCTGTGCCACTGGGAGGTCTCTCCCTCCTCACTGCTGCCTGTCCCTTCCCAGACCTGTCCTGCCCTTCCCACAGAGCTCCTTGGAGGCTGATTCCCACTGGGAAAGCCCATAGTGACAGCATAGTACAGCAGGTGAGCCTTGCAAATGGGAGGGAGACTTGTGTCCATCCTGGACCTTTTCCTAATCCTTCACACAGGGTCCATCCATCCCACCCCCAAAATAGCTCCAGCAGCATTTTTTGTCCCCAGGGTGAAGGAGAAAGTGCAGAGCTGCCTCCAAATAGGAGTATCTGGAAAGGAGCACTATAAAAATGCCTAAACCCACACATTCCCCATCCTTTTGGGGCTAAACATCACAGATTCCAGCACCTGTGGAAGTCACTCACCTCATCCCAAGTAAAGCTCAGCAGTTGGTAGGAGCTGCCAGACAGCCAAGGGTTTCTGTGTCCATCTCTTCCCAAATACTTGGCTGGGATAGCTAATAAGTAAAATTTCCCCCAAACCTCGTGGGCTGTGAGTACTGGCTGTGAACATCTTCCCACAAAAACTTCCTTCAGAAAACTGTATCCTTCAAACCCCTGCACCCTTGGCTCGTGCCTCGGTGCTGTGCATCACCCGTGGAGGGGTGGCACTGGCTCCCCTGGCAGCGGGTGGGACAGGGAGAGGTGGGGAGGAGGAAGTGTGCGAGAAGGGAATCTGGACACCAGTGAGTGGAGATGGGCAGGAGCAGGAGCCAGAGCAGAGGGGGATGGTGCAACAGGGACATCACAGCCATGTCCCAAAGGGAAGGTCAGGCAGCACAGATGGGAAGGGAAAAGTGCCACCAGCTCAGGGGATAATTCACCTTGGAGTTACTTTTTAATCAGGGAAAAACAGATAAATGGCTCATTCACAGCTTTTTCCCTGCTGAAATCATCCAAGCAGCCACATCCCAGTCCCTGCTCATCCAGTGGTGCAAATTCCATGCCACAGGGTCCCAGACACCCCCAGATTTCCCAGCCTGGCTTCCCACCAGCATCCTGCAGGCAGGGAAAAGCCAAGGCTCCAGGCAAGGAGGGATGTGGCCCCAGCGCATCCTCTGCTCTCCAGCCTGTGCCAGGAGGGGCCCCATCACCCTCCACAAACCAGAGTGGGAATTAGCTCCCCAAAAATCCCAAACCTGGCTCGGGCCAGAGCCCACCAGCAGACATGATCCACATAGGCTTCCTTCTGAAACAGGAGTTGGGCTTAAAAACTATAAAATTAGGGACCTTTCCCACCTGCCTTGGATCACGAGGCAAAGATGTTCCTCTCTCTGCCCAAATCTTGGATAAAATGAGTTATTGGTTAAGTCACAGCCCAAGTCCAGGATTAGAGGCTGGAAAAAACAATCGCCAGTTGTGAGAGTTGTGTTAAGGAGCAGGAATTTGGAGTGCTGTCCTGAGCACTCTGAGGGCGAGTTTGGGTTGGAAGAGTGGCTGGGGTGAGAAAAGCTGCTCCTGATCCTACTGGACCTTTAGGGGATGATTCCCAGTGTGGATCTGACCTCAAACCCAAGAGGCTGGAAACTAAGTGGTTGGAAACCAATCCCTGCCTGTGCAGCCAGTGGAGATGGGCAGGGATTTACTGTGTGGGGGAACAGATGGGAGGAGAAGCCGTATGTAACAATTGATTTTCTGCTGTTATTGCTCCCTTTTTCCATTCTTACCGGAAACATTCCAACCCTGGCACAGCGCACCAAAGTCACTACAAAAGATCCCCTCAGGATCACCACCCACGCCAGGCTGGCTTTTGTCACCCCCCCTCACGATTCCCACCCGAGAACCACTGTCCAAAGGAATCCTGCCCAAGAGCCACCTTCCAAAGGAATCCCCCCTCTCCCTCGCTCAGAGTCCCCATTTGAGGATTCCGTGGATTTCGAGGCCGTTGGGAGCACACGGAACGCTCGGGAGCCGCGGTTTGGGGAGGTTCCTGCTGGTTTTGGTCCATTTGGCTCCTGCCTGGCAGCCCTGGCCCGGCGCATGTGGGGGTGACCCGGAATGTGCCCACGGAGCCGCTCTCTCCGTGCTCCAGCTGTTTGGGGCCCCTCAGCAGCTCGGCCTTGCGGGCGCCACCAAGTCCCTGCTCCAGGCCCGCTGTCCCCGGGATTTGGGGATCCTAATTCCGGCGGAGCGGGTGCCACATGGAGACGGGCTTGCGGAGCGTGGCCAGCATCTGGTTCCAGTGCGTGGTGCCCATGCCGCTGGCCGCTGGCCCGATCAGCACGTGGCCCGTGTTGTCACCGCGCCCGTCCTCACCGCTCTCGGCCACCGTCACGCGCAGGGACAGCTCCTGGTGGGCACGGGGCTGTCACCACACACACACACCCGGCCAGACACGTGTCCCTGTGCCCTCGGCACGGGGACACGCACCCACCAGGCCAGCACATCCAGCACACCCCCAGCCTGCCACAGCCCACGTACACACGGCCCTCTGTGCCCACACCCTGTTCAAGCCCCCCCGTCCTTGAAGGCCCCCCAAATCCCTAAATACCCACCCTCATATACCCCCCACACTTACACATCCCCTCTTTTTACCCTACATCCCCTAAACCCATCTTTGCTGTTCAAACCCACCCCCTGTTCTTGAAGGCCCCCCAAATCCCTAAATACCCACCCTCATATACCCCCCCATATACATCCCCCTCTTTTTACCCCACATCCCCTAAACCCATCTTTGCCCCTGTCCACATAGCAAACAGGGTGCACCCTGCTATATCCAAACCCACACATCTGTATCCTCCCCAAGAGTTCCCCACACTCATCCCCCCTCCAGCAGCCATTTCCACACATCCACACCTCTCCAAGCAGCCCCCACACATCCGTATCCCCACAACAGCTCCCACACATCCACCCCAAACCAGACCCACACACACCCACAATGCCCAAAATCACACCCCAGAACCCCACACCCCCAGGAGCTCCCAAGGGGTGGGTTTGGGGAGCCTGCAGAGCACTGGGATGTGCCCCCCTCCCCAGCTCCCTCATGCTGGGCCAGACCTGGAGCACGATGGCGGGCACGGAGAAGATCATGGCCTCGTTGAACACGGGGTTGGTGTCTCCCCTCTTCACTGCTGTCTTCTTCTTGCTGATCTTCCTCCCGTCCTGCAGCAGGTACACCTTGACGAAGGGATCTGCTCGGATGGCAGGAGAGGGATCAGTCCCACGTGTCCCCAGCCACGTGGGGAAAGCAGGGGGACCTTTCTGGTGGCCCTTCCCAGCGGGTCTGTCCTCACAGGGAGCCCCTCCCGTGCAGCAAATGGCATAAATCAGGACAAACCCCACCTTGGAGCCCCCCTCACCTGCGGTCACCTTCCCATTGCTCCACACCAGGTTCTTGGCTTTGACCACCACCACCGTGAGCCGCTCGGCCGTGGGCAGGTAGCTCAGGGAGAGCAGGATCTCCCCCACCGTGTCCACCGCCTGAGGGACACCACAGTCAGGACACAACCACGTCCCAAACTCCAAGCTGGGGGACGGGACACTGCTGGCTCACCTTGTTGGTGTCCTGCAGGTAGAGCCAGGCGTTGAAGGGGCGCGTGGCCAGCTCCAGGTCGGAGAGCTTGAGCTCGGCCACGCCGGTGCTGACGCTGCGCTCGTCCTCGTCCACGCCGAAGACGGAGAAGCGCAGGCTGTTCTCCTCCAGCGCCGCCGGGTCCAGCGGCACCGAGAAGCGCTCGTCGAAGGCCACCGAGTAGGAGCTCCTCTGGATCTGCCGTGGGAAGCAGGGGTAGCCCTGGCACGCCTGGGGCTGGGGGCTGCAGCCCTGCTCTGCCCCAGCTCGTGGGGATTGCATGGAGAGCATCCCCAGGGCACGCCCCATCCGCTCGGGAGGATTTATTCCCGACCGTACTGCAGCAACTGCTCGGCCACTGGGGTGAAAACAGGGCTGTGACCTGCCCTAGTGACTGTTAATTATTTTAATTAGAGAATCAGCGTTGGCCCAGTGCTCTGATAGATCCCAACCCCCTGGGAGCACGGATGCACATCCAGCTTGGCCATATCAGGTGACAGGATTTATAGCTACAAGGTGTAACCCCCAGCCCTTCTCCAAGCAGAACCAACTCCTGAATGTGCCCAGTGGGAATGGAGCTGTGTCCCTGTGTCAGGTCATTCCCTGGGAGCAGAGGCAGCAGCAGCTCCCATGGCTCATCCTGCTGGTGCTGATCCCAAAGAACTGGCTGAGGGGAAATGCTCTGAAGTCATGGATTTAGGGATTTTTTTTCCCCCTACTCCAGCCCTGTTTCAGCACCCAAGATGTCACAGGCAAACCAGGGGTTTGTCCCACGGGATGGAAAGCTGCAGCCTTGGATAGCATGGAGCAAAGTGGAACTACCAGCTCCTCAAAGCCACCCAAATCTGGTTGAAGTAGGGACCTCTCTGTGGGGCTGTGTGACCCCAAAAACCCTGCAGCAGAGGGCTCATCTCCTCCAAGGGCTCTCTCCTGTCTCAGTCTGCTCCTAACCCTGCTCCATCCCTGGCATAAAGGACACAAAGGCAGCACCTGCCATCCCTGCCTTCTTGGTCCATGCTCTCCCACTGGATACCACCAACCTCCAGAGCTCCTGGAGAATGAAGTTCCTCTGTGTGAAGAGCAGATTTTAAAGCCCTACAGATTTTACAGACTGTCTGTCTGCAGCCCACGCTGTATTTTGGGAGCTCTGGATCAAGTACAACAAAACAGGAGCTGCTATTTAAAAACCCTCCAGAAGCACTGGGAAAAAAAGCGGTTGGGCCTTTATCCATGGCCTTGGGGCAGCTGAGGAGGTAAATTGTGCTGGTGAATTATAAATAATGACACTAAATAATAAATATCTCCAGAGCATAAATAAAGAGCCAGAGATTTGGATGGTAAAATGGTCTAAAAGAGCACAGTGGAAATATTTTGGAGGCAGCAGACAGATTATGGGGATGGACCAGCACCTCCACCCCAGTGGAGAGGTGCCTCAATGGGGAACAAATTCCCACTCCTTGCTGGAATATCCTGATTAAATCAAACTGACTCTGCAATAGAGGAGCTGCAAGAAGAAAACTGAGGCTCCTGCTTTCCAAAAGCAGCTTTTGAGGCACTTAAAAAGGGAGGTTTTCCACCAGAGGCAAAGCTGGTTGTGGCTGTCAGTGCTGCCACACGGATTTTCTACTGCCACGTCCTTTGTGGGGAGGGAAAAGCACTGGGGCTGCCCTGGGAAGGAGAGGGGACTGTGGGGACTCAGGGGACTGTGGGGCCATGGCAAGACACCAGCAGCACCTGCCCAAACTGCCACTGCCCCCCACATCCCACCCCAGGCCCCTTCCTCCACGTGCCACAGCATCCTTTCCCCAGCAGGGACAGCCAAGCAGGAAAACCTGCCACCAGCCACACCTGGAGATGACAAAGTCAGCCCAAATCCCAGCCAAGAGGGGAGACAATCCTGCCTCTGCAAACCCACCTGGGACATCCCTCAAAATCCTGTGCCAATCCGGAGCTCTCTGCTCCCAAATCCCATCAGTGCTGTGGGGAGCTGAGACCCACCCCAAAATCCCATGTCAACCACATCCAGCCTGGAATTCCATGCTCCCAAACCCCACGACTGCCCTGGGGAGCTGATATCCCCCAAATCCTGTGCCAACCATTCCTGATCCTGGCGTGCCTGGATCAGGAATGGTTGGCACAGGCGTTTCTGATATGCAAACCCACCTGGGACATCCCTCAAAATCCTGTGCCAATCCAGAGCTCTCTGCTTCCCAAATCCTATCGCTCTCTGCTCCCAAATCATATCCAAATCTTTTGGGAGCTGAGACGCACCCCAAAATCCCATGTCAACCACATCCAGCCTGGAATTCCCTGCTCCCAACCCCCACCATTTCCTTGGGGAGCTGTTATTCCACAAATCCTCTGCCAACCATTCCTGATCCTGGCATGCCTACAGCTCCCCACTCCCAAACCCTATTCCCCACTTCCTTGGGGAGCTGATATCCCCTAAATCCTGTGCCAAACCATTCCTGATCCTGGTGTGCCTGACGCTCCCTGCTCCCAAACCCCACCATTTCCTTGGGGAATGAGGCCCGGGGACGCTGCCACCCAAAGCCCCGGGGTGACCCAGGTGTGCCCAGAGGGCTCTGGCGGGGAAGGAAGGGCTCACCCGGGAGATGCCGACGATCTGCTCGGCCGGCAGGAGGCTGATCCGCATGAAGCACGACTCGAAGCGCGCGTCCTCCTTCTCCAGCAGGTCCTTACCCTGCAGCAGCGTGACGTGCAGGGCGGCCGCCCTCGCGTCGTACTCCATGCACACCTCCACCTGCCCCACGGTGAAATCCTGCCCGAAGTTGTTCCCGATGGACGAGATGGAGTTGAGGGAGTCGGCCGAGATGGATTTCCGCAGGGGGCCGTAGTGAGCCAGGCCCAGGTCTCTGCCCATCAGCTCCAGGCTGCCCAGCTCCTGGATGCTCTCCAAGGTGTCCTCTGCCCTCAGGCTGCTCTTGCGGGATGAAGAGCTCCGGCCCGGAGCCCGCTGCGAACCCGGGGCCAGCCCTCGCTGCCAGGGAAAGGAGAGCAGGCGCTGCCATCCATCCCCATCCATCCCATCCCAATCCCATCCCTCCGTGCCGAGCCGGACAGCTGGGCTTCTCCGGCGCCTCCTTGGACGCATCCCGGCCCCTGCCTGGCCTCAAGCTGCCGCGGCAGCGAGCCCGGAGCTTCCCGCAGCTCCCGGCTCCAGCCATCCCCCCAAAAGCTCCAGCAGCACCAGGTTGCTGCCTGTGGCCGTTCCACCCCGCGAGGGGATCCAGGAGATGTTCCCACCCCTCCAGCATCCCGCAAAGGGAAGGAGACAGAGGCAGCTTCCCCCTTACCTTGTTCCTGATGTCCGGGCACGCCGCTCCGTACTTCTGCTCCAGGTACCGGTAGTCATAGTTGGGGAACGGGGAAGGGGCCGGGTAGCTCCCGGAGCGCCACAGCTTCCACAGGTTGATGGCCGCGATTCCCAGCAGCGCCAAGGCGCCGGCGGCGTAGAGCCCGATCTCCCAGCGCGGCGGGCTGGAGGCCACTGCGGGGGACAGGGGGACAGGGGCTGGTCACAGCCCCCGCAAGGAGCTTCAGCCTCGGCTGCTCCCGCGCCGGCATCTCGGCTCCGAGCTCCGGGCCCAGGAGCGGATACACCGCAGCTCCCACCCGGGTGGCTGCAGACGGGTCGGGCAGAGGCTCTGCCAGCCAGGAATGCCAGCCCTGGCTCGGCTTTCCCGGGAGATGAAGTTCTCCTGTGTCCCCGCTTCCCAGCGAGTGGCCGTGTCACTCCCCAGGAGCCGGGGGTCCCTTTGCTCTGTCCCACCGGCAGATGTGCCCAGCGCACATCTGCATCGCCCTCGGCCCAGGAAAAGCCGGGAGAAGGGAAAAGCCAAAGGGAAAAGCTGCTGGAAGCAGGCAGAGCCTCGCGGGGAGGGAGCGGCAGGCTGGGCTGCGAGCGGTTCCTGCTGCATTGCACCAGCCTCCATCGCCGCCGCCGCGCCGAACCGGCACCGAGCGCCCCGTGCGACACGGGAGAGACAGGCGGCAACGGGAGGGAGACGGGGAAACGGGAGGGAGACGGGGAAACGGGAGGAGGATTCCTCATCCCGGAGCGCTGCCGCGGAGCCCCCCGGCAGCACCGCGCCGCAGCGCTCCCTCCTTCGGAGCCGGAAAAAGCCCGAAGCCAGGCTGAGCTCCCACATCGCATCCGAGCGCAGGGACAACCTGCTGCTCCCCCCAGCCCTCCTCCAGCAGGAACAGCAGAAGGAGCTGAGCATTCCCAGCCAAAGCGAATTGGATCCCGGGAGAAGCCCACAGGGAGCTCCGAGGTTAAACATTGGGATGGGACCCGGCTCCTGCTTCATCCAAAGCCCTAAAGGGCTCTGCTCTATCCCTGCATCCCGGCCAAGGATGCTGTGGGAAGCAGTCGGAGGTTTCCCGTGCCAGAGCTCCCAGGCTCCTGCTATGGTGGCGGGGCAAAATTGGGAATGAAAATAAAAATAGCAGAATAATCTCGTGCTGGCTCCTACCTCTGAGGAACTCCGTGTGCAAATCCCAGCTGAACTGACTGGAACCTGCTTCCCCCTCATCCCTGCCCATTTCTGAGGGCTGAGCGCTCAGGTTGGAAAACTTGGAGATTTTTAAGGGTTTTACTCTGCTTTAGGAAACAAAACCCAGCGGGCACGTGGAGCAGAGGGTTCTCCCCATGGAAGGCAGTGAGGACCAGCCCCAAAACAACCTCGGTGTGAGTGCCAGCAGCTCTGCCCCAAACCCTTCCCGGCTCCCTGGGGAGGACTCACCACTGAAGCGGGATCTGCTCACGTGCCCGGTGTCCATGGCAAACGCTCCCTGCGAGGGGACAGCCTGGAATGCGTGAGACACAGCACACAGCGTTAGGGCGAAGGGGGAGAACTCAAAAACCCGAATGCCTTGTGGTTTTCCAGCAGGGACGCTCCATCACTTCTCCCCCTCCATCGCTCCCGGCCCTGGAGCCTCTCAGGCAGCGGCAGGAGCTGCAGGAGGGACGGGAACCCTCGGGAAGGGGCAGAGCCGCTGGATTTACCACGGGAGCCTTTAAACAAGCAACATTCCCAAGCTCTCTGTGCGCGGCATCCCCCCTCCAAGAGCCCTCAAAGTCCTTTGCTGCTTTTCCAGCTGAAACCTTCCTCTGCCTCCTGCAGTTTCCCAGCCTCTCCCGAGGCTTTGCTCTGGGCCCAGCTGAGGGGGGCAGCCCCATTCCCCCATTCTGGGGTCACTGCAGGGCCTAGGGGATGTTGTTCCCCAGGAACCAGCTCCTGCAATGGGAAAGCTCTGTCACCTTCCCCCCCAGAAAGGGTTTTTCCCAGTCAGGTCAAGAGGAAGCTGCTCTCCCAGGCAGATCCCAGCACAGGCACCAGGGATGCTGAGGGGGATTCACCCGAGCCAGCTGCTCCTGCTATGAAAAGGGGGCTTTGGGATCCCTGTTCCCTGTGTGCCAGGGAATCACAGACCATGGAGAGCTGGTGGGATCCCCCAGGACCCCATGGGGACACAACCTCAGCACTGCACCTAAACCCCCCCACACCTCCCTCAGAGCCCCCCAGCCCTTCTCCAGAATTCCCAAAGCCCACTCAGGGAGCTGGCCTGGCCTCAGATTCTGCAATGTTTGGGCCCCACCTTCCACCCCTTGGGTGCTCTCAGGCACCGGGTGGGGGTGATCAACTCCCCCCAAAACCATCCAGGCTTGGATTTTAACAGGCAAAAGTGGGAATTTCATGGCATGGATATCAGCTGTGCTGGCCTGGCCCCCTCTGCAGGGCACAGGGCCCATCCCTGGGATAGCAGGAGGAAGGGGAGCCCTGACTGTGACCTGAAGTGACAGCAATGCTGGGATGGGGCTGGGAGATGCTGAGATCCTGCCCACCTCTTCCCTCTGGCACAAACCTCCCTGTGCAATGGACAAACCAGTCCTGCCCTGGCTGGGAACGTGCTGAGCTCATGTCATGGGCTGAGCTCAGCTCAAGGCCCACTTTGCTGTTTAGAGCTGAAAATTGACATTTTAACAAAGCAATGTGATGGAGATTTACCCTAAACTGCCTCTTTTTATGCCCTGAAAAGCTCCTGTGCCCAAACAAGGTGCTCTGATCCTCTCCCTGCTTCCCAATTATTTTTAATATGAGAACAGCAAAGTTTTCAGGACTGACTTTCCCTGCAGGAGGACAAACATCCCCTTTAAGCCCCCTCCATCTCTTCCCAATTTCCTCTGGAAATTAGAAGGAATTTGTAATTTTTCTTTCCTTTCAGAGCTTCTCTCCCCAAAACCTCCCTCTCTAATGAGCTCTAAGCAGCAAGTTAAGCAGATTTCCAAGGCATCACCTGGAAAGAGACTGCAGTGCTCAGCACTGGGATGAAACCCAGAGGTATTTTCCTATTAGGAAAACAGCATCAATCTCTCCTGAGCGAGGAAACGGGGGTGGAGGTGCTCAGGGAAGGATTTATGGCTTTTTTTTGTTAACTGAGCTCTTCCCTGGAGCGTTGCACCGAGCTGCTCTGATACCCTCCTGACCTGCTGCTCAAATCCCTGGGAAATCAAGCTGGAGGCATTGGGAAGGGAAGAGGCACTGCTCTCCTGCTGCTGGCAGCACAGGGATTGATGGGTTTTTCACCCCCAGACCTGAAGATCAAGCTGCAAAGCCCCAGTTTGGGGTGCAGGGCCCCGGTTTGGGGTGCAGAGCCCCAGCTTTGGGGTGCAGAGCCCTCTCCATCCATCCCAACACCCCAATGCCAGGGCAGTTTCATTTTCCTTGGGAGCTGCTGCAGAGCTCAGGTCCCTTTTCCTGCTCGGAGGGACAATAAAACAGCTCCACGAGGGAGAGAAAAACAGCACCAAAGCCACCTGTCCCCCCAGAAAAGGGGGTCCTCCAGCCTTCACGGGGTTGTCACCTCGCTGCTGCCAAGGCCACAGGCACAGAAATCCCAACTGCTGTTCCCAAAGCACCTGGACCAGCCTGGCTATGGCCCCCCGAGCACGCTGCAGTCCCCAGACATCCCAGGCCGGGTTCCAGCGATGTCCCTGCCCATCCTGGCTGCCTGTCCTGCCCCAGGCAGCCGAGGCCGGTGCGCTGAGCCCGGGCTGAGCTCAGCTCCGCGGTGCTGCCGGTCCCGCAGCGCTGCTCTGCCAGCCCTGCCCGGCCTCCAGCCGCAGGGCACACAAGCGGCACGGATGGAGTTTGCTCCTGGCACCAATGAAGACGCATCCCAAACTTGCCAAAACAGAAGGATTTGGGCTCTGCTCTCACCCATCGCCCCCCCTCCAGGGGTCGCATCCCACCCCAACCGGGGCCCCCGCGCTTTACCTGGACAGGTACAAATCCTCAGGGATCTGCGGGGCAGCCCCGGCATCCGCCGAGCGGTGTCCGCTCCCTCGGGCCGGGGGGGACCCTGCGACCCCCGGGGCCCGCCCGGCAGCCGCTGGGCACCGGGCAGAGCCCCCCGCACCGCCCGGGGGTCCCCAGCTCAGCCCCGGGATCCACGGGTCTCCCCAAGCCCGGGATGCTCCCCGGTCCCCCGTGGGTCCAGAGGCCAGCCCCGCGATCCGGGGTGGATCGGGATGGATCCGGGGTGGATCGGGATGGATCCGGGATGCTCCCGGCGGTGCGGGACCGGGAGCGGCTCCGCTCCCTCGCCCAGCCCAGCCCGGGGCGGAGCCGCCGCTCATCCGTGCCATGAGCTGGGCGGTCTCTGCGCTCCCAGACCCTCCCCGGGGCTTGGCTCAGCCCAGCCCGAACCCCCCGGCAGAGCATGGGGACCCCCGGGGGGCTCTCACTCTGGTTTGCTTGCCAGGCTCCCAGCTTTCCTGAGGAAGTTGCCATAAAACAAACAAACAAACAAAACTAAAAAATTCACCCCAAACCCCTGCAAATGCACCCTAAATCCCAGCCAGGAGTGAGGAGGGGCAATGCCAGATTCCTCATCCCACACCAGAGACCCTCTGCTGTGTGCTTGGCCATACCAGGCTTCCCTAAATCCCCAAATCCCCCTTCCCAGGGACTCCCTGGTCCATCCCACTGCCTCTCTGCATCTCCAGCTGCTCCTCCCTATGGACCCTGATGAGTTTTTCTCTCCATGGGGTCCCATGTCCCCTCTCCATGTGTCTCAAGGGCTGCAGAGCCCCTTGGGGTCTCTGGATCTCCACCCCAAAGCCGAATCCTTGGGGTCTCCCTCATGCCAAGCAGCTCCAGCTGTGTGTCCCTCCTGCCATGGGGACACCTGGGGCTGTCCAGCAAGGACTTGGCTTTGGGTCTTCCTAAGAAAAACCATCAGATCCCTCTCCCTCTGCAGCAGAAAGTGGAACTTTCTGGGTTCTGGTCCCAAAAGCCCCTCAGTGTGCCCACCACACCACCACCATTGGAAAGACTGTGCCTTCACACCCTCCTGTGGGATCTTCCCTTTCCCTCATGTCCATGGCTTCAGCCACCTCACCTTAATGCCAGGCGACTTCCAGGGCACCAAGGAGCAATTTCAGACAGCAGGAGAAATCCTTTCATTGGAGAAAATTGAATAGCAGCGATTTTGTGGGGAAAAAACACCCACACGACCTGAGAAAAGGTGGGGTCAGAGGCCGTGGAGCAGCATGACATTCCAGAGGCCCTGTAATTCCCAGGAACACCCACATCCAGCCATGGGGCCAGCTCAGTGCTGGCTGCAGGCTCCCTGCTCTGGAAAGATCCAGGGAGGGCAGCACTGGGAGATGCTCCCGTGATTTCCTGGTAGAAGTTCATGTCCAGGGAGAAAACGCAGCAAGTTTTGACTGTACCAAAACGACTGCCTGGGTGGGAGAGCAGCCAAGGCTTCTTTCCATCAGGCTTCCTGGCTTTTCCTCTGGGCACAGCTGGAAAAGAGCAGGCCATGGTTCTTCCCCACTTCCCAAAGCTCCTCTGCATCCCCAGGGATGTGGCAGGATGTCCCTCTACAGGACAGCTCCGGTCCAGCACCCTCCTGCACGGCACCTCAGGGCTCACCACTCCAGACTCTGGGCAAAAGTGACCCCTAGAACTGTTCCAGATGGGGTTGGGTTCCAAACCACAGGCTGAGGTTTGGAAATTTCCAAGCTGGGCACCTGGATTCACCCAGCCTCACACAGACACCAACTTGCCTATTAAAACCCCTCCTTTTTAAAGCCAACACTTACCTTTGGCCAAGCTCTCCATGAAATCAGTGTGACCCCAGGTGGGAGATGCACTCCAGGTGAGCAGGACACTCCTGAGTGTGGAAGCAGGAGCTGGCACCTCTGCCCTCCCACAGGGAGGGTCCCTTTTTAGGCCACACCAAATGTAATTCCCATGAGGAATCTTGGCTTCCTTCCACCTCTTCCCTATGAGGCTGCTTTGAGCACTGCTCCCAGACACTCACAAAAGGATTGCTAAATCCAGGCGAGCTGGCAATGAGCAGAGCTCACCTTTTTCCCTGAAAACCTGGACACATTCCTTACCTGAAGGCCCAGCATCCATCCAGCCATCCTGTGTGCTGGAGGAGACACAGCCCAAACCCTCCCTCAGCCCCCTGGCTCTGTGTGTGAGGTGACAAGAGAGGACACACAAAACACACTGTCCCAAAGGACAAAGTAGCACTCAGAACTGCGTGGACAGGATCCAGACCGTCCCTGGGATCCCCTGGATGCAGACAGATGAGTCAGTGGATCGTGTATGAGGTCAAAGCTCCCGGATCTCTCTGGACATCAGGTGTTGTCAGTGCAGGTAAGTGGCCCTTTGGTGGAGGGGGGTGCAGTGACAAGTCCCCCTGTGTCACCTGGCCACCTCCCCAGCTGCGGATTCCCAACTTCCCACTTTTTATAGGTGGAAAGCATTTGAGACACTAAAGCTGAGAGAAATGCAGATGTTTGCTGTCATTCCCATACAAGACAAAACCAGATTAAAAACCCAGACGTGTGCTGGGCAGCAGCTCTGCAAGAAGTTTGGGGTTGTACTCTTGGAATTGCACCGTGGTGTTTGTGTCATTTTCTTCTGGATAAACACTTCCCTGAAAAGCAGCCAGATTGGATTAAGCAGTGTCAGGGTGACGTCAATGCCCGGGACAGCGACACGAGGGCTCGGAGCAGAGGGGACAGAATCCGTGTGGATCAGTGGAGCTCTCACATTTTGGAATAATGACCCGGGGAAACAAAGCAGCCCAGGCTTCCAATTCCCCTCCCGGGATGCTGAGTCACCAGCAGAAACCCTGCCTGGCTCAGGATGCTCCCTGGCTGTGCTGTGCCAGGGACGTGCTTGGCCTGGGCCTGCTGGTGGCAGGGGGACAGGGATTGGGGTGTGACACTGCAGGGATCAGCTTTCCCAGAAACCCCTCGCTCTGGAGCTGTCCTGGAAGGAACAGGGCAGTGACAAAGGGTGGCAGAGCCTGATGTGCTCCTGTCAGACCCCAGAGCAAACCCCCTGCAGCAAGGACACAAACCCAGCTGAGGATAAAGCAAAGAACTCCAGACTGATGGGACACTCCCGGTTTCTGCTTGTGACACATTTTACTCCGCAGAGCAAAGGCAGGTGGACCTTTCTCACTTCACCTTCCCTTACATTTAAGAGATGACCGAGACTAAAAGAGAAATTAAAAATAAGAGCTAAGGAGAAGTTGTCAGTCTCCCCAGAGCTGGGACACACCACCCACGTGCTGCAGGCCGCTGGAAGTCAGAGGGATGCCCCGTGGAGGGGCTGGAACAGCAGTGCAGTGTGGTACATCCTGTGCAAGGAACGCAGCTTGGCCACACGTCCCCGTGTACCCGCGGTCACCCAATCCTCCTCTGCAGCTCCAGGGAGTTCCAGCAGGAAGAACAGAATTCATTTCCTGTGCCTGGTCTCTGTACACTCCAAAACAAGTGTTCCTAATGCCCAAAGGCCCCATGGAGCTCTGGGTTCCCTGGGAATGGAGCAGCAGATCCCTGTGTGCCGTGCTCCGAGCCCCATGTCCACGCCTGGATCCGAGGCAGGCACACAGCAGCGGGTGAAGGCCCTGCCCCGTGTGCAGGGTCAGCACTGACCTCCCCCACACACACCTCCTCTGGCCCTGCCCTGGTGACACAGGAGAGAGGGGGGCTGTGCCAGTGCCATCCTCCCCGTGAGGATTCCCACACGCTGGAACGCTAACAAGGACAATGAGGAGTTAGGTAGGATAAGGTTGGGACTGTGCACCAGGGCACCACGAGTTCCTGTCAGCCCCGTGTCCGTGCTCAGAGTTTCCTCTCCCGCAGCTTGCCCCCGTTGGGCTCCTCCAGCAGGGCTGAGTGTCCATCCCCGTTGCTCAGGCATTTGTCCTTCTCGGGCCTGTGCTCCTGCCTGTGCTCCTGCTTCTGCCGCCGGATCTCCTTGTACCGCAGGGTGATGTCCCTGCAACACACACAGCACACAGCTCCAGCCTGCAGGAGCACACCAAGGGAGCCTCTCTGCACCGAGCTGCTGGGGGTAACAACTCACTGGAGCCTCTGGCTGGGCATTTCTACCATTGCTGGTGGCACTGATTCACTGGCACTTTGTGTTTCTGGCTGGTGTCCTGGCTCTTCCCACCTCTTCCAGAGCACAAGAGCCAATCCTGCAGGAGCAGCCACTGCTGCCCCCTCCACACAGCATTGCACTTCAAACAACTGTGGAATGATTTGGGTTGAAAGGGATCCTAAAGCCCATCCCATTCCACCCCGTGCCATGGGCAACCTTCCACTATCCCAGGCTGCTCCATCCAACCCGGCCTTGGACACTTCCAGGGATCCAGGGGCAGCCACAGCCTCTCTGGGCAGCCTGTGCCAGGGCCTCACCACCCTCATTTTCCCCACACCACACCTAACCCTGCTCTCTGTCAGTGCAGAGCCATTCCCCCTTGTCCTGTCCCTCCAGCCCCTAATATGGACAGTTCCTCTCCAACTTCCAACACTGGAAGGCTGCTAATTCCTTAGCCCTGTGCAGCTCCTTTCCATGATCCAGACAGGAAGCTGCCAGGATCAGGCCCAGGGAGCTCCCTGCTTATTTCAGAACCTGCACCCACCCAGGAGAGCTCTGCTCTCTCTCCAGGCAGTCCCAGGGGGGCACATTTGAGGACGGGGGTTGAACAAATCCTCCCAAACCCCTGGCCAGCCCCAAATGCAGCCCCGCTCACCGGATGAAGAAGCGCCAGGCTGTCCAGGTGAGCACCAGGATAATCCCCAGGATCCAGCACTGGGTGATGTAGAAGGGCAGGGAGAGGGTGAGCGTGTAGGGGTCGTACTTGACCACGATCAGGAACTCCGTGGCAGTAATAGCAGCAACCAGCCAGGCCTGCTGGCCCAGCTTCTTGTGGAACTTCCTGCAGGAGAAACACAGACAAGAACATCTCATTGCTGTACAACTGGGGATGTGGAGAAATCTGCACAGAAAGACAGCTGGGGCAGTGATTTCATTCAGCTTGGCACAGTCCTACAAGTCTAGTTCAGATCACACATGCACTAAGGCTCTGCAGGATGACACCTTCATGTTGGTGTTACTTCAGTTTCCTCTCAGAGGCTCTAAAAGCGAGAAAAGTTAAACTTCATCACCAAACAATGCAGGGAAGTGTCCCCATTCCCAGGTAAATCCACATGAAACAATTCTCTGACCAGCCTGAGACCAGCTGATGTTCAGGGTATGGTTCCAAACAGGAGCTTCTCACACCAGGAGGCCCAGAGCCATATTTGACACCAAAGTGTAGTTCAAGCTACACCAAACCATCCAAATACACTGGGAAAAAGTACAGAATAAATCAAATGTAGGTGAGTGCTGATGCAGAGGGGATGAGTGCGTTCCTTCTTAAAAGGTATCCTGCCTGGATCAGCTCAGATGAAAGGGCTGCAGAAACTGCTCCAGGTGGTGACAGGTTAAATGGGCAGAGACCAGCCCTAGCCCACAGGCAGAGAGATGAAAAGAGAAGCAGCAGATCTCTCAAAGGGAACTCCAGTTGCTGGGATGATGAGGGCAGCTTTCTGCTCTGCTGGGCTGCTTCCTCCTGTGCCATCCTTTCCCGGACAACAGAATCAAAGATAATCCCAACACAAGAGCTGGGCAGCCCCTAAGGCTGCCGAGGAAGAGAGCTGGTTTCCTGCCCTAATATTCAGGAAAGATGTGAAAGATTTTTCTTGTGATGAAGGAGATAAAAACTCATGGCCTTGATGCAGACTCCTTGGAGGTGAGAGGAAGACTCCATCAGGAATGTGTGACTAGGTCAAATGCTACAAATGCATCAAGACAGTCCTGGTCAGGAACATTTCACACATCCAGTCCTCAGGAACTCGGAGGCAGCAAGTGGTGTGTGAGGGCTGGAGAAAGCTTCACCCCTCTTCTGGGACTATCACAATTCCAGGCACTACATTGTCACCATGCTCAGCCCAAGGTCCTGCAAGCAAAGCCCCACAGCTGCCTGCAGATACTCAGAATGCTGAATGGGAAAAAGAATTCTTCACATTGGAATTTCAGTGCTTTCTAAACCCAGCATTGCAGGGCTGGCTGAAGAGACCTCCTCAGGTCATCCCAGACAATCCCAGCAGCACCAGACAAGGCAGTGAGCCACGTTTTTGTCAAGGAAGGGCAATGGAATATTCCAGTCTTTGAGCATTAAGAGTTTCCAAAAGGAAAAGGTCAGCAAGGTTTCCCATGTGATGTAAGCCAGGAGCCTCTGGTACAGCCTGCTCTTCCCAGAAGGAATAATGCACTGATTTTTGTAAATACAACCATGGAACAAATCATTCTTCCCCTGCTCTTCCCCTACAACACCATGGGAAGAATCCTGAAGGATCCTTGGCTTGAAATGATGTGCAAGCAAAGCTGGTAAATGGGGGCAGATCCTCTCTGCCTGGATGGCCTGGAATGCAGGAAGGGATTACAAAACCCTCTGCAGAGAAGGTGCCAGGTAAGAGCTCAGCTCAGCTCTGCCCTTCTGCAGGAGCAGCCTAATGTCAGCTCTGGGGGGCATCAAGCAGAGCCAGGAAGCCCAGGATGTGGGGGCAGTCACCTCCCCCAGCAGGAGGTGGTGGCAGTGACAGGGATGCACAGCTTGGGATGAGCTGCTCTGGCTCGTGGAAAGAACAACAATCAGAGCCAGAGATAAGGCACTGGCCAGGGATGGCTCTCCCAAATTCCAGTGTTATGCCACGTGGCTGGACAGAGGGCAAAGGAGCTTTTCCAACCCCAACACAAGAAGATGAATGGTGCTAAGGAGAGGAGCTCAGCAGCGAGGCAGAGACTCTTCTTACCTGTGAGTTGGAGGCACGTCCCAAACCAGTAGGTCCAACACCAAGGGCAGGGCATCCTGCCCCTGCGGAATGTCCTGAATTCCGACTAAGCAATGTGGGCTGGCCCTTCTTCCCAGTTCTAGGAGTCAAAGCCTTGCAAGGGAAACTGATCTTCAGACCATGTTGGAACCCTAAATTCTGAACACAGACACTTTGTTGCGTTGGTCAGCGACAGACAATGAACACCCCTGGAAGCCAGGCGGTGCCTTAGGCTGAGGATGTGGGCTCAGGCAGGTTGTGACATTAAAAGAAAAGGTGATTTTGAGAACAAAGCTTTCTCAGCTCTCACATGGTCTGCAGAAACAAAAGCAGCGAGGACAAATATGATGCTGAGGTGGGAACAGTCTCGAGTACATGCACTGCTGTGTGTGGTGCCTCACCTGCAGCACATCCTGCTACCCAGGGCCTCTGACCTGCAAGAGGATGCCAGGAGAGCTCCAGAGAGCCAGGGGGAAGAAAGCTCAAGGAAAGAAGTGCCTTTAAGAACCACATTTTTTTAGTCTAGGCCCTGATGTCCCCAGAGGGCACATCCAAGGACTGCAGTTCCTGGCTCTCGGTCTGGAATCGGAGCGCAGCGCTCTGCCCACGAGCCAGGGGCACTCCAGCTCATTTCCACATTCCCTTCTCCAGAGAGAGATCATGTACCAGACACTGAGGTTAACACAGTGCACACACAATGCCCTTAACAACAGCTGCTCTCTGACCGGGGGAGTGAGAGTGGTACCTCCAAAACAAAGGAACACGAAGCGGATGCTTTGGGATTAGGCCTTTTTGTCCCTGACAAGCTGAACTGAACTGGTGCCCGAGATGGATGCCAGCAAGCTGGAGCAAGTTCAAAACAAAGCACGTGGAGCTCGACATGGGAAGTACAGAGAGGTGGGGCTTACGGGTCGTCCATGAAGTCGTAGATCTCCCTCATGGCCACTCCTCCCACGTTGACAAAAAACACCAGGCGAAGCAGCACCAGGTAGTGTTCAGGGGGCATCCACAGCACAAACTTCAGGTAAAACGTGTTCAGCTCTGCCAATAAAAACTGGGAGGGGGGGGACACTGGAATTACCTTTGGAAAATACCACGGGATGGAGCCTGGAATGCCCCTCTCTCCCTGAATGGCTCCCCCTGTGCATTTCTCAGCATCTCTGAGTGAACCATCAGCACCAACCCAAAACTGACTGGGCTTTTAAACATTTTCTCTACTTTGGAAGAGGCACTAAAAATCGCAACAAAGAGCTGGACAAGCAGTACCCTCAAATTTCAAGCAAGGTTTAGAACTTTCAAACAAAGAGGCCAAAGTACCTGCACAAACACTGAGGGTAAATCCCACAAGCACAGCTTTTCCTTTCCCTGTCCTTTAAAATCCAGCTGAGGGAGCCCCACCATAACAAGACGCACGAGCTGCACATCCTGGGGGGGCTGGGCTGGGTTGTTTTTTCTCAGTTATATAAACTCACCCTCAAAGCCAACTTGGGAAAGTTGATTATAAATTAAGAGCAAAATGTTCTCTCCAGCAGCTGCCCTGGCAATGTGCTTAAGGGAGCAGTGAGACACCAGATTGTCACTTCAAAAGAAGTGATAACAAAGGGCATTAAGCCTTGCTGAAACCCAAGGAGTGAGCCAGAACATGAAGCTGCTTAGAACCTGTCAGCTGAACCTGGGATGTGCTAAAAGAAACATAATCCCACAGTTCAGTATAAATTCACTGGGATTTCTGTTGCAGCAGCACCTAAACCCCCATTTCTTCAAGGTGCAACCAGCAACCTTTTTGGGGAAACATCTATGTTATTTATATTATACTCTTTTAGTCCTCCCACAGAGCAGGCCTGGTGTGCCACGTGAGCTTGGCCAATGTGCCCTGCAGCAGGAATCAGGTGCTGGGAGTTTGTTCTGGCAAAAACACAGAGTTCTGTCCTGTGCCACTGAACCTGGTTCATGCCCAGTGCCCCGGGATCACCACCAGTGTCACAGGGATGGAGTTAGTTAAATTTCACAGCTGCTGGGCTGAGAAAAGTTTGAGTTGCCCAGAGCAGAGCCAACTGACATCCCATGGATGGCACAAAGGCCAAAGTCCCCTGGCTGGCAAAGGGGCAGAAATGGGAAAAAGGAAGGGTAAACTGGGCAGTTCAAATGCCTATCAGTCATGTGGGTGACAAGTTCAGCTTCACAAGCACTGGTATGAATTTCAGATGCTGCATTCCCAGCATAAAACAATTCCACCCACTCAGGTGCTGTGTGTGCAGTGAAATGTAAAAAAAAAATAAATAAAATTCTAGGAGAATTGAATGATTTAGGCAGATCTGTGCTTCAGGAGTGAGCTCAGAGGAGCCAGAGGCCTTGGATACAGCCCCTTCCAGCTGTAATGTGACCTGTAGCTGCATAAAACTGAGGGATGTGAGCTACTTTCACCCACAGCCATTGCTTTGGGGAACAGCAACTTGCTGAGAACCCAAAGGCCCCAGTTCATATTGCTCCCACTGCCAGAACAGTGGGCAGCAAGCAAGGACAACCCTTTCTGCAGTGAATCCGTCACCTGTCCCAGAGACACGGACACAGCCCCCTGTTCTGTGGGACTGGGAAGGGAGCCCTGCTGGCCTCAGCCTCAGGAACATCCCCAGAGCTGCAGCCTGAGTGGCAGAACCTGGAAGCAGGGGACAGGAGGGCCAGAGAGGTGTCCTCACCACGAAGATGATGCCACAGACGGCGAGCCACCTGCGCAGGCTGGAGGCCGGCTTCCACTCGAACTTCACCCAGCTGTAGGGGGTGAACTGGAACACAATCCTCTTCATCTTGCCTCTGGAAAAAAGCAAAATAACCACTGCAGCCTGAAGGGAAAGCAGGCAAGAGGCATCTGCCAGAGTTTCCATTTGAGACACCAGTTCAGATATGCAAAATGCCTCCGTTTACTCCATTAAAATCACAACTTAATGAGACTAGCTCTGAGCTTGTTGTTTTAATTATCAATTTAAGCTTTAATATACTACACCCACTGCTGTGAGCAGTTCTGCTCTGCTCAGCAAAGACACTACAGAGCACGATGGGTCATTACTGGTACACAACTACAAGGGATTTATTAAATTTTAATTCCCAGTGTCCCAGTTCCTGTGAAGTTCTGGCTACTAGGGAATGCAAAAAGACCAAACAGATCCTTGCTGTGAATGGGAGTATGATGCCAACTTGGATTCCTGCTCTTCTTTAAACCATTTCATCAAATAAGCTCATTCCCACAGGATGCCCTCGCTCCCAGCCATCAGGCAATGTTTGGGACACACAGGTGGATTTCCAACAATGCCATTCACAAGGTGAATAAAACTCTCCATCAAACCTCCCTGCAGCAATAAGTCACTGGATTCTGGAGCCACCTGGGAATTCTTTAATCCATATTAACCCAAACAGAACAACCAAGCTCGTGAACAGGGGCCCAGCCTTTGTGCTGTGCCTGTGGAGTTCCCTCCTCCCCAACTTACTTGTAGGTTGGAATGTTCCAGAGCCCTTGCCATTTGTAGGTTTTCAAGGAAAGCCAGGACAGGGTCTTCATCCCACAGTAAATTCCTAACCCGTTACATAAGATCACATCCATTATCCACTGGAAGGAGAAACACAGGAATGATGCTGGGGAAGGAACACTAGAGCTTGGCAAAGGGAATCACTACAGGCACAGCCCTGCATTCCAGGGAGTGGGACAGGAGTGTTAATTCCACAGGTTTTCTGAAGGTTAAATAGCCTGGCTTAATGTTTCTAATAATGCACTGACTTTTGAAAATACAGCCATGGAGCAAATGACTCCAAGCTTGGGTCTTTCCCAAATCCATCCAAACCCAGACCCAGAGCTGTGTGCCCTGACTGTAGGGAATTCTGGTCACTCTGGCACCAACTTAGACCTCACAGGAAAATGAAACACAACTTTAAAAGGGTGTCCCTTTATGCTCACACCAAGTTTTGCCTTTCTCTGAATTTCAGACTTTATTGCTTTATTATTTGCTTTATCAGCAAATATTTGAAAATGTTCAGGTACAGCTTTAGATCCTCCCTGTGGTGTGAAACAAACCCAAACAAATATTTAACCATGTCCAAGTGTTTGTAAGACACAAAATGACAGAAACAGTGACAAGCACGAGACAAACTCAACAGGGAGCAGTCTCACACGGGACACAACCCAGCTCTCCTCACTTCCTAGCCCTCCCTGTAGGAAAAATCTGTATTCCCAAACAAACCCTAATCTGTGCAGTACGTACGTGATCCCACCAGCATTCACTGAAGTTTGGGAGCTGGTGCTCCAGGCTGTACTCCAGGAACTCAAACATGACACTGATGATCATGCACATCCACCAGTCCCGAATCATCAGAGTCTGAAGGGAGAAAAAAGCCTTTTAAACAGCTGCTAAAAAATATCTACAGTTGTAGATCTTGTCTCCAGTATCCAGAAAAGAATCAGGAAACTCAGGACAATGTTATTTTTGTGATATGATGGCCCAAATGCTCACAGGCCTCTCAACTTATCACCATTACCTGCACAAGAGACAGGAATGACACTGAAGAAAATCACCTCCACCCCAGCCAAAACCAGCACAGGAATACAGATTATGATAAATTCTGGTAAAATGGGATTCAGCAGGAGGGAAATTAGTTAAATGCATGGAATTACTGGGTGCTCAAGCACCACAGGCAGCATTGTTCTTACAGTGCTCAGAAAAGGTTTTTCAGAGCCTTTTATGGGCTCTAAACGACTCCAAAGCCACAATAACTTCTGATGAATGAGGCCCATTCATTCTCAATATTGCCACCCTGGTGCTTTGAGATTTGGGGGAAAAAATCCAAACACAAGCCCATCTCTGTTTATTGAGACAACACACTCAACCTCCAGCTTTTAATAGAGAAATAGGTTAATATTTAACATATTTAAGAGAAAAATATGCTATGGCCCTGAAGAAATCCAGCAGCCAGTCTCCTTCCAGCTGGGCAGCCCAGCTTCTAATGCAATTCTCTTGGAAAACAAAGGATCCAAGTTTTCCAAATTGAGAAGCCAGTTCATTAACAGAACAAGCTGAAGTCCATATCTCCCCATGCCCAGCAAATTCACCTCAGGTTTTGAGGTGAACCACTCACAGAACACATCTGCACTGCTAAATGAAAACACAAACCAACAGTTCCAGCTTGCTTTAGAACAGCCAAGCTCTGTCAGTTTGTTATTTGAACAGCAAACCCAAACAAGGTCTGCAGGGGGCAAAACCTCCTGAGTCAGCCAGCCTGCTTGGGTTAAAAAAGGTAATATTTAGACCAAAGTAATCAGCAAAACATTGTTGAATGTTCTGCCAGAGACAGGCACAGCTGGAATTCCTTCTGCAGTTGCTTGATACCAACTAAAAAGTAACAAGAATTAAACCAGTGCCCATTTAATGGTTTAAAATCCTGATCTGATGCCACTGGGGAAAGCAGCAGCAACAACATCTGCCTTTGGGAATATCACTGTCACTGCCAGCCCCACACTCCACTCCCAAAGGTCATTCCAGCATTTCTGTGGCTACAGGAATTAAGTTTTTTATTGATCTGACCCCAGGATGAATCCCTGTGGAGAAGGAAGGAGCCTGTTGATGAAACAAGGCTCTGGAAAGAAATGAGGTGGCCTAATATGGGCAGGAAACAGGAAAAAAAAGGGGAAAAAAGGCTTTTGACATACTGATATGTATTTTCATCTATTACAAACAGCCTGGTTTAAGTAACCAAGGCCTGGCACTACAAAAGCAGCAGCAGTGAGGCTTTGGGAACAGAGGAACAGAGTTCCTAAGTTGAAATGAGTCATTCTTACCTTCAGGTACCACCCAAAAAAGTGAGCAGGAACAAATCCATCCAGCTTGTCCTGAAAACCGAAAAGAGAGTGAAGGTCACAGCCTTTTTATTTATTTTTTTCTTCCAAGAAAAATGCAGCAATAAATGTCTGGTTTTCCCACACATGAATACTTGCACTCCTTCATCAGGAAGGAATTTAGCAGAGCTTCTTAAATCTTACCAGCCCTGCCAGGCCCTGGACACAGTGCCTTTCCCTCTACTTTTATCAGATCCCAGTTACTCCAGTTTTTGATGCACTGAAGATTTACAGGGTAGACCCAAAGGATTTGGGTGCTCCTCACTCCATGCAATCAGGGAGCTGTAAATCACCATCATTCCTTGGCCCTGGAATTTCTGCCAGTGAGAAACCTGATGGCTTTTAGGACTCAGAAAAGTCCTGCACTAGTGGAAGGTGTCCTTGCCCAAGGCAGGGGAGGGGGTTACATCATCTTTCCAACCCAAACCATTCTGGGGTTCTGTGGTGCAGCTTTAGGGCTTTGTGCCCCAGGGTGACTGAGGAGAAGACTCCTCAAGCACACCGAGAAATCCAAACTCTAAGGGGAAAATCTGACACCAAGGAGCTGAGGAAGAAGAGCTGTTGAACCCTGGGCAATCAGGTAATTGGGATCCAGAGAGACACACGCCCATGTGATGGACAGGAAAGGTCCAGAGAAGAGAAATGAAGAGGCTGGAGAGGCACTCACAGGCTGCGCTCTGATTTCAGCACTCAGCCAGACCCACGACTGCACTCTGAAGGGTTCAGTTAAGCAGCTTTTTACCCAAAAGCAGCCCTCTGAGTGAGTTTGCTCCTTACCCAGATGTTGTGGAAGGGATCAGTTCCATTGCCAGGGTCATAAATGAGGCAGTTGCCCCCGTAGTCTCTCTCAGGCAGAGGAACCCCCAAGTGGGGGTCGATGTACTTCATGAACTGCCTCCCGTCCTGCACTGTCTGCAGGGGAACACAAACCAGGACCCCTGAAGGACTCACACACAAGTAAGAATTAAGAATTAACCCTTTTTCAAATTCCTGGAGGAGCAATTGTTGAATTAAAGTCAGGCACATACTTGACTTGGAGCCCTTTAATCCTAAATATTAAGGGAATAAAAGGCTACAGAATGACCTTAAAGATGAAAAAATCAGTGATCTTTAATGCTTTAGCCCAAGCCATTCCTCTGTGCTCCCCATCTCTCCCATAAGCTTCACACAGCTTTTGACAGAGAAATTGTCAAAATGACCAAAATGTGAACTCATCTGTCACTAAATCAGCCCCACACATTTGCTGAGCATTTATTTCCCAATGGAATCACTCAGCGTTGTGGTCAAGGCTCAACCCTGCAACATCTGTGACAGGCAGCAAAGCTGGACAAAGCCAAAATTTATTAATTGAGTAATAATAAAATTACAGAATAAACTGCTGAACTCTGGGACAAGTTTCAGCCATGAGCAAGCTTGGATTTGCTGTCAGGAAGTTCAGCCACCTGCAGACTCAGCAGAATTTAACCTTATTTAAACCTGGGCAAGGCAATGATGTATTTTTAGTAGAGAGCTGAGCAACAGCAGGGAGTTCCTTAACCACTAAATCTCTGCTGACACCACACGCTGCCACAGGGAAGAAAAGCCATTCCAGGCTTTTCTGTTGGAATTCAGAACTACACCAGTAAAAATCACTCAGTCTGACTGCAGCTCCTCAGAAATACCATGCTCAAGGATGGCTGGAAAAAAACCAGGGTGACCAGTCCCATTTTCTTAAGCTCACATGGCCTCTAAAAGCAAAACTTTAAAAAAAAAAAGCATTCCCCACCCTTCTTTCACACAAAATGATTTTTAGAGCTGCCTGATGAGTATATTGTCTCAAAATATTTAATTTTAACTGCCCAGAATTGTACAAGTCAGGGGGAAGGTCTCAGTTTACTAAAGGACAAGATATGGTAAAATGTTTAATTTGGAAACACCAAGGGCACATCTTTCTATGAAAAGCCTCCTCCTCAGCTCCTGCCACCACACAAAGCTGGGTGTGAAGTTTTGGTTTATTGCAAAACCCCCACACCTACAAAGAACCTGTCACTCCAGGTAAAAGATATTTCCAAAGGTGAAACCAGGTGAATTCCCCCTGAGTCACACATGGCCCAGCAGGGCAGAGACTGGACTGTGAAACACCAGCTGCTGAACATGAACTCCCTCACCAGCTCATCTAAAACCACTTCAACACGGTGTCTACCCCAGGCTGAGGGTGACTGGAGGTCAGAGCAGGTGAAATATTTCTATATTATCATTTCTCTCAGCCTCACAGTCTCATTAAACAGCCTAAAGATTCCATCTCACAAAACCAAGCACCTCCTGTAGTCAGCAGGAAAAAAAAACACTACAAAGGAGTTGATCCCCACATGGAAGTGGCATTTAGGAGCTGGAGGTGTCAGCCACTTACCTGGAAGAGGATGAAGATGAGGAAGAGCTCATAGACCACGCTGACACACAGCCAAAACCTCCAGTAAGCTGCAGAGAGACACAGGGGATGTCAGCAGCAGCTCTGGAGCAAGCCATAAGCTAATTATTATTCATTTATTTCAATATCACAGAATCCTGGAGTGCTTTGTGCTGGGAGGGACTGAAAGCCCATCTCATTCCACCCCTGCCATGGGCAGGGACACCTTCCACTGGCCCAGGCTGCTCCACACCCAACCTGGCCTGGAACACTTCCAGGGATGGGGCAGCCACAGCTTCTCAGGAAACCAATTCCATTTCAAGAGAGGCTCCCGCCATGGAATTGCAATTCCCAGCTGCCAAGCACAGTACTCCCCACCCTCCCTCAGGGATACAACCAGAAAGGATCTCCAGCTCCCACACAGGCTGCTGTGAAGGTTTGCTGGAACTGCTCAGGCACTGACCTGGATGTGGGAGAAGGGATCCAGGTCCAGAACACTCCAACCCAACAAGCTCAGCAGTTAGGAAGGGGAAGGAAAGGAATGTGCCACCTGCAGTGCTTTCCAGCAGTCCCTAGAGGAGAACCTGATCCTTCCTGAGCTTTCTCCCTGGTCTCAGGTGTGACCTGGGCTGCACCAGACACACCCAGGGCAGGCTGGAGTCGTGTTCAGCAGCCCAGCTTTGGCCTGGGGACAAGGTCGTGTCGCCAGGGGCAGAAAGCATTTCAAAACCCCAAAGATAACTCCACTTTTACTTGCAATGACATTAAAAACAAGCAGACCAAAGGTTCAGCAAGGCCTGTCCATAAGAAATGCCATGCAAAGCTCATGTGCTGCTGGGAGCCCTCCCCAGATGTGTGATTACAGATGTGCGCACACCCAGCGACACCTGGAGCCAAAGGGTGCCCAAATTCCAGTGTCTGCACACTCCCAGCTCCCCTGCCAGGCTCAGCCCTGGGGTCACAGCCCATCCTGGATGGGGGCTTGTGCCCCACAGGCTCATCCATGCTCCTGATCCATCCAGACACCTCTGGGCTCTGAACTCCCTCAATATTTCTGACTCCTGCCCCGAGAGGCTGATGCAGAGCCAGGGTGGGTGCACACACAGCTCCAGCAGTTCTCCCTACCCAGATCCAAAAATTCCACAGAAGGGAATTCAGGAAAACTCACAACATTCTAGGTGGACACTGAAATTCCAGAAACATCACACAGCACTCTCAGGATGAGAAGACCTGCCTTCATGTGTTTCCTGAAATGGAGCTCTCCTTCCTCAGGTCCATGGGGGAGATGCATAGGAATCCCAACAGGGTTTGCCAGGAAACCAAGACCCTCAGGCCTGCCTTGGGAATTTCTCTCTGTTAATTCCAAGGCAATGTAGGCACTTTGATGTTCAAAGCAGGGCCAGGCATAAATTACACAAGAATGAAACAAACAGAGGCTTACAAACAGAGTTATCAGCTCAGAACCCCAAACCAACTCCCCATGGAGCTCCTCAGGAGATGTTTTCTCCTAAAACATGTCTTTATCCAGCTCAGCCTCAAGTAGGAAATAAATTATTAAAAAAAAAACAAACCTAAAACCCCAAAACAACAAAGAAACAACAAAAAAAACCAAAATCAAAAATACCAACAAACTCCACACATTTTTAAAAGCAGCCTCTGACACCATCATTAAAAGAGATCACAATGTGAAACCTTTTTGCACCAATCCTGCTAAATTAATTTCATCAGAATCACCTATTTTACACTACTGGGAAAAAAAAAAAAGGAAAAAAGGAAAATAAAAAGGCAGGTGTGGCCTTGCAGAACAGCAGTTCAGAGCTCTGTGACAGCTTTCACACACTTGTCTTTCCAAAATGCATCTTAGGAAAAGCCCAACAGCAAAAAAAAAAAAAATATCCTCCACTGTCACAGGATTATTTGGAAGAGAGGAGCCTTTTCCCAAACTGTCACAACATTCAAGCCAGCAGGGAAAATTAACTTTTCACCACCACACTTCTCCCACCTTTAAATGTCACTGCCAGATACGAAAAAAATGCCCTTTTTTCTAACCCATAAACCTTGCACCAGAGATTTTACACTACTCACAGTCAGCAAAGTGACAGATTGGTCCTGCAAGTGATGTAGACACAGAAAGCAGAGAAATCTAAATCCTTGTCTGAGCTTTCATTCCCCTCTGTACACAGAGCTGTGGCAGCTGCTGAGCAGGCTCAGCAAAAAAAGAAAATTAAAAATGGAGATCTGGTTCTGATTTAGGGCTGTGGTTTCTCCCCAGCTCACAGAGGTTCCCCCAGAGGTTCTGAACACACCCAGTACCTGCACCCCAAATGTTTTCAAGGCTGTACAAACACTGTTCTCACTCCTGCTGGGTCAGGCTCAGCTTTAGCTGTAAGGTTACTTATGGCATGTCTCCAATGCTTGCTTTCCTTTAATTCACTTCCCATTTTGCCTCCCTCCAACCAAGGCTTCCCTCCTGAGTGAGGAGGTCCCCACTAACCATTGATACACCTGATAACCCAGTGATTTCTGGGATCAAACATTAAACTGCTGCCGTGCAGGGATCCCAGCAAGCTGAACCCAACCAGCCTTTCCCCGCTTCTGCTCAGAGCCTGGCCCACTCTGCCTGAGGGGCTAAATGAGTAAAAAAGACAAAAATCTGGGTTGTTTGCCCAAGGAAAACACTTGCCCTGGAGCTGCTCCTTCCAGTGTCACCAGTGCTGCCCTTGCCTGGCCCCTGCCTCCATATTCCCACTGTCCCAGTCCTCAATCCCACAGGTTACTCCAGACCCTCACAATTTACTCCCTGACCAGCTCAACCTGTCACACAGCCTCTATTAAGTCAAAATAACTCCTGGCAGAGGCTGGGAATATGAAAAGCTGCTTCTCAGGGCATTAATAACTGTCATGGAAAATTTCTTTGGAATGACAGCATGGACGTGTTATCTTGACAGGCAATAAAGCATCCCTGGGCTCCTACAGCAGCAGCTCCAGAAGAGGAGCTGGCAGGGAGAAGGAAGAATATCTCTTATCTGCAAATCCTAAGGAGACAGGCCACTGATGCTGGCTCTATCCAGGATTGGTTCTACCAGGAAATGCTCCCCAAATTTGGCTGTTCACCCACCAATGAATAAATGGATCCTCAAGCAGAATTTAAGATCTGTCCCTTGCACTGTGCTGTTCCCTAGGGCTAAAGCAGTGAAGGTTTGGATAGAACCCCAGCCAGTGGAAAATGGGATAAAAGCAGGGCAAGTTGGTAAAATCTTGTCTGAACAATCATACCTACTTATTTCCGTGACAATCCTACATTTCTGAATTACAGGGAGGCAACTGGTGTCTGTCCATGCAGCAAATTATTGAACTGCAGAAAACAGGGGCCTGTGTGGAATCAGTAGGGAAATGGCAAAGCTGGATGAGCCCCTGGCTAAAGCTGGGAATGCTGAGAAGGCAACAAAAAAAAGAAATAAAGCCACCAGTCTGGACAGGTGCCACTAAGGTAGTGGCTGGCATCAGTTTCCTTAATGGCCTTAATGAAAAGTAGGTTAATGACACACAGCAGGAGCAGCAGGGAAGGCAGGGACAGCAGAGAAGATGATCCCAAGGGACTGGAGTGACAGAAGAGCTCCTAACACAGCTCCACACTCTGGAATCAGGAATTTGGAAGCATCACATTATCACAAAAATCCCCAAAATAACCCTGCAGCTCTGGAGAGGACATTTGAAAGCAGAAAGCTCAAAACAAAGCCAGAATGTTATGGGGAAATGTTACACTGGGGGCAAGACTAAAAGCCAAAACTTCCCTGCTTTGTTCTAGGGAATAAAACCAGCCCAGACAAACCCTCAAAACCTGGGTGCACCCAAGTGTCACTGGGGTCCTCAAAAGGAGCACTGATTTTACAGAAGGAATCACAATTAACTGGAACAGAAGGAAAGACTAAAACCTGCTATTTAATAAGAAAGGCAAATTACATAAAGCCCCAGGTCTGCAGAGGTGTGCAGAGGGCACTGCTCTGGAACCACACCTGCTTTGGCTGAGGGCTGTGGGGTGGCTGCTGGGTTAAATTTCTGGCATAAACCCCAGCTTTGTTTGGCTGTAGGAGAGCCCAGTGCTTTCAGGAATATTATTTAAGCCTATATGAATTCCCTTGATTCTTCCTCTTTCAATGATTCGCATCTAAAAACAGGCTAGAGATCAAAGCCATTTAAATATTTTCATGTTTCACCAGCTATTCCATTACCTGGAAGAGGTTTGTGTTGTGCTTTCAAGACTTCCAGTCTTACAAGAAACCTTTAAAATCATAATCAAGGGCCTCTAATCTCCCATGGAAAATGGACATGGAGCTCAGGAAGTGCTCCTGCACCAGATAAAAGGTCACAAGTGCAGTCCCAGCACAGAGAGGAGAAAAAAAAATGAGGATAAACAGGGGAAGTTCAGGCTTAAGAACCTGGCAGTTCTCACAGAGCTTTTTAGCTACAACAGAAAGCCAAAGCAGGGAGATCCACACAGATCTGCAGGCTCCATGGAAGGCCAGCAGGGTGGTTATGGAGGAGCCTCCATGATCAGTGTGCAGTGCTGAGGAACCTGTGATTACTGAAATTACAACTTACCTGCTCTCCAGGCAACACAAACATTTACCCCTCCCTCCCAGAGCAGGCAGCTGCTCAGGAGGATTTGAGTGAGCCCAGCAAGGTGAATTACCTGGGTGAGGTCTTGAGAATGGTCCATCTTTAGCTTGTGTCACCCCAAAGCACAAGAAAACCAAAATACTGGCGACGATTCCTCTGCAAGGAAAAGCAGAACACTCTGGGTTATTGCCTCATCCTCCTCCTGAGACTGCAAATTATGTTCTCTGATGAAAGAAATGTCTGGCCCTTGTTCTTTAACTGCTGAATGTGTCCCTCTTAAATGGAACCAGGCACCATCCAGAAAAAAGCAGCCAAGAAAAGGCTGAGGATCACAGCAAGTCAAACAATTCCCTGTGTCTGGGAGCAGCTTTTATTCCCACTGGCTCACAAAGACACACAGGATTTAGCAGTGAGACAGCTCTCACTGCTCCACCACATTTCCATGGAATTTAAAAAGGAGCTGTCAGACTTGTCACCACTCCAAAACAGCTTCTTAACCAATTAAAGACAAGCAGGAGCTTTCCAGACCACACCAGCACTGCTGCTATTTCAAGAGCTGGAACCATAACACAGAGCCTAAGGAACATAACAGAGATTTTAAATAAAAATAAATTATCAGACCAGAAGCCCAAAGACCTACAACCCTGGGCATGTTCCTTTAGTTTTAATGGATTAAATGGCAGAAAGCAATCCAAAAGTGCTCTTTTTGCTGCACTTCAACTCCCACTGGATCCTGCTTGCTGTCTCATTTCACCTGCTTAAGAGCTGGCTGAAAGGATGGACAACTGGGAAAGAGCTCATTCCATGCTTGCAGAAAATGATGCAACCCCTGACTGCAAATAAAATGGCTCAGTCTGCAGGAATCACACAAAATACCCAGTAATTTTGCTGCCAGAGAGAAATTGTCACAAACCAGAAGCAACAGGAGACTGTTCGTGCTTTAAACACATCAAAAAACCTTTCAAAATAGAAGACTAAAGGATTTACAGAAACTATTTTCTAGCATTCACCTCTGAGTATAAATGTTTGTGCTTCCTAAAAATAAAAATGGGGTTTAGTTAACAGATGTAACTCAGTAATTTTGCTTGCTTTAAACACTGGGAAGCACACCAGAATTAGGTGACTGAATGAATCTGTGAATAGACAGTTCCATGGGGATTTCCAAAGATCTGGAGGGCAAAAACCCTTTCAGCTGACCTCCAATAATGAGAATATTCTGCATTTTGAGGCCCTGGCTGCATCTGGAAGCTCCAGTCCTGTGTGGTGTGACAAGCTCAGCCATGAACTAAGGGGTCCAGACCACTGCTCTGGCCTTGGGAGGGTTCCAATTCCAAAGCTGGAATTCCAATTCTCAATTCCAAAGCTAGAATTCAAATCCTGGATCCAAATCACCACAGGAGCTCAGCTGTGCTTCTTCCTCTAAACCCCACTCTTGGCCCAAGAGCTGCTGTGCTGAAATAGGCTGGGGATCCAGATACATTCACTTCAAGTTCACCACAGGAAGTTTGGAAGCAAATCACAAATTTGCATAAATAACCACACCAGCTCAATTTTTTTTTTTTTTTTTCTCAGTGGTAACAAAACTTTCCCTCTTATCCTCATTAATTTACCTTCCAATGCCTCAGCAGCAGCCTGGCCTGAGGCAGGAATGCTCCAGCATCTGAGAGGGGCTCTCCTCTCCTCACCTGGCTGGACACAGCCAATGGATTCTCCTGAGCAGCAAATCAGGAAGGCACAAAATAGCAAAGTGTGCCCACAAAAATCATTTTAGCACTTAACCAAATAAAAAAAAAAAATTAAAAAAAAAAAAAAAGGAGAGGCTGGCAGCAGCTCCATCAGCACAAACAAACTCTTGTTTGTGCTGAGAGTCAATTCAGACACACAGGACAATGAGGAGCTGTGTATGGCCCTTTGTCCTGGGATTCAAGGAGGCAGCTCCCACTCCCTGTCCCATCCCGGGCTGGATCCATGCTGGCACAGCTGGTACAACCCCCTTGGGGCACCACAAGCCCTGGAACAGAGCTCTGGCCTCCTGTGGCCTCCATTTCCCTGTGGGTGCTCAGCCACAGCAGCAGGAGATCAGCATGCAAACCCACACATCCCTGGATCTGTCCCCATGGAAAGCAGGGATTGCCAAGAGCTGTGTAAAAAATCATCTCAGGAGAGACATTTCCCAGCTGGAAATTCAATGTACAGCCCTGAAGCACACTGGTGGTTTTTTAAACCTGAATGTGTTTTTATGGAAAAAAAAAAGAATTTTTTTTTTTTTCCCCCAAGACACCCTGCTCAGCATTTCAAATATTTGGGAGCTGTGGATTTCTTCCATGGTATGCAGAGGAGGTGCTCAGGGTTTATCTGGCTACACTCAGAGCTGGAGCTGAGTCCAGGCTGAACAGAGGAGAATGTCACAGCTGTCAGTCAGGATGAGCTATCCCATGGCTGGAAGAACAGTGGGAATAAAGCTCTCAAGGACCAGACGGGTTCACAGCACAACCTCTCCTTGCCTAACAAAGGAAATGTTCCACAGTTCTTACACCGGGGGCAGTCTGACCACCTGTGTGATCCCAATGAACTCTTACTACACTTACATATAGATATACATATACTGCAACCTTACTTAAAAAAAAAACAAAACAACCCAAACAATCCTTCTTGAATTGTTTCAGGACAGAAGAAGTCCTGTGACAGATGCAAACACCAACATCAGCCACGGACACCACACCCTGTGAGCTCAGAGGTTCCTGCTCTCACTCGGTTCTTGTCCATCACTTCTCCTGTGAGTGATTTCACAAATCCACCTCTCACCCTGCTCCTGCCAGTGACTGCATGGAGCATTTTATAGGATGACAAAATCCTGATTTTATAGGGGAGAAGGTGGGACCAAACCCTAACCCTAACCCATCCCACGACTCCAGTCTGGGAAACACAGAGCCAGCAAATTTGGGAGGTTCACCCCAATTTACTGCTCTGAGCACCTCACAGCAGCTCACAAGGACACCTCAGGCAGGGCATGGAAACAAAGGAGGCTGGAGCCTTTGGAAGTGTGTATTTCAGACACTGCTGCACTGTCAGTGTGCAGGAGGTGGAAATAAAAGCCCGTGACAGCTCCAGACTCTGCTCCCCGGTGACAAACCCCCCCTGGTCATTAGGCACCAAGTGTTCCCGAGGAACACCGGCACACAGGGACAGCCTCGTGCTGGGTGGGGCTTGGAACGGCAGCACAACACGGCTCCACACCAGGACTGACAAAGCTCTCAGGGCAGGCTGAGGGATTTTTAATTATGGATGCAAATATAAAAAATCTGTGATGATTTGGGCTATGGATACACTGATGCACATTGTGCCCATCTCACCCTGCTCTGAAATACCCGCATTTGTCCAGAGAGACGTGAAACATGGAATATTTGGAAGTTCATGTCCAAGCCTCAGGATGCTCCTTTTCAGGGATTTTTGTGCCAAGACCTTGTAGAGCTGCAGCAGTGAGCAAAGCCCACTGGCTGCCCCTTTCTTGGCACGTTGCTGTAAATTGATTTTAACAACTGGGCACTGGATAAGCACACAACAACTCGTGTTTCCTGAGAGAAAGATCCACCTGCTGACTAATCTTCCCTGGGTTGGTTTTGATTAAGGCAGCCGAGGCTCTAAGCTCAATAATAAGATATTCCACTGAGTCACCTTAGCTCTGTCTTACTCCCTAAGGATGCATCATCACTTCTCTTTCAGCTCTTCCCCTTCCCAATTCTGAGTGGCCATTCCAGGCCACACCACCCCTCCAGCCTGGCCTCCCTCATTATGCCTGGGAACTAAATGGCATTTGTTCACACAGCAACCTTCCAGAACCTTTCCCAGCTCCAGACACCTTCCAGCTTGTCCCATGTCACCCCCACGTGTGAAATCCCAGCTCTCAGTGGGGCACAGTGGAGTTCCATTACCCCCAGGCATTGTGTAACAATGCCAGAACAACAGCCAAGATTATCTCAGGAAATACCACAATTCCTGCATCTCCAGGACAATGGATGCTATATCCTGAGTCACTTCAGAAATGTACAAAAAGAGGGGAAAAAACCCTTCAACAGCAAGGGGAAAAATTTCATTATATTTAAGAAACCAGACTGGTAGAAAACAATTATTTTCTTGCTTCTAGCAATGATACTTTGCACCATATCTTTAAAACATATTTAGCTTTTTAAAACAGCACTTTCCTACCTCCTTTTTCTTCCCTGTTGTATTTTAAAAGGGGAGAAATTCAACCACATTGGATCAGTTTAAATTACAGTAGGAATTGACCACACATGTAAGATTCATTCTTATTTCCCCAGAGCTTCCCTCTGGGCTGCACATTCTCACAGCAATTTTCAACAACAAACAAAGATCTGTATTGAAATCTTGAACAGAATTTTACAAAAAGCATTTGAGCCAGAAAAATTTAGCCACAGCTCCCAGCATTTTGAAATGATGGTTATTTTTAAGGAAAGGTTATTTTTAAGAAAAGGCTATTTTAAGAAACAGCAACAGAACCCTTGCCAAAGAAACCCAGCCAGGAGGCTTTAGCAAGCTTTTTGTATTTTGCTTTAAATCACACCACAGAGCAGCCACAGGCCTGACAGTGACACTAAACTGATTAGAAATTGAATTCAATGATCAGCATCAGAGAAGCTTACAGACTTATGACTGGTTTTGTAACTTCCTGAGGGAACAGGCATTTCCACAGGGGAGCACAGGGGTCATTGGAGGTCCCTTTTCCAGAACACACCTGGGAATACTCAGATATTCCTGAGATATTCACCTCTTTGTGTTGTAGGCTGTGTCCTGGGGAGTCTCTTCCAGCAGGGTAACGTAGCCCAGTGCACACGTGAGGATGAACAGGACTGTCAGGGTATGAGCTCTCCTGAAATTCAGAACAGAGAAAAACGACATTAAACAGCAGGAAAACTCACATCTCACCCTGCCAGTGCAGCATCAGGAGGTCAAAACCACGGCCAGCAGTCAGGAATATTGAGGTTTTCTGTATTGCAGAACACAGAGAGCAGAACTTACAGCAGCACTGCATGTGATCAGCAGCAGCTTGGAAAAAACCAGCACCCACTGCAAACACCCAAATTTAAACAGCTCCAGGTGTCTCCCCAGGTTTGGCAGGTCCACACCTGACAGTGCTGCTCTATTTCACAGCCTACTAATCAAAATTGCAGCTGAGGGAACAGGCCCTTGAGAGCAACCAAAGGGAATTCACTCCAGACATGGGAATTACTCAAGAAAAACTAGTCATTAAAAATTAAAAAAAAAAGAAAAATCTCTAAAGGAGAACAGTTGCTGTTGATGCCACCTCAAGATGTCAGATTTCCAGGGATATTGCTACAGTTTCAGTGCCCTTAGCACAAGAGGTTTCTGTGGGAACAGCCATGACAGCAAAGCTGGGTGGCTGTTCCACAGCAGTAAAACATCCTCATCCATGGGAGCCCAGAGGTTTATATGGATTTTGGTGAAGCACTCAGGGAGAAATTCTTCTGGCACAGGTTTCCCAGAGAAGCTGTGGCTGTCCTATCTCTGGAAGTGCCCAAGGCCAGGTTGGACTGGGCTTGGAGCAACCTGGGATAGCAGAAGGTGTCCCTGCCCTTGGGACTGGATGAGCTTTAAGGTCCCTTCCAGCCCAAACCATTCCAGGATTCTGTGATTCTATGGAAGGAGAGTGAGCAGAGCACACCCAGCCAGGTGACACCCACACCCTGCACCCCCTGATCACCACACAGGGAATATTCTTACAATGTCTGCATCTTTTCTTACTTCAAGTTGAAAATTCCCTTCCTAATGAGAAGCCACTTACTGTTTTCATTGGAAAACTCCTCTGGCCCCAGCTGGGAAGCATGGGAACTCTGTCCAAGTAAGGCCAAAGGACATGCCACGAGTTTTGGTTTAGAGGATAACATCCCTTAACACAAACTAATAAAAAACCCCACCTATAAAGAGGAAGCTGAAAGGAGGAGAAAACTTGTAAAAGAAAGTGTCTGTATGTGACATATTTGGCTCTATTTCCATTTTCTTTTTACATCCTTTTGTAACAGCAGCTCACATCCCATCTCCAAGTCATTCCAAGGTTTGTACATTCAGGTTGCATGGTGTACAATAAACCTTGGAATTTCCAAACCACCCACTGACTTCCCTTGAAACAATCCCACAGTAACCCCCCTAAAACTGCTCTGAAAGTCCAAGAAAGGCTGCCAGCGAACCAAAATTCCATCCTACTGCAAACCCCACGTTCTCCACAGCATCCCTGCAATCCCACACAGGCAATACCTCATAAGCAGACACAATCCTCTTCTGTCCCTCCCAGAACAGAGTTTGGCGTTGAAGGCTCTCCTTCCTCGTGGTCCTGAGGACACAGACCACCACCTCCAGCAGAAAACCACCAGGACCCACGAGTACTTCCAGGATTAGCAAGGAATCAGTGTGCCAAAACCCAGGGAAAAGCTTGGGAGCTGCAAGCTCCTGCTCGGCAGCTGCATCGTCCCAGGTGCCAAGACAGGTGATTCAGCCATCAGAGCTCACGTGGGGCCTGCCCTGGATCCTGCAGGAGCTGGAGCACTAAACCCAGCCTCTCCCAGGACTGCTCTCCAATCACACCCTGCTCCTGCACACCCATTGCCTGTGGATGGAATGAATGGATTCTGCAGCCAACACCACACAGGTTACAGGAACTGCGGGCTATTTTGGTATCTCAGGCCTTGTTTTGCTGTCTGGTTTTGAAACTTATCATTGTGTGTTGTTATATTGTTACACAGTTATACTTATTGTTGCAGGGTTATAGATATTATGTATTATATATAATAGTTACATTGTGGTTTATTTTTGAAGAGGCTATGAAAACAAATCTGGAATCCCACCTTGCTGTTTCGCCACCTGAGCACCCACACCAAGTCAGCTGCTTTTTCAATGCATTCAGATCCCATAAATTGCCAAAAAAATCAGTTATTAGAGCTCCTCCCTTGGACAAACACCTTGAGAAAATTGAGAATTACACCTTGGACAAACCCCTCTCCCAGCACAAGGGTGACTCAGTTGTGTTCCTCCCTGGGAGGATCTTGTGGGACAGTGATGGGTTGGTGCTGGGGAGCCCCTATACATCCTATTTCCCATTTATTTTTGGTGCCACAGCCACCAGCCTGAAGCCCAACCAGCTGCCCTGTTTCAGGAGAAACAAGAGGCTGCTCTCTTATCACTTCCCTTGTAGCTCAGCATTCATCTCCAGATGCTGCCAGATTCCCTCCCAGCAGGTTTCCAAGGCAAAGGTGCTTCCAGCACAGCGTGAATTCCAGGAGCTGGGATGAAAGACTCTGGAGATGGGCTTGACTTCTGGGAAGAGCAAGTTGTCAGCCCTGGCAGAGAGCTGAGAGCAGTGACACAGCAATGAGAGGGAGCATAGCATCACACAAACCCACTTCAGAGAGGAAAACGAGCCAGGAAATGTGGATGTACACCATGTCTTCTCAGAGCTTGGGAGTTTAAAAACAAAATAAAATTCCAGAAAAAGGAGCAGCTCTCCTGAAGGAAGGGCTTGTCTGAGAGATCAGGATGAATTTAACATCACCAGGGGATTCTTTTCATCTCCACACACACTTTAAAATAACACACCAGGGGAAGGCGAGCTAAGAACAACCCAGCAAGGTAAGCAAGGCAGGAATTACATGGAAAGGCTTATGTTCTCCTGGCCTGGAGCCTGGGAGGCTGAAAAGAGCTAAGCTGGGAATCTTCCCCTTAGAATTACACACAGGAGCTTGGGCAACACGCCCGAAGCAAAGGGGGTACAAGCTGCAGCCAGATCTGGGAGGTTTCACATCAAAAACTGCAAAGCAGGGCCTGATGTACCTGAGAACAAAAATCTAAGGCCAGGGAGAGAACTCACAACAAATCCCAAACTGTTAAAAAGGTGGAATATTAAGTGGCTTATTTTTCTGCCTTTCTGCACCACACATTTGGCTCTTTCCCCACTCAAGCCCTGGGAGATTGAGATGAAATAAATCGTGTTTGTTTTCACACAAGCCCTTGCCCTGCTAATTCAAACACCAAGTGAGAGCAAGTGAAGCTCTCCCGCACTGCAGATCACAAAAAAGTGGGTTTTTTCCTAGTTAATAGGATTAAGTTTGATCCCAACTTCTCTTTTTCATGCTAGGTCATTCTCCTGTCACACTGAGACGCTGCAGGTCTGTCAAGAAAATGACTACAAGCTCTTTTATTTTCCAGCTGAAGTCTATGACAGAAATGATGTAAGGGAATTGTTTAAACATGTCATTTTTGGGAGATTCTGGCAGATCCTTGGGTGAAAAGGAGAGAGTACCACCCAGGAGCAGGCGGCCCATGGCCTCATTCAATCTCCCACAAATTAAAATCAGCTTAAGCAGGGACCACACCCTTGTTATCCACGGCTTGTTTGTCACCAGTGATGCAACAACTCCATTAAACACAATAACAATCACTGGAACACAATGCAAAGAATTTATTTATTAATATTTTGGTCAGTCCTCTTAAGTGGAACAAAATTCCAAAGGAGAGCCAGTCGAGTTTGCCCCTTAGGTTAAAAAAGTTGCATTAATTGCAGCTGCTGGTGAAAGGATCTGTCAGCAGACCCAAAAATCTGTCAGTGACTTTTTCATTACTTAATTCTTTATTCCAAATAATGGCAAATTCATTAAACCATTCTTGGAAGAGATTTTTAAATGGATGTCAAAGCTCTGTACCCTCCATAAACCAACAATTCACCTGGAATTTCTAAGAAAATATGGCAAACAGTACAAAAAGCCCTTTCCTCCAAAAGCAGCAGAGGGTTGTGTCAAGAAGAAGACACAAGAAAACACAACAAAAATTAATACTAATTTAAAACTAATTTAATTTTTATTTGAAACAAAAATTGTAACTAACAGGCAAACTGTTGGGGATAGACAGACAGTTTGGACAACTTCAAGTCAAACCCAACCATACAAATATCCTTGCTGGTTTTAAACTCTGTGTTATGTTTTAAAATCAGTTTAAGCCCTCAAGAGTCCATAAAACAGTCCCTATTCTTAGAGCAGTCGCAGATCTTCAGCACATCCCTGAAGTCACCCGAGGCCGATTAAATTTCCGTACAGACTTGTGACACTCCAAAATAGCAACCTGCCTTTTCCTTGCCATCTCCACAAAGAAGCCCAGGAGCACAGACCTCCAGAGACCCAGAACCACAGGTCAACAGCAAAGCTTCAGCAAATCTGGGGTTTTCCTTCCACTGAGGAAGGAAGACCAAGTTCCCAGAGTTCCCAAAGTTTCCATCAGTTCTACAGAGCTTGCAAGTTCCACAGATGCACTATTTTGATTATTAAACTTTTTTTTTACTTAAACCTATGGAAATGTGCATCTTGAAGATCGTTTAGGGCAGTTCTACTGAGACAAGTGACAGGAAATTACAGGGAACATTCTTGGAGCACATTTTTCCCTGCTCTCCTTAAAACTTTGGGAATGTGTTTATTAAAAAAACAAAAGGAACACAGAGACCTGATATCTAGATGGGACACTGAACTCTGACAGGCCCTCTCCACAAAGATATTCCTTCTTCATTTCCAGCTTACTTGGCAGAACTATGCAGCCCTTCCTTTGAGGAAAGGGCAATGCCATTCCCATAGCACAATTCCCAAGGCACAGGCCCTCTCATCCATGACCAGCTGGCAAATGTGGCTTAGTGGGATTGCACAAGCCTGGATGTCCCTGCTCCCTGCCCAGGGCATTCCCACAGGCTGGAAGAGCATGGCAGGGTGACCCAGGGCTCTGGAGCAATGCTGCTTTTCTCCAGTGCAGTGAATCCTGAGCGGGCAGCGTGGCTCAGAGTGGCGTCATCAAAGCAGGGAAAAAAGTTCCCAAGTTCAGCTCCCAGCAAACTCCAGGAATGCTGCCTTGGAAGTGCCACAGCCACCCCTCAGGAGAGGGCACAGAGAGCAGCTCCTGCCAACCTGTGGATATTCCATCTCCCTAATCTCTCTCCTGGATAAATTCCCACCTTTTCCTGCAGACTGCCCTTAGCAAATCCCGGGTATTTCAGAGATAAGAGCCATCTCCACAAGGAATGGGTAAGGAATGTTTTGGGTTGAGTAGCAATCCCTTCTTTCCAACACCAGCTGGTTTGCCCACACATATCCTCACTTCCCAGGCCATCTGGGAAGAGTCACAACACTGAGCACACCGAGAGGAACATGCCAGCAGGAACTGCCTCTTCCTTAGCTGCAAATTCCACGCTTTTTGCACAAGAAGGTGGAAATAATTCCTACAAACACTAGGCCATTAGCCTATAGAGTCACTGCCATTCCCTCTTTTTTAGTTCTTTTCTTATTAATTTTAACATCCTGAGCTCCACAGATCTCTGCTGCCACACCATGACCTCGGGAATTAATATCACATCCACGTGCTGGCAACGTGAGATTATTAGTGTGAGAGATAAAACACGTTAATAATCAAAAGGTGACATTAAAGCTAATGAAATCCAAATTAAAGTTAAGGCTTTGAAAAAGCAATTAACCCACTGAATCACAATGTGGTGGCAAAAGTGCATCTGGCACCTCCCAACACCCTCAAATCAAGACTGAATGGACATTTTCCTGGAAAACCTTCTTGAGCTAAAGACAAGCTATGAAATACCTGCAGAAATTTTAGGAGAACACCACACACAATATCCAACTAAATGACCCCAGAACAAGCAGGGCTTTGTGTGAAAGCAGCTGCTGAAGGCACACAAACAAGAACAATCCAAGGTGCTGGAAACAACAGGGAACATGTTCCAATGGCTTGCCAGGAAAGCTTGGCATTCCCAGCTCCCCGCTAGGAAATCAGTTCAGGGATAAATGATACAGAAACCAGGGATCTGCCTCAGAAAGCTTCCTCCTGTTCCCTTCCCTTGGCATTTCCTAATGGCAAAGGGAGCTGCCAGGTTAGGCTGACTGAGTAGGTTCCCAAAGGAAGTATTTTCCAGTTCCAAGTCATTTATACGGAATAAGACCAGAGATGTCAGCACACAAGTGGTTTCCTAAAGTTCCAAACAGATTTTAAAGAGCAGGAAGCCAGCTAGGAAGCTCCACCTTTCCCAAGGACCACATTTACAGCAGGAAAACCACCTCTGTAAATTAAACTACTCCTGGAACGATTTCTGTGTCCACAGATCCCAAATCCTCTCATTTTCCCAAAAGGAGCGAGCCACGAGAGTAACCTTATCCCTAATTCCTGAACTCCAAAGAAAAAGTGCATTCTATGTTTTCCCAAAGTCAGAGGGCAGCCACTCTTAAAAATCTCCCTTTCCTGTGGCCACCTCCACAGCACGACAGGAGTCCCAAGGGTCGCAGGAAGAAAATCATTCCCCTGGATCATCTTTATTCTTGGACACAGTAGGAACTGAGTCATTGCCAAAGGATACTCTAACACATACAGGGCAAAAGTAACACAAGGAAAAACCTTGGGACTTTTCCAGATGGTTAAACTCTGCGTTGCCAGCACAAGCTGCTAGGGAAAAGAAAACTGGATAAATAAGGAAGTTGAGAAACACACTTGTCCATGCTGCCCTCCTGGAAGGGACCACCTGACACACACAGGGAAGCTCCGGAGAGAACAAGGCACGCATGCAGATTTCCAAAGGAGCAATCCACACGGCCACACTAACTGCACTACAGCGTTCATCCTGGGGCGACAGCCCTGTCACCACCACTCAAAGCTGCAACGAGGCGAGATTCTACAGCAAAACCAGGTATTTTAAGGCTTCACAAAACAGCTGGCAGGAGCCACCTGAAGGAGGGAGTAAGGAAAGGACGGCTTTACCCATTTTCCATTTAAAGGTCGGCACCGGGATCCCGCGATTTGCTCAGCCTACACGTGGTGTGCCCACCGGGAAAGGCTCTTTTGTCCCCGAGGCCACAGCGTCCCTGCAGGGATCCAGCAGCATCCCAGTGTTCCTCCGCAGCTTGCACTGGCAGGAATGTCACCTCCTTCATCGGGATCAACACCCTCGGCTCCGCTGCTGCCCAGATTGGCAGGGTGAGAGCCAAGTGCCCTCCCCTCCCACTCCTCCACGCCAGGCTCCAGCCAAATCCCATCGCCCTCGGCTCGGATTCCAAACCTTCAGTGCCGGCTGGGCTTTCTCCATGGAAAGGGACGCGTGTTTAACACACAGGAAAACACCTCTGCCTACACACACACAGCGTGCTGCTGAGGGGATTTATGGAACAACTCCAGCAAGGCTGGGATTTAGGAGCACTTTTCCAGGTACGAACACACCTCTTCCTGCAAGAACTGAATTTAACAAAAAGCTGATTTTCTTCGCTGGCCCAAAACCAGCAGCCGTGGGTTTCTGCACCCGTTTCATGGACTGAGACACACAAAAATGCACAACGCCTGCCCAGTAGGAGTGGGGCAGGACGACTTCAGCTTTCTGCCAGGATCACTGGGAGGAAAAGAGGAAAAAAGCCTCTTCCAAGATTAAGGGAGAGGAGAGAAGGAGGTGGAGTCCATATAAACCATGCTGATAACTGGAATCAGGCAGGAACGCTTGCCCGAACACAGAGGGCTCTCAAGGTACTGGAAAACACCTCCAAAGCTCCCACCAGGCAGAACAAGCCGTCAGGCTCAGCCCTAAAGGTCCTGCTCCTGGAAAAGTGAGGACCGGGACAGGGAAAAGAGGTGCCACTGCCAAAAGCCAGCCCTGAATTCCCGTTAAATTGCCAGGAAACAATTAGCGGTAGGGCCACACCAGGGAAACACTCGCGGCCGATTGCAGCACCGGTATCGGCGACAGAAGAGGCACGTAAACAGCAGATAACGGGGAGCAGATAACTCGAGTATCCCATTCCTTGGGGCCCCCTCCTTATCCCACTCCTTAGGGACTCCCATATCCCACTCCTTAGGGACCCCCACATCCCATTCCCCAGCCCCTCCATATCCCATTCCTTAGGGACTCCCATATCCCACTCCCCAGCCCCTCCACATCCCATTCCCCAGCCCCTCCATATCCCATTCCTCAGGGACCCCCACATCCCATTCCACAGCCCCTCCATCTCCCATTCCTTAAGGAGTCCCATATCCCATTCCCCAGCCCCTCCATATCCCATTCCTAAGAGACCCTCACATCCCATTCCCAGCCCCGCCATATCCCATTCCTTAGGGCCCCCCCCGGCCCACGCGGAGCCCCCCGGGCCATGCCCGGCTCCTCTCACCAGAAGAACGTGTTGGTGCCGTCGTCGTACACCTCGGACTCGGTGCTGCGGCGGAGTCCGGCGCCGTCCCGCTCGGCCCCGGGGGTGCCGCCGTTGGGCTGCGCGGGGGGCGGCGGCGGCGGCTGCTCCTCCAGCGCGGCCTTGCCCACGTTCCCGCCGTGCGCCCGCCGCTCGCCGCGCCTCATGGCGGCGGGGGGCACGGGCACGGGGCACCGGCGGTGGCGGGGGGACGCCCCGGGGGACGCGGGCCGGGGCCGGGGCCGCGGCGGGAGGGGCGGGGCGGGCGGGGCCGCGCGGCGGGAGGCGTGACGCGGCGTGCGCGCGACCCCGCGCCGGCGCGTGCGCGGGGCCCAGGGAGGGCGGGGCCGGGCCGGGCCGGGCGTCGTTCCCCCCCCCGCCGTTGCCGTGGCAACCGCGCGGCCTCCCGACCCCCCCCGCGCGACCGCCAGGAGGCGCCCTCAGGCGGAGCCACCGCCCCTCAGGGCGGGAGCCCGGGCCCCTCAGGGAGCCGGAGAGCGGTAATTAAAGAAAATGCTTAAACAAAATGTCTGCGTTCCGCGCAGAACCCTCAACAGAACCCCGGAATAAAAGTGTCCTTTGCCAGGCTGCCCTGCGGCCCTCGAGTACCCCACGTTGGGTACCCCAAGCCTTATGTTGTGGTTGTCCCGATTCCAGCGTCTTTGTGCGATGAAATGTTAAATACCTGTCAAATATGTGCGTTTTGCTGGCGAAATAAAATGTGTTTTGCTTGGCGAAAGTTTTGTTCCCACCCAGAGGGGTCTGTCCAGAGCTGGGGTGCTTGCAGGGTGCCGCTGTGCCCTTGGATCTGAAGAATTCTAAAATCCCTCAGCCCTTCCCAAATTACCTTGGTCAGGCTCCTCATCTGGAACGGGCCACGCTGATCCCGGACGGCAGGCACGGAGCTCCGGCTTTCTGGAAAGATCTTGGCATGGCAGCAAGCTCCAGGAATACTGTGTGGAGGGAAGGCAGAGTCCTGTGGGAGCAGAGAAATCAAACAGGGAAGGAGATTAGAGGAAACATTCACAGGATGGCAAATAATCAAGACAAGCTTTAAAGGTCCCTCCCCACCCAAAGCTATTCCATGGTTCTGTGAATTACATATGTTAAGAAAATTAATCCACAAACACCAGAGGTTTATGTCCAAAAAGAAGACAGAGGAGTCCTTTCTGGCTTTATTCAAATAAAGGAAGAGGCCATGGGACATTCCCCTGGGATCTCTCAAATTTTTGGAGATGCAGCCTCCCTTTTTTACCCCTTTTTATTTCCCTTCTCTCTTTCCCCATTGGCTGAGGTACTTGAGAGGTACAGATTCCCCAATACACCTGATACCAAGGATTTCCCTCTAATGTATAACCCACCCTTTCAATTTTTAATTCTTACGGAATTTAGGGGTTTTTCTTCCCCGTTGTTTCATCTCTCAATGTCTAATTTTGTTTATCAGCAAACCTGGGGTTTATTTGTAAAAGCAAATATCTTTTTCCATTCATCAATCAGTGGAATCCTTCTCATTTTCCTTCTCCCAGTGCTAGTTGTATCTACCAACAGACCCACAGCTTGTTTGTAAAGACAAATCCGCCATTCCTCTCACATAGAACAGGGAGCAGGGTTAGACGGGACATTGGGAAGAATTCCTTCCCTGTGCAGGGCTGAGGCCCTGGCACAGGTTCCCCAGGAAAGCTGTGGCTGCCCCATCCCTGGAAGCGTCCAAGGCCAGGCTGGAAAAGGCTTGGAGCAGCCTGGGATAGCGAAGGTGTCAGGGCAGGGGATGGCACTGGACAGGCTTGGATGTGCCTTCCAGTCCCAAGCACTCCAGGATCCTGGGATTCTGTGGAATTACGGAGTGGCCACTGGAGGGCAGGAGCGGCCTGGGCGAGAAGCGGGCAAACGCCAGCTGAACACACTGCTGGGACAGATAAAGGACATCTCTGTCTGCAGCACAATCCCCCCTCCAGCCTAAAACACATCCCGCACACCCCACGATGCCTTACGAGAGCTGGAGGCATTCACCTCGTTCCAAGAGACCGCAGAATATCCCGATTTGGAAGGGATCCATAAGGATCAGCCAGCCCAGCTCCTGCCCTGCCTGGACACCACAACAATCCCATTGTGTGCCTGAGAGCATTGCCAAACTCTCCTGGAGCTCTGGCAGCCGTGACTATTCCCTTGGAAGCCTGCTCAGTGCCTGACCACCCTCTGGGGGGAGAGTCTTCTCCTAATATCCAGTCAAAGCTTTCCCTGCTTGGAATGAGCACCCAGTACTGCAGTTACAAGCAGGGTTTCACCCCAGACCACATCCTCTGCTCTAACATTGACTGTAGCTCCAAGGATACCCATGGATCCAAACAGACCAGGATTTGGATGACCAGCTTTATGAGAGAACACAGACATCTGCTGCCCCTTTAGCTCCATCCTCAATCAGTGCCTCCCTGTCCAAAAGCATTGCTGCCAGGCAGGGGATGGACAGGCAGCCTCTCTCCAGCCACAGTGGTTTCACACACAAAAGCCTTCAGCAGTCTCCTCAGGTGGGAATTACCATCTCCACATCCAGCCAGGACTAACAGCTCAGGGAGTGCTCCTGGAGCTTCCCTGCCAGTGCTCAGCACAGGTCAAGGCACTGCCCAAAGCAGCTGGAGTCCAGTGGGTTCAGGTGTGTGACCAACCCAGCAGCCACAGAGCTGATCACATCCTAAATAATTTCCTCTGCTCCCACAGGGTGCGTGTGGCTCCATCCCCACTTTCAGCTTTTCCTGCTGCTGTACTCAGCCCCAGTCACCCGCGAGCAGCAAATGCAGGAGGGGGAGGGAAGCACTGGAAGAGGGACAGCATCAGCTTGCTCACCTGCCTTGCTGCAAATGCAGCCAAATCCTGCCCAGGCAAAACCAAATTCCTCCTAAACAGGAGCAGCAGCAGCATGGTCTCCTCTGAGCGCCATGAAAGATCCCGCAGGGGCTGGATACACCTCAGCCAGAGCCAACCTGCAGGCACAGACTCACCTTCCCCACTGGCTGTGACATCCATGGGCTTTGGGAACTGCTGCTGGGTGCATGACCTCCTAGGCTGTCCAGAGAGCTGAGCCCTACTCAGGAAGGAGGAGCAGGAGCATGGGAGGAGTGCCACAGCTGTTCCTCCCACAGATAACCCCATTTCCCTGGAGCACGGCAGCGCTCCCATTGCAAAGGCCTTTGCCCTGCTGGAAAGCACCACCTGACAGGGCTTCACTCTCTCTGGGTAAACACACACATTCTCCCAGAGACACAGCCTGTTCTCCACTCCCAGCTCATGGATAACCCCTGGGAGGCTAAAGGTCTGCCCACACCTTGGTTTCACACACAGCAGGATATTGGGAAGATAACTTATCCCCCCCAATAATCCCCAGGTCTGCTTTGACACCTGTTCAAGGCACTTGGCAAAGCCACAGGGTGATGGTGGCTTAACTGGGAGCGCCACTCTGGAAATGCTGGCTGTCTTTCCTAGCAGAACACTGCTGGATTACCACCCACAGGACTTGGTTTATTTTATAGCAGCCCACAGGGATGCTGTTGGAGGGCACAAGGGAATCCAGAGCAGTTACTGACCCTCCTGTTATTCCCAGGAAATGTTCTTCTTATTTGTAAATGAAAGTAACCCCCCCTCCCCAAGAAAACAGGTGTAAAGCAAGATCTGGCTTATATGTAACATTTTCACTCACTTTTTATAAAAGAGGTATTCCCTGTTCCAAGCCATAGGTCCAGATGGGCTTTGATTCTTTCCCCCTGCTCTGCTCAGGTAAGACCCTACCTGAACTCCTGCATCCAGCTCCAGGGTCCCCAGAGCAGGAGGGACATCAGCCTGTGGGAGAGTCCAGGGGAGGGACACCAAGTTGATCAGAGGGATGGAGCAGCTCTGCCTTGAGGAAAGGCTGAGAGGATTGGGATTGCTCAGCCTGGAGAAGAGAAGGCTTTGGGGTAACCTGATTGCCCCTTCCAGTACCTGAAGGGAGCCTGCAAGGGAGCTAGAGAGGGGCTTTGGACAAGGGCTTGGAGTGACAGGATAAGGGGAATGGCTTCCCACTGCCAGAGGGCAGGGTTAGATGGGACATTGGGAAGGAAATCCTTCCCTGTGAGGGTGCTGAGGCCCTGGCACAGGCTGCCCAGAGAAGCCGTGGAAGTGTTCAAGGTCAGGCTGAGAGCACCATTACACATGGGAAGAAAACAGCACCCGACTCCCACAGCTGTTTTACCAACCAGCGAGGCGTCAAGAGGAGATTTCTAGAGCTTTCCAGAGCTTCTGTTAATATCTCCTTTTGGCCAGTTTATGGCACCTCCTGGGCATGTCACAGGGTGCCACACGCAGCGCTGGCACCACGAGGGGCAGAGGGGAAAGCAGCAGCGCCCTGGAGCTGGCAGGAGGAGCTCGGCACTGTTACCTGTGCGGGGCGGTTCTGGGCTTGCCACTCCTCTGGGCGAGGGTGAAGGGCAGCTCCCTCACCTCCTCCCGATATCTGCCCACTGCTAGGCACAGGCAGCTCCCTCCCAAGGCAGGCACGAGTGCCACACGGAAGTCACAGCACCACTCGGTTCACATGAGACCTCTGAGACCTCGGGGCAAGGAGCTGGGGAAGGAAACCACGGCCTGAGAGAGCCCAGGAGCCTCCTGCCCATCCTGCACGCCAGCCCTTTCCTTAGGGATCTGCCCCGAGGGGACAGAGGGGCACCGAGGAAGGCTCTCCACTTCACCATGCAGGTAGGAACAGAAACTGCCCCGAGATTCTCAGGATGCTGCTTTTCAGCACCTCTGAGCACCTGTGGCTTGGAAACACAGGATACAGTAACCTCCAATCTCTACCACTCACCTGCTTTCAGCCTTTAAGGTACAAAATTCCTACCACAGGTGTGTGACAGGGAAAGCAGGTGTGCTGCCGGTCCCATGCACCATCCCAAGGTGCAGTGGGATCACACTGGTCCCACAGCACAGATCAGGGGAGGATGGTATGGATGGAGCTTATGTAAACCTAGGAATGAGCATTGCAGAGGTGACAGCCCCAGGGGTTCCAGAAGCACCTGGAATACAGCAAGGGCAGAGGGGAAGCTGTGATCTTTTTCTTCTCTAATTTGGAAGAAAAGATGTGGGTTTTTTTCCCTGGGGAAAGCCAAGCAAACTCTCCAAATTCAGTAGTAAAGGTACAGCTCTGTCTGTGCAAGCAAAGGCTGTCCCACTTCTCAGCAAGCCATGGGCTAAGGTGGAAGTGCTCCAAGGGAAGCTGAGTAAGAAACATCCTGGAGATAAAACCAATTTGATCATCTCAGTGTGGGTGAGGGAACCACCCAACCCCACACCAATTCATGACTGGAAAGGAAAACAAGGATGCCAGATCCTATCCAGGTCCTTGTCCTGAGTTACTCACACTGGTGACTGTGGACACAGCCCAAGGGTGCTTGTGGCCATTCCCAGAAGGAACTCTCAGGGCAGTGGGTTACCTGGCCAGGGACAAGGACCAGTGGTACACCTTGGAGGCACAGAAACCCTTTTCAAGATGGAAATTCCTGCTTCCCATTGTGCCAGTCACTTTTACACCTTTGCACAGCGGCATGTCCACATCCTGTTCCACAGGGCAGGAAGGAGTGAAACTGAAACTGTCCTTCCTGAGAGCAGGGATAGAGCCCAGGTGGCCTTACCTGCACCTGATCCCACCACCCTGTGAGGCCAGAGCACAGCAGCCACTGTCAGACAGCATCCCTAATTCCCAGGAAAAAACAATTACTTGTGAGAGTAGCAGTGATCCAAAGTCCCTGCCCTCTGAGGCTATCCCTGCCTTCCCATCAGGAACTGCAGCAGCAGGACAAGGGGGCTTCAGACTGCCAGAGGGCAGGATTAGATGGGATATTGGAAATAAATCCTTCCCTAGGAGGGTGGTGGGGCCCTGGAATGGATTTTCCAGAGATGCTGTGGCTGTCCCATCCCCAGAAGTGTCCAAGGCCAGGCTGGAAAGGCTTGGAGCAACCTGGGCCAGTGGAAGGTACCCATGCTCATGGCAGAAGGTGAAACTGGACAGGCTGTAAGGTCCCTTCCACCCAAGCCACTCTGGAATTCTGGGATTCTATACACACCCCACATGGCCCCAAAAGCAAGCTGGGCACCTGCATGGCAGCCTGAGCCCCAGCAGCCACTGGGATGAATCCAACATCCCATTTGTGAGCCCACCTTGGTAACCTCCCAGCCTCTTCCCAAGGAAGTGGATGTGCTGGCTGGGATGCTCAGATGCCCAGGCAGGACTGTGCCTACAGGTATTGGAGTTGGGAGCCACCTGGGAACAGAAGGTGTGATGCCAGCAGGTCCCTTCACTTCATCTTAAGCTTTACTGGGGACAGCAGCAGCAGAAGTGTGCCAAGGTGGCAGTAGGAACACCCAAAAACATTCCTGTACCCAAAGGATGGCTTCCCCTCCACATCCATCCCACTGGCAGGGAATTGCTGCAGGATGAGGCTGGTGCACATGGGGGCTGAGAGAAACCAGCCAGGCAGGAATGAGCCAACACAACAGTGGAGAGTGTGCCAGGCCAGATCCATGCCAGCACCAGAGCACTGGCAGTGGGCAGATCCCTGAGAGGCTCCCACCTCCTCCCTTCCCTGTGCCCAGAGAGGGGCTCAGACTGGGATACAAGGAACTGCTGCACCCAATCCTGCCCCCCACACCTGGCTAGAGCAGATGACAGCACCAGAACCCTCCCCCTGCCTCTTGCTACAAACTGGGGTTCCTTTTATCTAAGAGAAGTTCTGGCTCTGGTTACAACAGCACCTCTGGGGGAGAGCACCCCTCTCCTCAAGCCTTCCCACTTGTCATTCTTGTCAGTCAGTCTCCTCATGGCTCCTGTGCTCTGGCTGATCCATGTGAGCGAGCATCTGGCAGAATATCTCAGCCCTTTCCTTATCCCGGCCTCTCTGCTCCCATGGCCTCATTCTCCAGTGAAAGCTCAGGATGCAGATCTTACATCAGGGCACAGTTGCACCACCGTGGCTCTGCTGCCAAGATTACAGCTGGAGGAACTCGTCTGGCTGGCTGCTCTTTTAGGTCACAGTGTCTCCGGTGACACCAAGTGACAGTATCCCCATCCTTGGAACTCCCATTCTCCTTCCCGCCGCAGTGCCGTGTCACCTTCCCTTGGGAATAGCAGCATAACTGTGGGGACACACCACAAATCACGCCAAAGGGTGGAAAAAACCCCCACAGGGGCAGCTGGTGGCTTCAGCTGAAGGAGAGCAGGGTTAGCCAGGATACTGGGAAGGAATTCATCCCTGTGGGGGTGCTGAGGCCCTGGCACAGGGGGCACAGGGAAGCTGTGGCTGCCCCATCCTTGGAAGTGTCCAAGACCAGATTGGAGCAACCTGGTCTAGTGGAAGGTGTCCCTGGGGGGACTGGATGGGTGTGAAGGTCCTTTCCAACACAAACCATTCCATGATGTTTGCTTTGTGCTCCCCCACATCTGCACCCCTGGGTGTCTGAGTGTAATTACCTGTAAGCAGGAAGGTGGGAGCTGTGCAGCTGCTCTCTCCAGAGCCACTGACACACAGGAGGGGAACAGGCAAAAACAGAGTTCAAGCAGTGCTTGGACAACACTCCTAGGCACATGGATGCTTGGGATGGTCCTGTGCAGGGCCAGGAGCTGAATTCAATTGTCCTTGTGAGTCCTTTGCAACTTGGGATATTCTATGATTTTATGATCAGTATCTCATCCTCCCCTCTCTGTCCCTTGGCTGCAGCCTGAGGCATCCAACATATTTTCCAAGGAATTTTTTCACCTGTTTTCCTTCAGAGTTGTGCCAGCCTCCAAGTGTCCATGCTCCACTCTCCCTTTACTGGAATTTAAAACTACCTTCCCCACTGTCCCCAAAAAAAACCAAAAACCTGTGACAGGAACAACTGACAAATGGAAAAGGCTGATTAAAGCCTGTAAAATCCACTGCAGCATGAAGAGAGAGGGTGAAAGGTAAACATTTCCCAGTACAAATATCAGGGCATCAGGTGAAAGAGCTGAGAGAGGCTTTTTCCCCTGGTCCAGATCCCTCACAGCCCCAGGGCACAGCTGGGCACGAGGAGTTCTAGGGGAGGCTGCACACCCTCCCAGGGCAGCAGTCCCTGCAGCATTCCTAAACACAAATCCCTGGCTGGCTTGGCCAGACCCCAAGCTGGTGATCAGGAGCATGTGGGAGAATGTTTCACACCAGCTGCTCTCACCTTCCTCCCTGGGCATCTCTTGGAGGCTGCTGGAAGAGGAAAACACGAGATCTCCCAGGGAGCCTGCTGAAGCCTTCCCTTCACTGGTTTTCTTTTCACCAGGATGAAATTCTGCTGACTCCCTGCAGGGAATCCCCTGCTGAGGACACAGACTCCTTTGCCTCCCCGGTAAGCTCAGCTCCTTCTGCATCTGCAGCCCAGCTCAGAGAGGGGACAAATCCCCATTTCCCCTGCTCATTCCCAGCTCCCCTCTACACAGCCACAATGAGGGTCCAAGCCTCTAAAGGCTGGAGCTGGGAAGGAGAGCTCTCAGCTTTCCATCCCTAATAGTTCCCTGCTGGTTTTGTGGGCAGAATGAAGAGAAGTGGGATTTTGTCCTGGTGAGTGACATCCACGAAATGGGCAGTGAGAAGGAGATCAAGAGGAAAAAGTTCCTGGATGAGCTGAGCAAGAAGGGCTTCACCATCAAGGTGAGAGGCTCTGGGAGGAAAAGGCAGCAGATACTTGGCTTGACTTGGGCTCCTGCATCCCAGGAAACGGGAGGGGCCTGAAACATTGAGCTGTTCACTGCATCAGAGCTGGAAAATGACCCGCTTGCTCAACCAATAGAGAAAGACCCCAGCCCCAGGATTCACACAGCCCCCAGCCCTTCCAGCTCTTGCTCTTCCCTGCCTCTCTGGCTCTGTTTTAACAGCCCTTCTCTTCCCCTCACCAGAAAATCGAGGACACAAAGCTCTTTTATGGAGTCCGTGCCCCGCCGCACATCTTCTGGAAATACCAGTGTCTCCTGACGAACCCCAACAGCAGGCAGCAAAACTCCAGTGCCTACCAGGACGTCCCAGTGACCACCAGGTGGGTGCTGAGCTGATTTCCAGCCTCCTGCATTCACTGTTCTCCACACCAGCATCCATTTTCCAGCTTGGTTCACAGCTGTCCCAGCCTTTTCACTTAGCACAGAACCTTCACCTCCCACATGCAAAGCTGATGGCTTCTCACTCCCCACATTCCTCCCTCCCTTGCTTCCCTGGATTTTAGTGCACATCTTCTCCCTTCTCTGCCCTATTTTCCTGAGCCACACCACACAAGTCTGTATCCCAGAGCAGCCTTTAAGCAGAGTTTCTCCTTGTTCAGGATACGGGTCGTGCACTTCATCCTCCAGAACACTGTGACATCTGACTTAGGTAAGGGAATGGGGATCACAGGGGTGATGCTCAACCTGGATCTGCAGGAAGAATCCTGCCCAGGAATCCTGGGCACTGGCATCCCAGCTGCCTTGCCATCCTGGGGAGAATAGAAAAGGGGGGAGCTCAGACAAGTCAATTTGCTGCTGCATCCAGAGGCTGGGAGATCTGGACTGCAGGAACCAGCAGCTCCTCTGCTCTGTCTCCCCAAAACCCTAAGCCTAACCCTTTCCCTTCTGCTCTGCTCCCAGAGAAGCTGCATGACCTGATGAAGAAGAAGGTGTTTGAGGCAGCCTTTCCCCTGCACAAGGTGAGGCTGGGCACACAGTGCCTGGGTGGAAAATCCAGGAGATGTGGAGGAGGAGCAGGATGGGGTGGGGGGGACCTGTGGGTGACTGGGGCTGCACAAAGAGCTCGATGGGTGAAGGGCACAGCAAAGTTCCTGGCAGCTGCCCTGCAGCTGGGCAGGGCATTAAGGCTGCCCTGATGTTCCTGCATCCAACCAACTTCTCTGCTCTCCAGAAAGAAGAGATAAGGGAAATACTAAAGAAGAAGTGGGCTCGCTGGAGAGTTCTATTCAAGGAACAGCCAATTGAGCAGATCAGGTAACACAAGCACAAGAGGCAGATCTTTCTAACCAGGAGGTCCCAACTGAAACCCAGAGAGCTCAATGCCCTTTGCCAGGTTCCTGCATTGTCTTAAAAATCATTAGTTTGAATCTGGCTCTTCTCAGAAGCACTGGGCTGCCTCTGCAGCTTCCAAAGCTCTTAGCCTGAGGGTTATCCCTGTGGCTCCAAGCTCCATCTGCTAATCCTGCAGCATCAAACACCCCCCTCGTCTCTGAGGACTGTAATGAACCTGTTTAGTTTCCAGCCACATTCAGAAGGCAGAAGAGGTGGGAATGGAGCATCAGTGCTGCACAGCCAGCCTGAGGCTGAACTCGGGGCAGTAAAGGCAACATGGGGCTCCTACAACCACATGAAATCCCAGGAAAGAGCACAGCTCTTGTTTCTGAAAACTAACTCTGTGGGCAGGGGAGGGAGGGCAAAAAGAACGTGTTACTTTATAAACCTGCCAGGGGGCTCGGGTAGAGAGGGGAGATCTTACAATAGAGGTGCACCTCTGACAACTGGCATGGGATGCAAGGCTCCCAGTCCCTCAGTCATTAGGTCATTTCTTATCCACGACTCCAACCTGCTCCCCACACCATAAAAACTGAGATACTACCACCATGGGCATTTTCTAGTGACTCCCAAAATCTGATCTCCCACCTCACCTTTCCTCCTAGGTGCTATTTTGGAGAGAAGGTGGCCTTGTACTTTGCCTGGCTGGGCTGGTACACCTACCTGCTGATTTTTGCTGCCGTGGCTGGGCTGGCAACCGTGGCAGCTGGGGCTACTGTTTTCAGTTCCAGCCAGGTGAGGTAAGGTCCTTGGGAATGCCAAATGCACACCCCATCCAGCTCTGCAGGTGGCTCTGAGGCACCCTTGTCCCCCTTGGCTTCTCTTCTCCTTTCTTCCAGCAAGGAGATCTGTGATGCCAACAACACCATCATGTGCCCGCTCTGTGACCAGAACTGCTCGTTCTGGCTCCTCTCTGACACCTGCACCTATGCCAAGGTAGGGAACCCCCTTTCCAGGGCAGGGTAAAGGTAAAGGATGGGGAAACACTCCCAGCTCATGCTGCTCCCACATCACTAAAAAGAAGCCCCACCCCAGATCGTTTTGCCCTCCTGTTGCACCTTTACCTGTCTCCGGGGAGATGAGCATGCCAAGACCCTGAGGTACCACAGGCCCCACACCTCAGTGCCTCATCACACTCCTCCCTCATCTCTTCCAGGTCACTCACATGATTGATAATGAGGCCACGGTGGTGTTTGCCATGTTCATGGCCATCTGGGGTAGGTGTCCATGCCTGGGTGCCCAGCATGTGTGGTTGGGAGAGGGAGCAGAAGGTGGAAAAAGAAACACCAACACAGCTTTACCCTTTGGGAGAGGTTTATTCCTCCTCTGCTTCCAGAGCCTTCAGCTCCCCTTCCAGACACAGTAAGAGACAAAAACACCCTGGTGATATCCTCCAACTCCCCAAATATTCCTTTTACCTGAAGCTTGTCCTACCTGAAGCTTCTGCTCAGCATAGCCTCTCCAAAGGCACCCAGCAATTTTCCAGCAGCTGCCTCTAAAGGGCCACAACCACAGGAAGGAGGGGCCTCCAGACTCCTCCTCCACATTCCCAAATCACTGCGGGGCCCTGTATTTGCTGTGGGATGATGGGCTCCCATCACTGCCTTAGTTACACGCCCATCTGGCTTTTCCACAGCCTGTTCCCTGACCAGCCACCTCGAGAGTGGGCTGGGTGTCCCACCTGCAAAGCCATGGCTCAGTCCTGAGTGTGGGCTGGCTCACACAGGGACACATAATCAGAAGCATCCATCCAATTAACATAAGGGGTGGTTGGAATTGGAGTTGGAGAGGTGTAGCCTTGCCAGGGAGCAGTGCAGGACACCCATTCCACCTGAAAAGTGACTTATCCCAAATTCCCTCTGGACACACTAGACCAGGCCAGTGAAAGCTCACCTGCACCATCCCTGTTCCCTCACTGCTGCCTGTCCAGGGCCCTTCCAGGTCACCAAGGCACAGAGGGGACTGCCTGTCCATGGGCCAAGGGCAGTCCAGGCTGGTTTGCCAGCAGGTTGGATGTGATGTGACTCTCTGGGAGACAGAGGGATGGCATTCAGAGCCATTCCTAAGTGTCACTGCACTTTCTCCTTCCCAATCCAGCCACTGTATTCCTGGAGCTGTGGAAGAGGGAGAGAGCCAATGTGGTCACCAGCTGGGACCTGTATGGGTGGGATGAAGAAGAGGTGAGGACATCATCTTTCCTGCTCAGTGCTTCCCCTTTCAGGGCAGGAGTCACCTGGATCTCTAAAAGACACGTCAGAGGGGTCCCTTGCCCAGACTGAACTCAATCAGGCTTGGCTGATTGTGGGTTGGGTGCTCACCCCTGTCCTCCTCCAGCACTGCTCATCCCATATGTCCACTGACACAAGGGGCACAAAGCACTGCTGGGTCCTTTCTTTCCCATTTTTGACTTGAATATATAATTTTTTGAAGGAGGAGCTGGCTCTGCAGCTGATCAACAACTCCCAGCACGAACCCCGGCTGTACCAGCACTCCTACCTGCGCAGCACCATCGTCCTCCTCTTGGCCCTGCTGATGGTACGTGCCAGCTGACAACAGGAACATTTGGTTTAAGGGCACATGGACAAAGGAGCAAAGGCGCAGATCAGGTTTTTGGGACACTTCCATGCCCATCACAAGGATCCTGGGGCTTCCTCATGCTCACACCTCACTGTGCTGACAGCAGGGGCCACCCACCCTTCAGGGACCAGGGCTGAAGGCTCTGCTCTTGCAGTGAGGATCAAGGCAGTGACATGGAGAGCAGGAAGAGACAAATCCCAATGCACTTGTCCCTGCTGTGGGTCAATGGAGACTGGCTCAGGTGGAGACATAGAATCCTGGAACCACAGAACATTAAGGCTTGGAAGGGACCTTATTTAGTCCCAAGCCCCATGCCATGGGCAGGGACACCCCCACGATTCCAGGTTGTTCAAGGCCTTGAACACTGCCAGCGTTGGGGCATTCACAACATCCCTGGGGAGCCTGTTCCCGTATCTCCCCACCCTCACAGGGAAGAATTTCTTCCTAACATCCAGCCTAAATTTCCCCTCCTTCAGTTTGTACCCGTTACTCCTTGTCCCATCACTACACCCACCTCACAAACTTGTCGGCCTCCACCAAAGGGCCCTGGTTTGCCTTTGAAGGCACCATCAAGGGTGATGGAGCACTGCCCTGGGTGGCTCCTGAGCCCTCCTGTCCCTCCCCACAGATCATGCTGCTGATTGGCATTGCCCACGCACTCGTCATCTACCGGGCGGTGGCCGTGGCGGTGTTCACGCAGAGCGACACGAGCCTGCTGAGCAAGCACGCCGACATCGTCGCCGTGATGACGGGGGCCGTGCTGCACTACCTCACCATCATCATCATGACCAAGGTGGGGAGACACACGGCCTGCCTGGCAGCATTTCCCCATGGCCAACTTCCCCCCTGCTCATCGTATCCCTCTGTCCTGCAGGTCAACTGGAGCGTGGCCCTCTTCCTCTGCGACCTGGGTAAGGGAAATAAATGGGGTGTGTCCCACCTGCAGCGCCCAGCCAGCCTCCCATCCCCTTCCCTGCCTCCACCAGCACAAGGCAGTTCCCAGCCCGCTCCAGACAAGGGGCCCAGCAGCCCCCCAGGACACACTCACCTGTGCCCACATGCTGTCCCACAGCCAGCTCTGCAGGGCTGAGACCTGGCCTGAGCAGGAAGCCATCCCAGCTCCAGGAGAGGTCACAACATGAAATTCCTCTCAGCTCTAAGGCCCTTTCTCCCTCAGCTCATGGCTCTGAGGGACCTCCCTGCTTGTCTGGACTTACCTCCCTCAGAGGGCTCGCGTGGAGGGCAGGGAAGACTTCATGAGTGGCAGATGCCCTTTGGACCTTCAGAGCTGTGGTGGCGCCCATGGGGGAGCCGGGCAAGTTCCCACTGCTCTATGAGCAAGCCACTGGGCATTGTTCCCTTTCCTAGAGAAACCACGGACCTTCTCCCAGCGTGAGAACAGCTTCACTGTGAAGATCTTCCTCTTTCAGTTCTTCACACACTTCTCCTCGCTCATCTACATCGCCTTCTTCCTGGGACGGTGAGTGGAGAACACCAGGCAGCCAGGGTTTGGGATGGCTGTTCCTGACTCTCCCCAGGGTGTACGGACAGCCCAGCCCCTCTGCCCTCCCCACCAGGCACAGGGACCCCATCTGGGACTCAGGAGAGCCATGACCCCATGGGTGTCACTGTTGCTTCCTTGCTCAGGGTCAATGGCCACCCAGGGCACTACGTGCGCATCGCTGGCCACTGGAGGCTGGAGGAGGTGAGGCACGCGCTCTCTGACCCCACAAACAACTCCTCCTCTTCCTCTCCCTACTGCCCAGGCAGCCTCTGGGAAGCTCAGCTTCCTCCCATAGCACCTGCCAAGGGTCCCTCGGGCCCAGCCACCCTGCTTGCAGGGCACTACCCCTGCCTTGTTGTCCCCTCCAGTGCCACCCTAGCGGCTGCATCACCGACCTCTTCATCCAGATGGCTGTCATCATGGTGCTCAAGCAGACCATCAGCAACATCATGGAGTATCTCATCCCGTAAGCTCCCCACACGGGCACTTTCCACAGAGAGGAACCCTGGCCGTCTTCCTTTTCCCCTTCCTCCAGGGATGTGCTGGCAGCAGCCCAGCCCTGCTGTCCTCTGCAGGCAGCCACACAAATCCCTCTCTCCCACTGCAGCTGGATATCCCACCAGCTGCGGAAGAAGAAAAAGCACCCCCAGAGGAGAAGTCTGATGTTAGGAGAGGAGGAGGAGGCAGAGGACCCCTGCAAAAGGCAGTGGCTGAATAACTATGAACTCAACGAGGTCAATGTCTTCAGCTTGTTCAACGAGTACCTGGAGATAGGTACGTGGGGCAGATCCTTGGCTGGGGAGTGATGGATGCTAGGGAGACCATACACAGGCAAGGAGCCACAGCTCCACACCCAGCCCCGCTCTGAGAGCCCTGGGACACCAAGATCATTCCCAAATGAGAGAGCAAGCAACTGTGCTAGCCTTTGGGCCTGCTTCAGACCTCCTCTCCTTCCAGGGCCACGGCTGTAACCCCAGGGTGTGCCTGTGCCTGGCTGGCTCAACTATCCCCACAGATCCCACTCTCTGACAGCCCTGTGAGAGCTGGGCATCCCCAGGATGTGGCTATCTCCTCTTCCACCCCTCTGACCCAAGCCACAAAGCAGGACAAACCCAAGCAGAGGGGGACATCCCCTCTGCGGTAGCTTCACTCCAGCACCTGTGTTTGCCCTCCGCAGTGATCCAGTACAGCTTCACCACCATCTTCGTGGCAGCCTTTCCCCTGGCCCCGCTGCTGGCCCTCATCAACAACGTCATCGAGATCCACATGGACGCCATCAAGATGATGCGGCTGCGCCGGCGCATGGTGCCCAGGAAGGCCAAGGACATCGGTGAGAGGGGTCCTGCCAGCACCAGCCCGAGCACCCCACAGCCCTGGGACAGCACAGGGGGAGCCATGGGTCAGAGAAGGACAAGCTGCTTAGACTCTGCCAGAGGCTGAAGCGCAGCTTGGAGGCTCCTTGCTTGACCTGGCCATGTTAAAGCTGTCCCTGAGCTGGAATGGTGGCGGTGAGACCTCACCGGCTGCTCCTCTCCCACAGGGATCTGGCTGCAGGTGCTAGAGGCCATTGGCATCCTGGCTGTCATTGGGAACGGGCTGGTGATCGCCATCACCTCCGACTTCATCCCCGTGCAGGTCTACAAGTACATGTACAGCCCTTGCACGAGGGAGAACCACACCAGCATGGAGTGAGTTCAGCTCTGAGACAGTCCCTGCCCACAGCATCCCCACAGCCCTGTACCCACAGCCATGTCCCCTCCTGCCTCAGTGCCACCACTGCAGGAGCACAAGACAGCTGAGCTGTCCCCCAAAGCAAGGTGGGGGGGGAAAGGGGAGCAGGGGGACATTCCCACATGGCATCATCACATCATCCCTGGGTGGTGGGTAAACTGACTGGAAAGGGCATTGTGTAACACTGGAGAGCTACAGGATTCCCAGGCTGCAGGCACGTGCTCTCTCCTGCCCTCCCTCTGTTTCTCTAAGCCTTGTCTGACTGATCCAGTTCAAACTGGTGAAAGTGGGCAGTGAGAGCCCCAGGTGGGTTCTGTTTCCCCAGAACCGGAGGTACAACCCGTGCTCAACCTCCTCCTTCCCCACAGCTGCTCCACTGGGTACATCAACAACAGCCTCTCCGTATTCCAAATCCAGGACTTCGAGCCCCACACCAAGGTGGTGCCAGAATTTAAAGGGGAAAGGATCAAGGAGTGCAGGTAAGAGCAGCCCCCTGCCACCCCCTGTCCCTCACTGTGACTTCCAGGCCAGAATGGAAGGGCCTGGGCTGGCACTGACGGAGCTGTGCTGCAGGTACCGGGATTACCGCAATGCTGATGATTACACCTACACCGTCCAGTTCTGGCACATCTTCGCAGCCCGGCTCGCCTTCCTCATCCTCTTCGAGGTGAGCACCCAGGGAGGCAGGAGAGGGCTGGGAAAGGGGTTGGATCAGAGCCTTGTGCCGGGGCTGGGAGCCCCTGACTGCCTTTGCTTCCCACAGCACGTGGCTCTGTGCGTGAAGCTGATCGCAGCCTGGTACATCCCCGATGTGCCCCAGAGGGTCAAGAATAAAATTCTGACGGGAAAACACGAAAATCTCCGTAATGAACTGAGGTGGGTGATACTCTAGAAGGTGCCAGGGGTTGCCAGGTTTCAGGATCTCTCTGCTCTGGAGCCCCTCTTCCCTCAGAAAAAGAAAAGCCCCAAGTTAAAACAAGAAGCAATTTTGACCAGGGAAGGACTTGGTCTAATTTTTCCATCTAAACTTTGTTTAAAGAGAAAGGATTAAGTATTTCTGCAGGAAACAGAACCATTGTAGGTGCCCCAGTGCTGCTGTCCCATACAGACTAAAACCTGCTCTGGGAAGGGCTCAGCCTGACCCCTCTCCATGGCCACCCTGCCCCAACTCCCACCCATAATCCCGATGGGAGCAGATGGTGGTGTTCAGGAAACACCTGCACCTTGGTTTGGAAAAACAGGTGTGTGCTAAGGAAGGCAGGAGCCTTCCTTGAAATGGAAAATGTCAACCCCCTCCCTCCAAATTATTATAATTTTGAAATTAAAGGGCTCTCAGGCAAAGATATGGGAATAGGAATAACAGTTCTTTAACAGGAAAACTAAAAATACAAATGTCATAGTACAAAAAAGAAAACAAACCACTGACAGAGTCAGAATATGACCTGACCCCCTGTGGGTCAGGGTGCTGGTAGCAGGCCCATTAAAGGGTGGCTGCAGCCCTCCTGCAGTGCCAGCTGTGGCTCTGTTGGAGCAGGGATCCTGTAGAATGGTGGAGTTTTCCTCTGAAGGTCCAGCGGTAGTGTAGATAGGCCTGGTCTTCCTCTGGGAATGCAGTGGAGAAGAAAGCTGCTCCTCTGAGAATCCAGTGGGAAAAGGAGGGCTGTTGTGTTCTAAATCTCTGATTATATCCAGGTGGGAATGCTTGGCTCCTCCCCCTGGGCAGAGCATCTCCCGATGGGATGATGTAATTTTAGCAGTCATGCAATGAGATTCAATGGCCCATTAACAAAGATATTTCCTGGAGGGAGGATTGGTTGTGGAAGAGATAAAGAAAAACTGCCCAATTAACAGAAGATAACTGCCCCACCTCTAAGAGATGGCAAATAGAATACCCCACTGACATCTTTCAAACTAAGACAACCTGTCATGGTTTGACGCTGGCCAAACTCCAGGCACCCACAAAGGCCACTCACTCACCCTCCCCTGCCACAGCTGGACAGGGAGAAAAAAAATAGCAAAGAGTTCACGACTTGAGATAAGGACCAGGAGAAAACACTCCAGGGGCCAAACAGGCTCAACTTAGAAGTACCAAGTGAACTTATAACTAACAAAATCAGAGGACGATAATGAGAAGTAAAATAAGCCCTTAAAACACCTTTGCTTCCCCCAACCCTTCCCTCCTTCCCACCGACAGTGCAGAGGACAGGACATGGGGGTTTTGGTCAGTTCATCACCCCAGGTTTTCTTCCACTGCTCAGGAAGACGAGTTCTTCCCCTGCTACACCATGGGGTCCCTTCCCACAGGAGAGAGTTCTCTGCAACCCTCTCCACCACGGCTCCAATCTCACGAGCAGGAATCCTCCCAAAACCGCTTCAATGTGAGTCCCTCCCATGGGCACGCAGTCCTCCCAAAGCTGCTGCGGTGTGGGTCACTCTTCCACAGGCTCAGTCCTTCAAGGACAGGCTGCTCCAGCTTGGAAGCAGGGCCCCCTCCCTCCACCAGGTCTCCCCTGGATCACAGCCTCCTCCAGGCACCCACCTGCTCCAGCCTGGGCATCTCCTCCACGGGTTGCGGGTGGACTTCTGCATCCCCTGTGGATCCCCATGGGCTGCAGGGACACAGCTGCTTCACCATGGTCTCACCACCGTCTGCAGAGGAATCTCAGCTCCAGCGCCTGGAGTGGCTCTTCCCCCTCCTTCTGCACTGACCCTGGTGTCTGCATGTTTCCCTCACATGTTCTCACCTCCTCCTCTTCTCTGGCTTGCAAAAAAACCTGTGCCCCTTTTTTGTTTTTATTTTCTTCTTAAATACGTTATCAACATCTCCATCTCTAATTGGCCCAGCCTTGGCCAGTGGCATGTCCATCCTCAGAGCCATCAGGGATTGGCTGTGCCAGACAGGGTGGAAGCTTCCAGCAGCTTCTCACAGAAGTCACCTCTGTGCCCCCACACTACCAAAACCCAGGCTGTGCAAAACCAGCCCAACACCACACTGTCACAGCTTTCCATCTCTGCCTTCCTACTGACTGTGGGATTTCCCACAAACAGGGGTTCCCCACCAACTGCCTGTCATTCTTTCTCCATCTATTTTGGGGAAGAGGCCCTGTTCCTACTGGGAGTGTTTTCCCACACCTCCCAGCTCAGACAGTTCCCTTCCCAACGCCTCTCTCCTCTCTCCCCAGCACGGCAGAATACTCCACCGAGGTGTAGCCACCGCCCACCAAGGAGAACACGGACTCGAGCCCCTTTCCCAGCCTGGCAGTGCCAGGGGTGCCGGATGAACCCCAGGACACGGTGCCACATGTCCCACCTGGGACTGAGCTGGGAAGTGATGACAAGACAGTGGCTTCACGGGAGCAGGCTGCTCTCTGACTCGGGAAGGAAGGATGCTGGGGCAGAGCCGGGATGTGCCTCCCCGGCACGGGGAGTGGCTGGGACAGAGCCGTGGCGCTGGGGACAAGCCCAGGGCCAGCACCAGGATGCTGTGCCGCAGGACATCACCTGGGTCCTTGTCACTCACTTCCTTAAGCACAGGAAACACCGCTGACCTCGTTCCAGGCTCCCTCTCCAGCCCTTTTGCTGCACTTTGGCCTCTTTTTCCACTGCCTTCCATGACCTCCTCACTCTTGCACCACCGGGGCACTTGAGTCCCTCTTTCCCCAAACTCCTCCCCGTGTGTCAGGACTCCCACACGGCTGCAGCTCCCCCGGCTGTCTCCATGGACGCGGCTCCACGGTCACCGGGAAAACGCTGCTGTTATCTCGCCTCTAGCTCCGGGCTCAGCCGGGTCCTGAGAGCTGTTCCTGGCTCAGCTGCCACCAGCCATCGGTAAATAAATGCAGCACCCACGTGGACAACTGCCTGGTATTGCTCCTGCCTTACTCCTCTGCCACCCCAAATCATCCCCCAAAACCTTTCCTTGTCTTCACAAGGACAAAATCACAGTGAGTGTCGGCTGCAGTGCCCACTCTGAGGGCTGTGTGGGAGCTGGCTGGTGGGACACCAGGGTTTGGCCATGCACAGTGGGAATGCAGCCTGGTAAACATGCCAGGATAATGGATATACCGGGGGAAATGGGAAAAACACAGCAAATCCCAAATGATAGGGTTATCCCACCTTTTCCTCTAGAGACATCACTACTGGCTGCCCCCCCTACTCCAGACAGAACGAGTTTGTCTGCAGCAGGAACAGGGCGACACCCCAGGACTGGACAGGTGCCACAGCTCAGGGGGCTCTGACAGGGGACCCCAGAAGCAGAAGTGGGGGGCAGCCCCCTCCTTTCCCCCGGTAGTGACCCCAGCCTGGCTGGACACCACCCTGGCACTGCCCCAGTCCCACGGGGGTCCTGCCACAGACACTTCCCAAGGTGTCAGTCCTGGGAGCTGTGCCCTGGAGGTGACACACCCCAGGCAGGACTGCAGGGAAAGGCACCAGGGTTAACTCGGCCCCAAAACCTCGCTCCCAAGAGCATGGAAAGCCACAAACAACCCCACAGGGAACAGAAAGGAGCTTGCTGAGCCCTCAGGCTTGTCCTGGTTTTGCACCATTGTGACCAAAACTGGATCTGCTCCTCCATGTAACTTAGCTACCACAGGGATAACCCTGATGGACGAGAAAGATCTTATCAGCTCCTGGTTTGCTCCCAAGCCTCCCCACACCCCTGCCATCCCTACGACCTGGGCAGCTTCCATGCAATCCTCCACCATCCCACAAATCCAACAGATTTACACTGGATTTTCCAGCTGTTGCGTCACGTTGTCCATGAGAAGTGGGCAGCCCTCAAAAAAGGCTGCTCCAATAGCTGCTGCCCCAAACACACAGCCAGTGGCAGGAGCAGGGGATTCTCCCCAGAGATGCCAGCAGGGATCTGTCCCTTTCCCTCCCACACCAAGCCAACAGCACTGGTAGCTTATATCCTAAACAATGAGGAGTCAGAGTCTGGGTGTTTCTCCATGGGAACAGGCCCAGAGTCCAACCTGTGACCTGTACCTGTTTATTTATATATACATAGTTATTCAATATAAATCTACATATATTTATGTATTATTAATTATAATACTACATTATATACATATATATATATATGGAAATACATACACTGCACCCGTGGCCCTCTTCTCTTCTTGGCCTCAAATCACGTGCTGGTTGATGTTTTTCTGGCTCAGGCTGGTGTTTCTCCAGGGGCTGCTGGTGCTGCTGTGACCACATCCATGATCCATGCCTGGGGCGTGCCGAGGCTCTAACCCTGTGCTCCATGGTAATTAGCACAGGGAATATCTGCTGTCCACAGTGGCCACGGCTGGATCCGGCTCCCCACGGCCAGTGCCAGCTGGAGCAACCACCTCCAGCACCAGCTTCACCTGGCAAAAAGGCTCTGAAGGCACGGAGAGAAGGAAAGGGAGGAGAAGGCAACAAACAGGAGCCTCCACAGCTCATGGCAGGTTTCTCCTTGCCCTGACACCTCTGTGGGCTCTTCCAGCCTGGAAAACCAGGGGCTCCTCCTTGGCCCCCAAGCCTTATCACACCTGCTGGGTGTGTTGCTGTCCCCCTCCTCTTTTCTCTTCTCTTCTCCCCTCCCCTGAAGCCGGAGTTGTTGAATCCTCTCCCGCAGGTTCAGGTGGAGGTGGAGCAGCGGGAGGGAGGGACAGCCAGCCCTTCCCACGGGCCTGGCGCCCGGGGATTGGGGCAGCGGGAGCGCCGGCCGAGGCCAGGGGCTGAACTGGGAGGAGAAATAGATAAACTATTAAAACAGAAAGGGGAAAAAAAAACACGAGAGAATTTCCAAGCACTGATCTGGCCGGTCGGGTCGGCTCAAGCGGGAGGCGACGAGCAGGAAGCCTGCGGCTGGGGAAGCTCCAAAGGTAAATGCAGCTCTGTTCTGCTTTTCTTTCCCTGCTGAAGCCGCCCCAGATGAGGTCAGCAGGCTTTCACCTTCACCCCATTCCCTGTGCATTCCCGTTCTGGCTCTCCTTTGCTCTCCATCCCGCTCTCTGCCTCGGCACACCCACCCCACAGCTCCCTGGCCAGGGTGCCCCCCCTGCCCTGCTCGCCTTCCCCACGGCCGTGCTGCAGGGAATGCCGTGCCCAGCCACCATTCACCACCCCACAACGTCCACACGCTCCTCTGCCTCCAGTCTGGGGTGTCCCCACGCCAGGATGTGGGAAATGGGAGCCACTGCTGCCCGTTAGCCGGTGCTCCTCCCTCCCTGGCCCTCTGCAGCCCCAGCACCCACTCCCTGCCATCCAACACTGGAGCAAAGGGCTCTGGGGGTTCGGGGCCTCCCCACACCCCCTGGCCAGGCTGCAGTTTGTTGGAGCTTCCTTATTCCGACCATCAGAGGAAATGGCTTAGGAGTGACCCATCCAGGAGCAGAGCTGGAGCATCACACCAGGCAGAGACTGCCCCATGCCACCCTCATGAGCGTCTCCCACCTTTTCCCCATGTGAAATCCTGGTGGGCTGGCTCGTCTCCATCCCATCCTCTTCCTTCCCTGGCCATGGAGAAACTCAGTTAATCTTTTAGGTATAAATCACTTCCAGCTGGTCAAGCTGAACACGTACTGGGCGTCTCTGGCGTACCTTGATCCCTGGTTTCACCCCACGCCTGGCACTAGGCAGCTCCAGAGGGAAGCACCGTGCCTGCATCCCTGCTCCAAGCCAGGCAGCACCACACACCTCCCCTTCCCATTCCACACCAACAAACACGGCGGGACCAGCCCTGCTCCCACCCAAAATCAGGGTGCAGCCAGGAGTGCTGAAGCTCCACAGCAAAGAGGAGCCCTGGGAGAGGCTTTCGTTCCTCCTGATTCCAAGAATTAGGCTGGATGCTTACCATGGGAACACGGGCACCGTGGCATCCCTGAGACTCCCACCCCAGCCCCAGCATCACCCGCATCACCCGCATCAGGTGTGTGGGGACAGGCTGTGCTCCCAGTATCCGCCTCTTCCCACGGGGCCATCGCAGTGATGCCAGCTGGGGGGGGTCCCTGTGTGCCATCCCTGTGCTCCCTGCTTGCCTGGAATGCTGTGCAGCTGTGCCAATCCCCAATCCCTGGGTGCATCCATGGGGTAGCAACGCACCGAGGCTCCCAACACACCGGGGAGCTCTCCAGTTGGGAGCTGCGTTTCCATAAACAAACCAGACCGCTGGTAATTAGCAGGTTCAAGGGCATGTCAGGCTGGAGGCAGCTCTGCAGCCCAGGCAGGGGCTTGGCAGGTGAAGGAGGTACTGCTGAGACCCCCAAAGCTGGGGTTTCCCATGGCTGAGCTCATTTCCCCACCTTAGTTTTGGATTTGGGCTGAAGCCACATTTTTTTAAACCCTGCAACCCCTAGCTGGTCATTAATCACCTCCCACGCATAAATCCACGGTTGGGAAAGCCAGGCTGGGAGTCAGTGCGGGGAGGGCAGGTGACACAGTGGCCACCAGGCTGTGGGTGGGACGCGGCTTTGGCTTCACCGCAGAGCAGCACCCACCACCCCCAGTGGAATCACCCCCACCCGATGGGGGTGGCTGGGCCCTCCCTGTGCCAGCACTCAGGAGCTGCTCCCGGTGTGTCCCAGGCCCAGCCCGCCCTGTGGCAGAGGCAGGTGGACTTTGTCCCCCCAGGGAGACGCCGCGTGAGATGCTGGCAGCGCCCGCGCCTGTCATCTGAGCGCGCCATGGCAGGTAGGTGAAATCCAACTTCTGCCCTGTTCTCTCTCAGCTGGGAGGGATCCCTGTGCAAGGTCACCTGGGGGTCCTGCTCTGGTGTCACCTCTTGGGGTGCCGAGGGTCCTTCCCAGCCCCCAAACCGGCTCATCATGCTGCTAAACAGCCATGAACGCCACTCGCTGCCAGACCCCCAAGGCAGAGCTTGTTCTTCCAGGATGGCTACAGCAGTCATGTGCCCTGGGGGGAGCTGGATCAGCTTTCCCATCCAAACCCCCTCCCCTCTGTGCCCCCAGACCTTTGCAGCGTGCCGCCCGAAATCCTGGTGCCAGCTGCCAATGAGACGCTGGAGCTGGTGCTGGGAAGCCAGGTCGAGCTGAACTGCACCGTGCGCTGGGCAGGCACCGAGCACTGCCAGCCCATTCCCACCTGGAGCAAGGATGGGCAGTGGCTGGGCAGTGGCAGCAGCCAGGACACTGTCTGGTAAGGAGCCTGCCCTGGGGACATCCCTCCATCTGCTTTTGGGGGCTGTCACCACACGGCCCGACCCACAGCATCCC